ATGAAAAAAGATTACGAATAAATCCAGAAAGAACTTTTTTGTTTTTTTTTCTGGTCAATTAATCGAACTTTTGTTAACCCCCTCGTACATATGTATGAATGTACGTACGTATTTGTACGTTTTGGATTGTGCGAGCGACTGGCGACTGTGCCGGTTTTTTAATTACATTTATTTGGGATATTTCAATATGTGCATACATGTATACGTGTATGTACGTACATTCACTGACATACCAGCGCACATACGCACAAAGCCCAAATGGTTGTCATCATCAATGAACTGGAACGGCGATAGCCATGCCTTCGCCGCTGAAGCAACGAAATCAACGAATTTTTAAAAATAAATAACCTAATGCCCACCAATATGAGGGTAAACAGGAAAAAGCAAAGTTAGTCGAAATCGATCTACCCCGCTTAGAGACATGCTGGTTAGTCCAAGCCACCGAAGTCATCTAACGGCCAGTCCACGAAACGAGCCGTTTCGACGGGTTCGGTCCTGAAGGGGGAGAGGGGGGTTAGATGTGTCGATTTTAGGGGGGTATGTAAAAAGGCGGTTCGTCGTGCGGGGATTAATTACATGCAGGACATAAGTTGGGTATGTTAAGGTCGAGTCTGGATAAGTGGCAGTTTAACCTGCTACAATGTCCAGACCTAAGTTGCCCCAGAATCACGCGGATTTCTCGAGGCAGTTTGAGCTCTTCGTCTGTGAAGGGTGCCAGAAGGAGAGTACAAGAAGATATTTACGGACTCTCGTTGAGTGAAATTTAATATGTGCTGGTAAGTCGTTGTTGTTATTGTAAGTGGTGCTGATTGCAGTCGAAGTGCTCCCTTTCAGATGTTCTCAGGTGGTGATTCGGCATCTAGTAATTATTTATTGGAGTGCTTAATACGGCAGCAAGTGATGCTCTGACAATATCAAGATATTTCCTGTTATGATTCGGACGGTGTTTTGGCAGTATTTGGGTCGTTTGCAGTCGGAAGATTTATGCCATCGAGTTCGAATCGGTACCTTGTCGTCCTTAGTTCCCAGGAAAATAGAGTAACAGAAAATGTTGCTGTATGTAGTTGTATTGCAGTGAAAGGAGAGGTCGTCGTAGGCATATGAGATCAGCGGAACCTTTTCGAGATATGGAAGTTAAAGAAACAGTGGGGAGAGGAAATCTTCCTTAATGTCCGATAGAATCACTGAAAGATTGGCGGTGCTAAAAACTTTAGGCAGATCCAGTGCTATTAAGACAGATCGCGCGGGGCGATTTTAGTTGAGTCCATTGACCATTTGGGTGTTTATAGCGTTGAAATGTGCTGCTGTGCACTTTACCGAAGCCATGTAGTTTGCGCAGACGGCGGGTAACTTGTCGCTTCATTTTGTCAACCGAGGGATGTATTGTGTAAAGTTGGGGGGGAACGAAGAAATGCAACTCCCAGAAACTTAAGGTTGTTAATTGTCGGAATCTTTACGTCTTCAACTTTTAAATTCAATCGAGCCAATCCTCCTCCTTGTTGATGATTGATATTGCTAGATGACATTCAAAGGCTTTTAACAGATTCAGTGCTACCACGACAGTTTCTGGGCATTTGTGGCGCTAAGTGTGATTGTGTTCTGCTCTTTGACGTGGGTGTTGTGTGTTGAAACCATATTACTGGATGGGTAAATTGCCGCACGTTGGTGGTAGTCGGTATAGCATTTGAGGTCAGGGACAGACTATTAAGACATTATCTGTTAATAGTTTCTAAAATATTAATTTTGGAACAAGTGCAGAAAACAGAGAGTTAAGATAGAACAAAATAAAAAGTGGGTATGGTCCGCTCTGTCTTCTTGATTTTATTGATATAAATTTTTTTCGGGGCAGACTTTTATTTTCGAAGATAATATTTCAAAAGTTTTAAAACGTTATATCTCAAAAAGTTCACACCAAATTTTGATATCGTTGGAAAGATAAGGTAAAATTCCTTTTTTTCCTATCCATATATCAATACTTTCTGAAGATAAATTTTGAGAAAATTCAGTAAAAAAAATAAAATTTTTTTAAAGAAAATCTATTTTTCCCTAAAATTTTGTGTTCTTAATCATAAGCTAAACTACCTTTAATTTGATATATAATATGCAATATACAGCCATGGTCATTCAAATAGCACAACTTTCCTTCCGATACATAATAATGAAACAAAGGTATATATAATAATAATTCAATGAAAATTTGAAATAGTTCAAAGTTTGAGATTCCTAATAAAATTCTCTGGTCACGCAAATAGCATATTTTGAAAAACTTGTAATTAAATATAATTTCAAATATGCCAGACCATATACCAATATTAGTCTTAAGTAGGTCTTATCTATTAGTATTTTGTAGTATATCCACGATTTTTAATAACAGCATATCATAACATCGTTCGATAAATTTTCTATTGGGTTTAGGTCTGGGCTTTGGGCAGGCTAATCCAAAACACGAATATTTTCCTTCTTAAGCCAATCTTATATGACTTTCGCGGTATTCTTAGGATCATTATCCTGCATAAAATTCCAATTTGGTCGCATGGAGTCACATACGAATAGCTCCATTTCATTCGTTAAGATGTCCAGATATTGATATTTGTCTATTTTTCCATTTATTCGCACAATTGGTCCTACGCCATGCCAGGAAAATGTCCCTAAAATCATGATACTACCGCCTGCGTGTTTTATGGTCTTTTTGATGTACCTAGGATTGGAATCTTGACCTCTTTAACGATGAAATGTGGTTTTCCCACCTGGCTCCATTCCATTTATTTTAGTTTCATCGATCCATAGCAAATTTTTCCAAAATCTTAGCGCCCGGTTCTCAGGCGTCTAAGCAAACTTTGACTGTTTTCCTTTATGCCGTTTTGACCGGAGTGGTTTTCTGCGGGTAATGCGTCCTTATTTAAACGCCTTCCGACATGTCTTCTTGATATAGTCAAGTCGGATTCTTCGTTTATTTTCAGTATTTTTTGCCTAGACAATTTAAAAGAATCTAGCTTCTTTTTTCGTATTGTGGTCCTGTCTTAAAAAATCGCTGTCTTGCTCGGAGCAGGTGCCTTGGATTTTTTTTGAGATAGATAATCTTCACTCTCTTAAAGCAGTTTAAAGACATTACGTACTATTTGACGGGTATAATTCAAGAAAACTGCAATTTGTGAAACACTTTTCCCTGTCTTAGCCATATTATAAATAATGCTTCTTCTTTAAGGAGTACAGTGTTTATCCCAACCCATTTAAGCTCAATCTGCGCAAATTTTGATAGAACTGAACTTTAAATGAATTTAAATTCCACTAAAAATAAATAAAGAGATACTTTCAAGATCCAACCGATGACTGCGCTATTTGCGTGACCACCATAAACTAATAGCTCGATCAGATAAATCGACGAAAAAAATACAGTTGCTAAGATAACGGGAATGTACGAAACGCACTGTAAACTACTATAGATAACATATGTAATTATTATAAATTTTTTTATTCAGAAAAATACCGTTTTCTTCCTCAGAAGAGTTACATTTTCTCGTATGATACACTTTGTGCTATTTGCGTGACCATGCCTGTAAGTCCTATTAAATAATAGCATATTCGCGGAAAGTGGCAACGACACCTTTGTAAGTTGGAGACCTTCGGCCGCGCTTTGGATTGTAACCCTGAGCCTAACCAACACCGGCTTCGCCGTGCACAGTATTCTTGAGTGCAACACTTTTGCAAATCAGGCAAATTTACTAGTATGAGTATGGTTAATAATTAAAACGATATTTTTCGCGCTATTAAAAAGTGTTATACACCAAATTAAAGGTATTTTTATGATCTTTATAAATAATTATATTCTAAGATTGATTTATTACAAAAAAATTTTAAGAAAAACTAGTTTTTCCACAAAAAAAAAGCTATTTATTTTTATTACTAAAGTTTTTCCAAAAGTATAAAGATATGTATTCAAAATTAGGAATTTTGAAACTTTTCCAACGTCGTAATCTTCGAAAATAAAAGTTTGTACCGAAAAAAATTTATGTATGAAATCAGTGCGTCCGTATTCGGCATTTGTGATAATTTTTTAAATATTTTTGATGATTGTGTACATTTCAACCAACGAGGCCCCAATCTCGAAATGAAAAATTCTTTGCTGAATATGTGGATGCAACTATATTCTTTTAACTTCCTTTTCAGATGAAAATTATACTCTCAATAGCCACACCCTAATTTAGATAGAAACGTGTATATGCATGTGTAGGTCAGTATATTTAAAACACTAATAGGTTGAAACAGTAAATTCACACCATCCAGCACCATCATTGATTTAATGGAAAAAAATGTCAATAAGGGTGTTGGTTTCATTAACAAATTCGCTTTGCGTATCGTAGCAAAAATAGAGAATCAGTTTCCCAATGTCAAAGATAGCTTAACGCAACACATGGAAAGTGGTCAGAGTTGTTTCCCCTTAGCGTAAACTTAATTGAACACGTCTCCTCACCTAATGAACAGACAGAAATTCATTGGAGTTGAACAACACAAACGCCTGTAATCTAATGCATATGTATGTTTGCACCTTTACCAGCCACCTGGCTGCACACATAATTTGGAAGGCAATGATCAATGCGACGCTGTTTTCTTAAATCTGTGCTACATTGATATACATACATATGTATTTACGCTCGTACGAGTATATATCCATATGTATTTTAGCGTTTTCCTGCTTTTGATTATCCTCACAGGTAAATATGCAAAATCGATTTTCTTTCTATCGCCCTTTGAAATTGATATTTTTAGGAACAAATGGTATAAAGCAGTGGCTTCGTCTCATCACTGAAAATGCAATTTTGTAAATGGGAATCTAATAAACACAAGTACATACATATACATACAGGTAATTGAAATGTACTTTTATTATATACAGGAAATGAATTTCAGTAAATTTATGTAGACATAATAGATTGCTAATACATTCTTACATGCATACTTCTCTATATATTTTAATAAATTTCCTAAGCCCAGGTGCTTACCTTGTAAAATGCAGATAAACACATTCTATTTGCATATAAAGCTTATTCGAGGGCCGAAACAATTTTTTGCTTTTTTCTCATTACATTTATAAAAAATAGCCAAGGTAAGCAAAATATTTGGAACAATTCTTTAATTATGTACTTCTTATATAAAAACTTCACTATAAAAATGTAGATCTTTATTTACCTACAAATAAAAATTTTATTTTATTTAGCCCTTAAAAAAATTCACTGCTCATTTTATATTAAAATCACTATAGGCTTTTTATTTATTACACTTTTTGTTTTCCCGATTTTTCGGTACACATAACGCCAAAAGTATATAATAACCGCTACACAATAGTAGGAGTACAGAGAGCACAGCTTGCACTTGAATGAATACCCAACTGGTAAGCCTTCCAAATTGTACATAACAATGCAGCTGTGCAATGAACAGAGCCATTGCTGACAGCCGTCAACGGTTATCTGTTTCACTACTTCTTTCTCTAAAGGCTCGGTTCTACATACTTGAAATCATTTTACTCAACTTAGAAGTGGCGCAAAAAAAACATTAAATAACGCGTTTTTCGGAAACGTTCTCTATGCTCAAATTAGTGCTCATTTTTTACTTTCCTCTTTCTTCCTTCAGAAAGTTTTTTTTTCTTTCAAAATTTTCATGTCCCAATCCCGAGAACATATTAAGTTAGAGCCATTTAACAAACGATTTTGTTATGGAGATATGGCGTAATTGTTATTTCCAACTACAAGCATAAACACACCATGCCAAATGTTCAACGCGAGTTGAATATCAGGGCTGCCAAGCCCAACTTTGCTAAGTTTTTGGTAAAATTTTAAGCAAACAATTATATTGTTGCGAAAATGCGAGGCGAATGTCAGATGAAAGAGAGAAGCCGATAACTAGTACGATAAAACAAGAACCTTCCATAGCGAACAATTCGATGCTTCTACGCTTTCGTCTGCGAGCAGCCGACTGCTATATAAAGGCGACACTCAGCTGCAAGTCAAGCAGTGACAAAGCAAATTGGTTGGCGTTAACATCAGTGAAGACGTAAAGTGAACGCGTTGGGAATTACATTTAAGTAGAGTAAATTGTGAAAAGTTGATGTTAGTGATTATAAATTGAATTGTGAATTACGGAGAAAATAAAGGACATTAGATAGAATCTTTATAACGAAAGAAACTGCAAATTAAGTTGGCGAGTTTTTTTTATTTAACAATCCAGAGATCGTACCCGAAGGATCTAGAAAATAATCGAGGTTGATTCAGTAAAATCGTAACAATATTTTTGGCAAAAAGTTAGGAGCACGGAAACTCTAAATTGATTGTTAAATGCAAATCAACTGATTTAAACTCAAACCGCGTTTATGCTACCGAGTTAGCGATGTTACACATGTAGAGAAAATGTGTGTAATTTACCCCAGTAGACGCCTTAACTTGTGGTGAAAAAGTGTTTATGCTTGCGAGTTTTATCTATCTGAATAGAAATGTAGCTACGTTTATGTATATGATATATACCGTTTATGTATATGATATATACTGTGTGTCAAGTGGTAAGCAGAACATTTCGTGAGAACTTTCCAGATGTAAGTACGAACAGTTGGCTTGGTATAACCGTAAAATGCTGGAATGTCTAGTTACATATAAAATTCGGGAGTGACAACATTGGTATAAATTGAGAAGAATAAACTGTGTTTTTTCTTAAGGAAAAAACTGCATATTTATCAGAGAATTAGTAGACAGTGTGTTTACTGTATAGAAGCTGAGTAAGAAATTTTATTCAAAAATACTGTGAATCATCGAGGTTATTTTGGTAAAAACGCTATAATTTGAAAGGGACCGTCGCATTGGGACTGCGAGAATCCTCTTATATTCGAAGAGATGCCACTATCAAAAAACAAACTTACCTTATGGTGAGTTCTTTGGTCTAGTGATGTGATAGGACCTTAATTATTTGAAAATGTACGGTGAGACTGTCATTGTCAGATCAGAGCCTTCTGGTCGTATGATAACTGCCTTATTTTGGCCTGCAATTCAAGAAAATTACTTGTACAATATGACGCATCGAGCCATACAACATGAGCACAAAGAATATAAATATTTTAAATGCATTTTATTTTGAAAGAAACAAAATGCATAGCCCTGCATAACTAAAAATATCGAAAAACAGCTTTGAAACTTTACACTTCACTGAACATACAAAACAGCTGAATCTTACTTATGGAAGAGAAATTTGATTGGTAATTTATTGTAGAGCTGCAAAGACGATTTTAGTGAATCGATTTTTGAAAAAGAAATTGATAAAATGAAAACAAAGGATTTAATTCACCTTTATTCTTCAAACACCGAATAGTTCTATTGAGGACTCGTCTATCCGAATCTTGGGAGGTATTATTTGCACATATTCTACGATTCTCTAAAACCGTATCGATTTTTTAGGCAAACTACCAAAAGTCGATATTGAAATCGGTTTTTTTGCAATTCCAATTTGTCTAAACCGTGCTTTTATAAGGTGATGTAAAGATTGGAAAAGTAATTTTTTTAAAATGTTTTTTTCAAATCTGTTAAGCAGGTATGGAGAAAAAAATATGAATCGGAGAATTTGATAAATATATTTTTATTTACAGACCACTCTTTGGTGCTATAAGTTTGCTACAAACATCTGTATACAGAAATGCACATGTTTTCAATAGGGCGATACTGAAACCTAAAGTACGTTGCCATTTCCCAAAGCCCCGAGAAGTGAAACGTATTAATGTGCACGGGTGGGAATCACGAATGTCAACTCCAGAAGGACGCCGTGTATTAATGCGCCGAATCCTTAAAGGAAGACATGTACTGTCTCATTAGTATATTGCCTTGGCTAACTATTACAAAGTAAATATATTCTGATTTTAAAATACTTTCAAATGGTTTTACGTTCATACGTCAAATGAAAATTTATTTGTCTTCAATCACTTTTTTATGAGTCCCTGAGAGAAACTGTGACGGTCGGTGATAAATTTGCTTAATAGACTTGGAAGTTCTTGCATCAATAGTATTGTAAAGAAAAGCCGCCATTTTACGCACCCTGGGCCCTTGATTTGTGAACAAGGATGATGGCAGCGGCATTTCTCCTAATGCTAGACAATTGACCTCGTTTAGCTTGTCGTACCTCATCGCTGGCAGCAAGTACAGTTTGTCAATATCAATCGCTCGCGCTATACCTGTAAATGAATGTTCTTATAATTTAACTGCGATCCTATTGTTACTTACACACCAATGCCAAAGCATTCAATTGGTCCAAGGTTTTCGCCATTTTCACATCGACACAAAAAAACTAAATTAGCTTCCAAGGCATGAATCAGTTCTTCACGTGTAGATTCGTTTGAAATCATGTTAACTAAATGGAGGTTTTCTATTGAGGCCCTATAAAATAGAGAATAATTATTGTTGAATTAATATTTTGCATTAGTGTTTATACCTAAATGGACAACAGTCTGACAACCATTCAGCGTTACCCTGTAGCACCTCGCTTAACCGCGATAGAAACGTTGCATATCGTAGATCTTTAGCACTCATTTCCCAATCACGGAGATAAGGACTTGTTTGTAATATAGCCGAGGACATAACATGCAGTCGATACTCAATTGTAGAAAGCTCGTTGTTTTGTTCTTTAAGCTCAGGCCCCGTGTATATTGCACGATGTATCCTTGATAACTGTTGGGGATGCAATAACATGTCAAAATTATTAATATCTTTATTGCTTTGTAATTGCACAACATCGGTTGGCTTTACTAGCTGAGTAATAATACTCATCAATTCTAAACCAAATCCTTTATTATAACCCATTGTATTAATTAGCCATGGCATTTCAGCAAAATCCTTATCAGACTGACAAAACTCGATAAGTCTTTTCACTGCGTTCATATAAGACTGAGCGCAAAGTACAACATTGCTGTGACCAACGGCATATGCTCGAGTTGGTGGGTGGTTAAGAAAAAACCCAGGTCCTAATAATGGGTGAGTTAGAACAGTACAAGATACCGTTTGGGGTAAGAAAAGTTCTGCTTGTCCAATATCTAAGTCGACAACAAGCACTCGTTCACATTTCCTTAAGTGACAGTTTAAGAGATATCGTAGGAGAGTCGACTTTCCCACTGACTTGCCCCCAGCCAGCAGCACCTTAGATTTTGGTGTAAAATACAAATCTCGCCATTCTTTAGGTATTAGTAAAGGTCTTTCAGTTTCTTTATTTAACACACAATCCAGCAAGTATTCACTCGCATATAGCGGACGGTCTGTTTGTATTGAATTCATGTTTGGGAAAACATTTTCATTCATGTATTTTCTGAATATATTTTTCAATTTTATTCGACGATTATTTCGCTTTAAAAGAAGTAATGCATCTCCACTTTCAAAATTCTTTTCTATTCTCTTTAAATCATGAGAGCTGAAAGATTTTAGAAGAGGTTTCAATGTTTCTTTTATTTGTATATCATCAAATGTAGTAGAAGTTGAAATGGGACTTAAATCAATGCTGCAGCAACCTCGAGGAGAGAATACTTCCAGCTCCTCATTCAAAGGCGGTAGATAACCGTATATTTCGACATTCCCAGCTAGAAGTGTTACACAAACAGTGCCATATAAATAAAAAGGCTCTTTTAATAATACAAGTACTAAATTAGAATTTATAGCATTGATAAAAAGTGATTCGTGAGTGGTTTGTTCATGTACATTATTAATTGTCTCTTCTATAGTATCAGTTTCGCAATTTTCTGCGTCATTTAGGTTAGATGACAGATCTGAATATATATTTTCAATATTCACTTGAAAATCTGAATGGGCAGCTGGTTCTTTATTTCCATTTGTAGCTACTTCTTCTAAAGTGTCTTGTATCACACTAGTTTCACATATATTGACTGCAATCACTGTATCATTATCAATATTTGAACACACTTTTTTGTCATTTAGGTGTTCAGATAAAACATCATCTGTATCCATTTCATCTGAGCCTATTAAGTTTTCTTTCTCTCGAATTGTTTGTTGAGGAATGTAATTTCTCACATCGATGACTCCTACGTTAAATTTCGGTTTATTTCGCACTCGTTTGGTGTTACCATAATCATTATCGTAAACTTTTTCGTATGCTATGTACTTTTTATTTATATCATCTTCAGACATAGAACTAGAATCACTGAAATTTTCATAAGAGCTACAATCATTCTCGGAATTGAACATTTGAAATCCATCTGCGTCAGTAATTGGAACAAGTGATGGACATTTATCTTCATTTTGACATTCCATTTTTATGTTATCCTTTCCTTGAATGTTTTTGGAGGAAGCAAAAATCTGGCTTAAATTAATCAGCTCACATTTTGAATAAGCTTCCGGTTGTTTTATTCTCTTTCCTTTATTTTCTGCAGCCAATTCTATTATTTGCGGCTCACTATCTTCACTATCAAAGCTCACATTATGCTCGTCCAACAATTCATGTTTCTTAGCAGTGCCTGCGATGGCGATATCGATAAATATGTTAATGGTATTTAATTTTTTATTTGGTACTTACCGTTATGTATGATTAAGTCTTCGGAAACATTCGGAGGAAGTTCATAGTCAGGATCACTTTCATAAAACCGGTCTGAATCACAATTAATCAGATTTTCACTTCCAGAACTATCAAAATCTGTATAACGCTCATCATAATAATAATCACTTTCTGTGGAATAATCGTCTGTATAGCTTTCATATTCATAAGCATTCCCAATGCTGCTTTCATTAGAAGAAAAGTCGTCCTGCTCCAAGAAGTTATCCTGTGGATTTTCATTACAATGCTCAAATGGGAAAACAGCTTTCGTTTCATTTTGCCGAGCTGGTTGGCACTGAGTGTTAGTTTTTTTTGATTTCATAAATTTTTCATTCTTAATTGACTTCAAAGGATGACCACCGATGCTTTTAAATTTTTCGTTCGATTTTCTCTTGGAGGAAGAAGTCTTCATGTTTGTTCTCCTTGCTTCAACGGGTTTGAATTTCTTGTTTCTTTCTTTTAATCCAGGGCTTAATTTGATGTCTTTCATGTTTGATTTCTTTGGTGGAGAGCTCAATTTTTTATTTTTCTTTAAAGTTACTTCTTCATTATATGCTTTTGGGGAACTTTTATCTTGACCCAGCATTTGAGGATTAATATTTTGCTCCAATGTGTGGCATTTGTTACTACTTTTACCGTTAGTAATTGGATTTTTGTTTTTGAAAAGCCTTTTAAGTTTTCCTCGTAGCTTTTCACTATTAACATCACCTTGCTGTATTTTCATAATTTATAACATAAAAATACAAAATAAAATTTCTTTAATCTGAGTTCTCAAAAACGTGCACACGATAATCTAAACAGTGTTTTCCTATATTTAATGCCAGAGATGCTAACTCCCTCAAGGTTAGAAAATTTTAAATTCTCGATTAAGTAATTATTTGTATAAAATTTAGATCACCCTGTTACGACTATCGGTAATGCCAACGAAAATGCGGGGATTTAGAATAACGTACTATACTGTTACGATTTTATATATTTACGTTCTCTGTCGGTAATGCCAACGAAAATGCGGGGATTTAGAATAACGTACTATACGTTCTCTGCAAAATACCTAAAAATAAAAACAGAGAACGTACATCGTAATTCTACGTTCTTTGATAATACTAAATACACAGGAAAACTTGAAAAATCGAAGCATTAGAAAATATCACGTCTAAATTGGTTTTGATAATAGTTCAAATAGTGTTGCTTAAAGAAAATATCTTATTAATGCTAATTTACATTGTGTACCTCTAAAATATTTACCGTCTGCTAAAGTCTTGTTCCATGTTTTGTTTGTTAATCGCCATTGATTTCCAATCAGCTGGAGTTTTAAATCATTATTGTAGGTAAATGCAAAAGTAAATAAATAACTAAATAAATTTAAATATACATTAGGTGCAACACTTTTGAGCTGAAAAGTATTTATATTTACATTTTACATTACATGCAAATGTTTTATTACATATTTTTTAATATAATTAAAACTAGTATACGTACAAAATTTTACACAGAACGTGATTCCATATATACATTTACATATAATGCGCTCCAAAGTGATTGGAATGGCTAAATTCTGAAGTCAGTCAATCCTTTAAGTCCAATAAGTTCGTAGAGGTATGCCGGAGAAAAAGAATACACCGCATGAATTGCGTGTCTACAAGATTGTGATACTTGGAGATGGAGGAGTTGGGAAGTCTGGTAACTTAACTAACAAAAACAAAAATCCCATTTACTCTCAGGACTAAAATTTGCTTTACATTGTAATTTTCAGCTGTAACTTTACAATTTGTAAGTCATAGTTTTACGGACTACCATGATCCAACAATTGGTTAGCTTTGATAAAATAGAAAATTATAATGAAGTTAATAAATAAAACCCATTTGCAGAAGATTCTTATCAACAACAAGCAGTAATAGATGGGGATGCAGCGCTTCTGGACATACTTGACACAGCTGGCCAAGTTGAATTCACCGCCATGCGAGATCAATATATGCGTTGTGGGGAGGGTTTCATAATATGTTATTCAGTGACCGACAGACATAGCTTTCAAGAGGCCTCAGAATATCGTAAACTTATACAACGCGTAAGGTTATCTGAAGACATTCCCTTGGTATTAATAGCAAACAAGATTGATTTAGTCTTAGCCAGAAAGGTAAAAAAGTTCTTATATAATCGAAAAACTATTAATCCCAAATTAATATATTAAAAAGGTAACAACTGAAGAGGGCAAAAATTTGGCGAATCAGTTCGGCTGCCCCTTTTTTGAAACGTCAGCATGTGAGAGGTTTTGCATAGACGAGCCTTTCTACACTCTTGTTCGTGAAATACGTCGCAAAGAGGTTATATGTTTCTCCAAGGAGTGTGTCTAAAACGTATTCGCGGTTACGTACATTTCAATTTTATTATTTTGTGTTTCGTTGGACTGGCTTCCTTTACTCGAACATATAGCTTACCCACCAAAAAAGGACTACTCAAGAAATATTAAATGGTCAGGAGGTGTAAAAAATAGTTCACACGATGCAAGTAACATGAAAACAGACATAATAGTATTTTCTGATTAATGAATTTGATTTCAAAAATTTTGCATTCGTTAGGGATTTGTTGTGTGAAATGATTTATAAAAAATATGATTTTGCAAAATTTTTTAGTAGTTACTGTTTTTGATTTAGTGCAATATATACATTAATACATGTTTACGAAGTGTAGAAGAAAATTGAACGTGCGTAGCCCGCGAAGGTAACACAAACATTTTGAACACACTTCGTATTATTTTTACTTATTTATGAATATTGAATACTTTTTTAATCATATTAAATATTACAGGCGCAAGGCAGTGGCACAAGTTCTGAAAAGTTACATTCTCGTCGAAGAAGTCGTTGGTGGCGAATACGTTCAATTTTCGCTTTGGTATTTCGACGACGTAGAAATCTGAATTAAGTATGCTCAAATAAATATCAGCTATTCGAATCGAATTCGAAACAATATAAACCCACATTGGGCTGAATATTCGCCCATGATTGGCTTCCTGCGTGTTGCTCACGTACACATTTGCTATTGATCTCCACTGGGTAGAGATTTCATTCTTTTAACTAACTTTTAGACTTATGTACATATATAGCAAAAGATTCAATATGAAAATAGCAGGAAGTAGTTTAGTCTCATAAGCATACTTATAATATTATTTATTCTTAATTTTTTTTATAAAGTTATGTTAAAATCCAAGACAAATTTCAAATCTTCGTAAATATTGGGGTGCATACGAATACACAAAATGCATTTAGACATGCGGTCCAAATTAAGCAACTAAACAATGAAGAAGAAAAAAATGACTTAAAGATTATTTCTAATAAATTATATTTATTTTTAAATAAGGAGAAGAAATGACTGGAATGCGATTCCTATCTCAGCTGTAATCAGGTAGGTTCTTAAGGTAACAACCACCGCTGCCGCATATAATATTGTAATGTAAATTTAACTCTTTTGAAAACACTATGGCTTAGCTAAGTTAAGCAAAACTTGTAAGTTTGTATATAAATATTATTTATCAATAATTTATAATATATATTTTTTGGGATAAAAACACTTTTGGTCATAATAAGATTATATTTCAAAAACAAAGTATTTGTATATTTATTCTATATATTTAGTTATTATTTTATTAAACCAATCATCGCGAATGTTATTAGCGCCATTTTGTAGCTACAAGGATTTTCATGAAATGTATCTATATACTATTATTCAACTAAGTTTCCTGTATTGTAATACTATTAAATATGGTTGAAAATGTGTTATCTAGTTGAAATTATAAATATAAGAATTTTGAATTTTAAATTCAAAATGAACCATTCTGTAGGTGTCATATTTATGTGAGTTATAATTAAATTAATTAATTAATGAAAAGCTTTGAAAAATGTTATATTTTGTTTTTGTTGTTGATAAATTATTTAATGTAATTATTACTTCTAAAGAATATATAGAAATGTATATGTATATCCTATGGTACCTGGATGAATAATATTACTTTTATTGTTATACTACAAAAATCAAATACTAAGTACACAAAAACTGAAACAATAAGTTCCTTATTGAAAAATTTATACAAAAATATGATTTGTCTGTATATATACATATATATTTACATTTATTATTTCATAGACACAACTTTATTCACACGAACTCATTTATGTATATACATATGTATGTTATTGTTAATTAAACCCAAAGATATACATAAGTCGAAGAATATATGTAGCAAACTAAGCATGAATAACATCTTTATCTTCACACCGCTAAGACTCTACCAGTTTCACTTAAAAATCCAAGTTTACTTTTAATAATTGAATTTAAAAAAGATTTTTACTGCAATGCAAAATGACACATTGATTTTAATAAACATTAACCTTTTGACAAATTTTACTCAACAAAACTTCTGAACTGAATATTAGACGGGCTTTCCAATATTAAGGTATACACAATGGTCGTCCAGTATCATTCGTTATACCTAATGCCTTTTTTTGTTTTGTTGATTACTCTCACTAACACACTATTCTATATAAAGAATGTCCGATTTATTTGTATGTTTGAATGAGATGATTTTTGTTTGTGTTATTGAAGGCTAAGAAAATACGGGATATTGTCAGGCTTTCGAAGCAATATGTAAACCGATTTAATTTTATATTTTAAATTTTTTTTCTCGATTATTAATTGAGTTAAATATTTATTGTAATAATTAAGAATGTTAATTTAACTACATACAAAAAATTTTCAAATAAAGTCGGAGATTGTTATAAGCAATGCTATACATATGTATGTGTGTCTTATGCAATTATGAATAAATAAAAAATGAAACAAAATCTTGAATAGTGAAATGTGATTTATTATGATGGTTAGAACTAAGGCAACCATATATACGAAAAAAGTCATAAATTAGTTTTTCCTGCGATTTGTGGTTTTGCGTTTTGATGATTTTCCAACAAAAAGGTGAGACATACAGTTTATACTAAGCCGCCCCCGAGCGGCTGAAGGTTTTTTATGAGAAGCTATAAGATTGCTCCGGAGAAAAATAGAACAAGTATTTTTGGTTGTCTTTAAAACATATGTGCCATCTGCAATAATCAATTGCTTATCCTCTACTCTGCAAATCAGTTCTAAGACCCAAGTTTAAAATCACTATAGATCAGTGAATAATCAAATAATATGGCAGTTATGTTTGAAGGCCGTATTGCCTATCGTCTTGATCTTGTTCATCTTGACTTTTACAATAACTTCCTGTATAATTAACCGGAAAAGAGAAAAATCACCCATTATCAATTTAAAAATACATATTTGTTTCAATAGCTCTTTGACAACGGTGAAACACATCCATAAAATTACCAACCCTGTCGTTGTACTAAGCGCCATTTTATTTTGAACATATTATGCTTATCTCACTTTTTCACATTGCTAGTTTGCTACCTGCTTGAACATTTGGAAATATTCTCTCTCCCTTTGAATCTGACGCACTTCGTATTTTTCAATGTTGTCTACTCTTTTCTATTGAAACATTTCAGATATATATAACTCCTTATAATTGCTTTGAAACACCTATATTCATGCTGTTAATGTATATAATAGCTTTATAAAGGCAGTCAATTTAATTTATATGTACCCGAATATATGAAAACACTTTAAAAGCCAAATTATACTTTAATAAAAAATATATTACTAGTTTTACATTATATTTTTTTTACACAATTTATGAAATGAATATTATTCCCTCTTAAAAATTTAACCTCTGAATTTTTATCGTTCGCGTAAGGGTAAAAATTTGGTGAGGGTTGGCAGTACTGTATAAACATCGGCTGAAATCGTCACTTGTATTTTAAAGGCGTTGTTCATCATCATTTTCGGGCGATTTTGGTGAAAAGAAAAAATTAATCGGGAAGAAGAAATTGTTAATTATTTAATACCGCAGATATTTTGCACAACAAAAGAAAGTTGGAAAGGCAATTAGAAATAGTCATAGCACATATTTTTTTATTGTTCGTTAGTCGATTTGACCGAGTGCTGCAGTAAAAGTCATCAAATTCTGTAAGTGAAAAAAGTGAATATCAAACAGTAGCAGCAAGAAGAGTTATAGAAAAATTCGGTGAGCGGGTAGGAGTGAAGAAAAAAGTTCCACACATGAAACTTCGAATGGTTGATGACAGTGACTGCTGACTTGGTGATAATGAAGATGATTATTGTGATGTTAGATACGATGACGTTCGCGTCATTTTGAGCTCTCGGAGGGTATCGGCAGCGCCGTTCGCGCTGGCTGAAGACTGCTGACTCGAAAATATGTGGAGGAAAGTCTGCTGAGCAACATCAAATCGTAATAAATTTGGCAGGTGGAGCAAAGGAAAACAAGAAAACATTGGATCCAAGTTGTATTTTAAATACATTATAAGATATATATTCCAAAGAAGAAACTTCAAGCAGCGGTTAAATTTTTCTCTAAATGAGCTATTTAATATTTATTGTAAAAGTATAAACTTAAATTTTCATGGGATATACATCTATTACGCCACAAAATTTTGCTCCAAATTTCGTATTAAAATGTGTTTTTTTATAGCGTTTTGTCCAGAATATTAAAAATTTTTCTAATTGCTGCGTTTAATTTCTCACATGTATTTGTTAAAACATTCCTAAGCAAAATGAACATTTTTGTGATGTCATTCTTTGCAGATCCAATGACGACGATTCGTAAAAAATTAGTGATTGTTGGCGATGGTGCCTGTGGTAAGACGTGCCTCCTGATTGTTTTCAGTAAAGATCAGTTTCCTGAGGTGTATGTCCCAACTGTTTTTGAAAACTATGTTGCAGATATCGAGGTCGATGGTAAACAAGTAAGTAAAAACAAAAACGGGTATTAAAAAGTGTTGAATAAATGCTTTTTCTGATACGTTGTTCTACATTGTAAAGCAAATTACAATCATAGTTTTAGAAACTCCTGCTATTTAAATAATTCAATATAAACTTGCTTTAAAAATTTATAAAGATTTTTTGCATTTTTTTTGTAGTTATGCATTATACTACTTGAAAGAACTCTCAATTTATAAAAATTGTTCTTATTGACTTAATGGCTTCTGCATTAAGGGGCAATTTAGTCTAGTCGATGAGTCACAGAAAAACAATATATAAAAATAATGTTATATTGCTAAACCAAGTTTTCGTAGCATAGTACCATCGTGCCATAGGTGTTTGACTATATACTATTAATACTTAACACCATCTAGTGAGAATTGTTATATACATGGTCGCGTTGTCATTTTAGGTGGAGTTGGCCTTATGGGACACAGCAGGTCAAGAAGATTATGATAGACTGCGACCACTCAGTTATCCAGATACGGATGTCATCCTGATGTGCTTTTCAGTGGATTCGCCCGACTCATTAGAGAATATCCCCGAAAAGTGGACTCCCGAGGTCAGTATGTTTTAAGGTTGTAATAAAAATATCTTATTTTAACTTTTCTTTTTCAGGTCAAACATTTTTGTCCAAATGTTCCCATAATTTTGGTAGGCAATAAAAAGGATTTGCGTAATGATCCTAACACTATTCGTGTAAGTTAAAAAATAAAAATATGTTATTATTTTAGAGACTTACTAATGTTGCCTTCCAATTATTCAGGATCTTGCTAAAATGAAACAGGAGCCAGTTAAACCTCAGGAGGGTCGCGCTATGGCAGAGAAAATCAATGCTTTTGCCTATTTAGAATGCTCCGCTAAGTCTAAAGAAGGTGTACGAGATGTCTTCGAAACTGCTACCAGAGCTGCATTACAAGTAAAGAAGAGGAAGAAGACCAAATGCCTTTTGCTCTAAAAGAGCAAGTCGTGACATAATACACTACACTCCCAATTTTTATTTCCTCTTTTTTATAACGGGCATCTTTTCAAATGTGTATTTGATTGATAACTTCTTGATCACGATTAATTGATTATTAAATAATAATCTTACTTCATTCGTATTTTATTTAAATGAAAACAAAACTATATTATAAACATGTATTTAGAATTAACAAATAATGTAAAAAAGCTAACAACTCAACAAAATGCATGAAAAAGAAAACTTTTTGCTTGAGAAACCCTGATGAATAAGAATTTACATAAACATCGTAATTTGAGAAATGTAGGTACTAAAGTGGAAGTGATAATTATGGGAGAAAGTAAAGTCGGAACTGCAACAATTTTATAACAATCTACATGCATACACGCACACATGCACAAACACGAGAGTGCAAGCAAGGGAACACTTTCAAAATGTTTTTGAGTGTATTAGTGTAGATTTTGTTGAATGTCTCCAATTTTAATTTTTTTTTAATACGTTAGTAAAACTGAAACAATAAACGACCACCAAAATAAATATAATATGTATTTGTGAATTTTGCTACTTTTTACTACAGAAAAAAATCTAAGACGATCGATGGTCAATGATTTTTGTAATGTTTAAGTCAATACTAAAACGCATACTATTCATTGAAAAAGCATTTGCCCTAGAGAATCGTAAACATGCCTCCAATGACAAACAATTTTCAGAAAGATAGTCCTTTATATCAGAGGTTCAAATCATTCAATTTCAAATCAACCTAATGTTTAGCAATGGTACCATATAAAAAAAAGAATAAGTATTTTAATAATAAAGTAAACGAATAAAAACTTAAGAGACTAAAAATCATTTAAAGTGTATTTCTTGGATAACTTAGGCTTTAATTTTTTCAATATTGAATATAGTTTTCAAAAAGATGCATTTAATTTTAAATGTAAAATTATGTACTAAAAATAAAATATTCAACATATGAATGCCAAATTAAATGTGGACTGATTTAACGATTTTCGCGGGAAGGTGAAGTTTTCTAATATAAGAGGTTCGAATTTGTTACAATATAGAGTAACATACCATATTATTACGCCCAATAGTCTAATGCTTTTGAGGAAGCCAACAAAATTACTATTACTTCCGAAATATATATGTAAAAACATTAATATACATATATTTATATGACTTTTCTAATTCGCCTCCGAACGGTCAGAAAGTATACCAAAAAGTATACATAGCAATAAAATAAAAATTAAGATTAATTAATGAACACATTTATTATAAAGTCTCTTAAAATCATTAATTCCTTTATTTTAAAAATCTACAATTTTTTCACAGACTCGTATAAAATTTTAAAATTTCATTAGAACTCCTGAGAATTGAAAATAATAATCTTATCCGGTTTTTTCTAAGAACACAGATAATCAGTATGGGATAAATAAGTATGCTAAAAATCCGAATTGAAAGGAAAGTACTTGTGGTGACTCATGCCAGAGAAAGGTATTAATCGTTGTCCTGTATTGTATACGTCCATATTTTCCATGTCATCCTCGCTCAATTCAAAATCAAATATTTCAAAATTTTCCGCGATTCTACTTTTCGAAACAGATTTTGGGATTGGTATTGTTCCAAGCTGTAATAGATAACGTAAACATATCTGAGCTGTCGTTTTCCCATATTTTTTTGCTAAATTTTTTGCTTTTGCGTCGTATAGGAATGGGGGCCATTGTTGATCTGGCTTGGGCCGGGCCAATGGACAATAAGCGGTAATAACTATGTTATTTTGTTTAGAAAAAGCAATTAATTTCTTTTGATTAAAGCCGGGGTGACATTCCACCTGGTTGACCAAGGGACGAATACGGCATTCTCGCAATACACGCTCCGTTTGTTGTGCATTGAAATTAGAAAGACCAATTCCACGCACTAAACCCAAATCAACAAGCTTCTCCATAGCCCGCCAAGTATCCAGGTAGTCTACATCAGAGAGGTCCAAAGTACCGTGTACATTGTCGTCACCTTTATGTATTTGACCGACGGGAAAATGCATTAGGTATAAATCTATGTAATCTAAATTCAGGTTGGTTAGGCTCTTGCGGCAGGCATATTCCACCAATTGGGGGTCGTGATGAATACCAGCTAATTTGGTCACTATAAAAATGTCTTGGCGTGTAATTTTGCCTTCCGCAATTTTCGCATTGACTGCGCGTCCAACTTCGTCTTCGTTTTCATATACGAAAGCAGTGTCGATATGTCTATATCCTAAATCAATTGCATCCTTCACGGCGCGTTCTGCGTCTGATTCACGTGAACGCCAGGTGCCCAATCCGATTGATGGGATATGTTGCCCGTTGCTCAGTTTAATAGTTGGTGCTAATGAAGTCATTCTGATCTGTTGATTGATAGTTTTTTAATACATATTTATTCATGTACACATAAATACACGTTTTATATAACTAATAAACCAAATCTTACCGTTGTCACAAATTTTTATCTGTTCGATGCTTTATTAACGGGACCTTGGTTTTCTGGTATCACTAGGCTTTTAAAATCTACGTAAAAACTTTCATTCACCTTGCTTGATAGCAAGATTACAGAAACAAAGACCCCATATATTTTGTTCGTGTAACCGTGTGGGCAAAATGTCAAAGTCTCAATTCGCCAATTATTATTGCAAGAAAGAACAAGCAATTATGGGACAACTTTAACTTTTATGAATTCGCCTTGCTTAAGCTCCCTCAATATGGAATCAAAGAATACATACATATATGTACATAAGCAGTTAACTTATAATAACGAGAAGAAGAGAGCTTATAATAGCAGATATTAAAAATGCTTGGTACATATTTAAATTTCTATTTAGCACAGATATACATTAAATTGAAAAAAGTTTTGAATATGATTTTTCTGTTTTTAAAAGAAAATCCATTGCGATTTCTGCTATCTTTTTTAGTGGCTGTTATATAAAGCAGGTTTTATGTTGCAACGAATTTTCACCTTCTCGTTACTCTAAATTCTCTGGCTGTCTGGCGCCAGTTGGAAATACCCAGGGAAGCCAGATCACACTCCACCAGATCCTTCAAACGGAGTGGAGGTCTCCATCTTCCACCAACGGGTACTGCATCGAATACTTTCAAAGCTGGAGTATTCGCATCCATCCGGACCACATGACCTAGCCAGCGTAGCTGTTGTCTCTTCATTCGCTAAACTATGTCAATATCATCGTATAGCTCATACAGTTCATTATTCCATCGTCTTCGGTATTCGCCGTTGCCGATGAGCAAAGGACCAAAAAATCGCAAAACCTTTCTCTCGGAGACCCCTAGAGCCGGTCGGCTGTTTACATCGTCTACGCTTCTGCAACATATAGTGGGACGGGTATAATGAGCGACTTGTAGAATTTGGTTTTCGTTTGCAGAGAGAGGTCTTTACTTTTCAATTGCCTACTCAGTTCAAAGTAGAACCTGTTGGTAACAGTGATTCTGCGTTTGATTTCAAGGATGAAAGTCAAGAATACGATGACTGTTTGTTTGATGACAGGAGATATTTCGTCTTGCCCACATTCACTACCAGACCCATTCGTATTCAGCTCTGCAGGTCGTATTATTTTCTCCAGCAATAAGTTTGAAAAATCGCACGATAAAGAGTCACCCTGTCTGAAACCTCGTTTGGTATCGACCGGCTCGGAAAGCTCTTTTCCATTCCTCACGGAGCTTTTAGTGGTGCTTGAGGTCAGTTCACACAGCCGTATAAGTTTTGCGGGGATATCAAACTCAGACATAGCGGCATTTTTCTTTCTGTCGAAAGCTGATTCAATATCCACTAAAAGGTGGGGTGTGTCGATCCTCTTTTCACGGGTCTTCCCTAAGGTTTGGCACACGATGAATATTTGGCAAATGGTTTACTTACCAGATCTAAGGCTAGACTGATAAGGTCCAAGTTTGTTGATGGTGGGCTTTAGTATTTCATACAATCCGCTCGCGCTGATGCATGCACCGGATCAACTCTTCACCGAAGTATTTGAATAGCTCGGGCGGTAATCCTTCGGTACCCTCCGCTTTGTTTTTTTAAGCGCGCGATAGCTATTCGTACTTCTTTATAGTCGGGTAATGAAACAACTGTTCCATCGTCATCAATTGGAGTTTTGGGTTCACCTTTTCCGGGTGTAGCATTTTCACTGCCATTCAGCAGGCTGGACAAGGGTTCCCTGCATAATTTCAATATACTCTGGCCAACGATTGTTAGATTACCTCTTTGTGTCCTACAGGAGTAGGCTCCGGTCTTGAAAACTTCAATCCTTCACATTAGCTGCTATAAAAATTGAAAATGACTTAAATAATTTTTTTTTATTTTGTTTTTATTTTATTTTTATTTTGTTTTAAATATTATTCTAACATTTTTGAGTGATGTTAAACATTTTAAAGAAATAAATATGTATGTATGTATATATTATATATTTTTAAATTTGTATAAGTCTACATGTACATACAAATACGAATAATGATTTTGTGAAAATCGAACAAACTATAACTATAAAAATTGTTGAACTACAATATTGCTCGGTTGGTTTTCAATGTAAAGGTGTTTATTGTTATTGGTAATTTTGCTCAAGTTTTTTTTTTTTTTTTAGATTAAGAAGCTTATAGTTAATTGGAGTTATTCTTCTTACAGTGGACTTGGCTGTCTTAGCATTTATGTATGTTTGCACTTGTGTAAATATGTATACATATACACATACATATACACTTACATGTACACATACATACATATGATGGCTCAGAGGGAAAGATAATTATTGTAGCTGATTTAAATTAATGACATATTTGTGCCAAACATGGTATTGAATTGTATATATGTAAGTACATACATCATTTAAAAGTGTGTTAAAACAACAATTTTCATGGAAGTGCAATGTCATTAACTCTTGCATAGCCTTAACTATTCCGCATTGCTACTACTCCTTGTTCGTTTTGAGTTACACCAAATACACCAAGTTCTGTTCCTTCGAGTGTGGTGCGACGCAACTGCATTCATTTTGCCTAAGAAAGTTTCTATACTCGCATATCTCTCGTAACTACGGCATTATTTACAATAGTTATGAGAAACGAAAAGAATAATTTATTTAGACTAAAGATTTTTATTGCAAATTTAATTGCAAAGGCTTCCACTTTTAATACGCCTCATTTCTGTATGTAGATAAGTTATATATATATATATATGTATGTATGTATGTATGTATGTGCCTTCATATGAATGCGTATACATATTTATATATATATGCGTATATGTTAACATTCATATGTACACGTATGTATTTATTATACAATATGATTGGTGTTACTAAAATGTAGAAGTTGCATTTCGGAGCATAACTTTAAGATTGTCAAATCTAATCACATTTAAAAACTATTTCTAAATAGTAGTATTTTTTGCTTGTTTTGATTTAATAACTTTACTATGAAAAGTTTATAATAGAGTTTTACTATCATCTAAGTGAAGAATGTTTGCATAAAGATGCAAATATACACATTCATGTTTAACTTTCAATTGTAATATATACGTGTATGTATGTAAAAATAAATATGCTGAGCTCCCATTTTTTTTATTTTCAAATGATTTAGGAAACTCTGCGGAGTTGAAAACAAAAATATATATCTATTTATATGTATAAATGTATATATGTTTTTAATTTGATTTTGTTAGAAGGTAGAAAGAGTGTTTTTTGCTTTTGTAGGTAAACAGAGTTTCGTTTTAATTCTTAAAACTAGCGAAATATTTTATTTTCCCATTTTTGCAAATTTTTATACCATCTGGAATTCTCCACAAAAATTCATTTTTTGTATGGGTTTACTCATTCCTATATTAATAGTCAAGATACATATATTTATATAATTTTCAAAATCAATAGTATCTAGTTTCAAATATATATATATTGTAAGGTAAATATTTATATAATAAATGGACGACTTTCGAAATGTATTGTAGATAAAGTATTGAAAGGCTTATTTTAAATATTCAATGTCCCTTTTATATACATACTTGTATGTCGTACATACATATTTATTTATTGGTGTATACGCAATGGTTAATGTTTCACATATTATTACAAAATAAAATTATATAAACTTGTAATATTTTGGTTATAAAATTCGATTTTTAAGAAACCATCATTTCTTGGAGCCCAACCTTTTGTAGAATTTGGATTTGAACTCTAAGATAGTGACAATACATAGAATATTATTCAATTAAAATACTGTTAAAACTCTATTGTTATGTGTGCTGTTAAGCTTTTTACTATAACCACAACATAAAATAAGACAAAACCTGTTAGATCTGTTTCGTTCAACTCGAAATTGGTTGGTGTTGAAATTTGTGGTGTTAGACTTGGTGTTTTTGCAACAAATGGAGGATCTAGAGTTTCTTACTATAATTACAGCTTTTGGTAGGGGTTCGAGTTCTATAGTAGGAACCGGTTACCACTTGACTAATGTGACCGACCCTGAGTACTGATGTGGTGCGAGAAGCTCAAAATTTCGCAACTATAAAAGCAATGTTTGTTGAAGTAATATAACTAACAAGCCGCAGAGCCTCTTTAAATTAAAGATAAAGCTACCGCTACATAAACATGGCATAGCGACTTTCGTATAAAATAAAATGGCTGTTTCTGAAGTTTTTTTTTTCATAGGTAGGAAAATTATACGCATACAATATTCTGCGTTCGTTTTACATTCCTTTAAAAAATGAATCATCAATTCCTTCTTTTCTGGAGAAAAAAACGTTAGCTGTAATATATTTTCAATTAAAAAAATATTGAAAAACACGAGCCTGCCGGTTATTTAATGATTAATTCTACCCGGCCAAGATCTGTCTTACTAGTTATGTATGTATATTAGTATAATATATAAATGTAAATTTTATCTAGGACTAGTGGAATAAGTGCTCCGAAAAAGTATGGGATCGATAGTGCATTCATAATGCATATAAATGTGGTAAAGATTTGGCTATTCAATGTACGTTAAGTTATTTATTATGAAAAACTTTTGGGGCTTCCCTAATATTTTGATTTTAAGAGGTGTGGTAATAACAGCTAAATTGATTTGTTAAACTTTTTTCATCTTTAAGAGATTCTATATCTTATATATATGTAAGTATTAATATGTTTTCCCTTTGTTTTTTAGTTCATTATAAGTACATTTATGGAATTTTACAACAACAAAAAAATTAAATAAATTAAAAGCTTTCGAAAGTATTCTATAATAGCATTATAGAATACAAATATATCGAAAATAGTTTTATTTTTATTTATTTTATTTTAAATGGACTTGAAACAATATTCGGGATAGAAATTGAATCTAAATGTTTTGTTATTTTAGCCCAAATTCGTGTTGTCATTTTATTGTAAGTTTGAGTCCACATTAGTCCGATTTTAGTCATCACAATACGTTCACTGCTTAGTTCAATATGAGCAGATTTTTATCTATATATGCATATCTATGCACATATAACTCCATACATACAAACGATTCCTTCAAAATTACTGACTGTGTGGCAATTAAATATTTTGAAAAAGTAAATAACGTGTGAAAAACAGATTTTTTTCCTAGTTGTTAGACCTATATTTCGGCGTTATGTAGAAAAAAGCGAAATCTAGCTTTTCCATCCCCTCATCATCACCACGAAAAATTAATTAGAGTATTTTATTTCTAATTTTATCTATTTTGTTTTACTATATATCTAAGAACTACCATTTCCCTTTCAGAACTGCTATTTTGTTTAAGACGTGGGATATTTCAGTTTTGAGGGTGTCCAAGGAAAAATCATTCTAGAAGACTGCCCTTTTTAAGTCCTGCATACCATTGAACTATTACAAGTGCGTGTAGACTCAAAGATTCTAGACGGAATTGATTAGAAAACCAAGCAGGACACCTAAGAAAGTCTACTCCATTATCACTCCACTAAACCTTTGCTAACCTATTACCATAACAGCGGGGTTATCTTCAATGAAAATACACCATTTGTTCTGGTTTCTTTTCCAAAATGTGAATAAATGATTATCGGGCAGTGAATAAAAGGTCAAGGGAAGAATGCCACAACTAGAAAAAGCGCCACACACCACAGAGCTTCCATCACCGCAGTTCCGTACAGCTTTCCGGGGAAGAAAATTTTTTTGGGTACCGGTTCTTTCTATGAACAGAACTTCAGTGGTGCAAGGCTTATGGTATGAGGCGCTTTCTCTAGTGACAGTAGTTTATCCTTTGGCCTTTGTTTAAAGCAACTCAACAGTAATTAGCCATTGCCCAAGTAAATTAGTATAAAATATGGATTATCCACAAAAAGCATGCGTTGGCAATTGATTTGATACTCTTGTAAGTAATTAAGTAATATTTAAGAAAACAACTTGCAATCCAATAGTTTAGAAGACTTCAACAGGCCAACAAAATTTGCTTTACCGGTAACAGTGAGAATAGGCCTGAAATACAATTTTGTCGCCGCCTACATAACGCCGAAGATTGGTAGTTTTAAAATTATTGCAGAATTGCAATAATCTACATTTATTCAGTGGATCACTATTGGGGCATATTTAGAAATTTATGTATGCATATTCCAGTATATGATAAGCATCGCTGTTGGGAATATCCTTCCATCTATTGAAAATTTCCAAAGAGCACGTATACATGGATAGTTGTGAAGTAGTGTTCAAATATTGATTAGATGTGCTCTTAAATTTTCATTCTGTTACTTGATTTTTTTGAGATATTGTCATTATATCAGATTATCATTGAAAAAATTGCAAGAAAAAAAAAAACAAATTGCTAAAGATGAATTCCAGGCATTTGGAGAAATGGATCCAAGTTACTTTTAAATATGAGCTTTTGTCGATAAAAAGTATTCCAATTGTCATATAATTTCATTGAGGACCTTTGAGCAAAGGGAGTATCAAAGACTAAAACTAAGAGACAGACGAAAATCAGAAAATTCGTTGAACAAAATCTCTTAAAATATTGCGAACACAGTTTACCATGAATACTTCTTCACGGATTTGCAGCTCGACTTTTCATGAATTTGTTTCATTTCTATGGTGTTATTGATTGTTTGTGTTTCCTTATTTACTTTAGACTTTGCGTGTTGGTTCGAGTTTTTGTGACATGGCTGTTAAAACACGTTGGTTGTCAATTGCGCGCAGACAACAAATATACGATCGCGCATCCCCTTCACTCTTGGGTGATGGTGGATCAAGACCTATGAAGTGATCTAAAAGAATAAACATGTTTTCTTTGCCTATTTGAAAGTCTTACTTATGGTTCGCGAGCGACAGTAACGCATTGTGCGCATGGTCTGGGCCATCATGTGCATTTTCTCGAAATTAACCAATCCATCCAAACTGGTTTTATTTCCCTCATGGGCGAAAGTCATATCCTTGAGTAAAAGTGGCATAAACGGAATCAAAGGCGGCTGTAGTTTACCAACGTAAACACGATAAGCTCGATGATTACGGCTGGGATCTATGAGGGCTTCGAATTCCTGAAATAACTTGCGAAATTTCGAAGGAATTTTATCCCAGGTTTGAGTTAAGCGCGAAACTGCCATATTTGAAAGACCCATAACGATGGCAAAGAAAGCGTTCAAATTATTATATTCCTTGCAGCTAAAAGACAAGACAAGACGTTTCACTATATGCAACCTCGAATGCTGTTGGTTGAAACTAGTTTACTTACTATGCTGCTAATTTAATGAACTTTCTCAATAATCCGACGCGTTTGCTCATGCTGCTTGCGGAAACGATATCGGTTACGATCCAATATTGCAGTTCATTGAAGCGACGTAGAAACACGTCCAGATTGGCGGTGATCTTGAAAGATATTGATTTAATAGTAAAAGAGTAAAAACAATTTGCTCTCAAAAATTTTCACCGTACTTTGCCAAAGTGATGTCTTCCAAATGTTCGATAGAGAAGCTCGTACTCATGTACTACCCAAAAAAGATCCCAATCATAGATTGTAATGTAGAAAGCTAAGTCTTTAGTGCTTAAAATTTCCAGATCAATGTCTATACCTTCAGTGGGACCTTCTTGTTCTGGAAGTGGTGTCTGAAAGAAACAAATAAAATTCGGGTCTACTACCTGTCTGCATTTATCTCGATTATTACAAGTTGCACATGCAACCACTAAAGCAATTTGCGGCCGTTAGATCCTAATATGACCTATGCACATGGTATAGTTGTGTTAAATATAATAGAAATTTAGAAATTTACCACGGCGTCCACGTGATCTTTGACTGTCACAAAAAGTCGTCCATTTAAGCTGAGTCCTGTGGGAATGCTAACATCGTTATCTTTGAAGACTGCACGCTCTCCATTCGATTTAACCTCGACCAAAACTAGATCCTCAGCACCTCTATTTAATTGTAGCTTCTCAGCGGCACATGCTTTAATTATTTCGGCGGTTGTGTGCAGGGGAAAGCGTAATGTGCAATAGGTGTGATCAGCGCAGTATACTCTGAAGATAACTGTAAAGAATTAAACCTTATAGTTGTCAGTGATTATGTGACCCTAAGAACATTTAAACTCACTATCGTCGTCGGGATGCATAGTATTTCTCGACGATGTTGTATTGCCGCTAAACAAGCACACGGGTTGACCATTTGGTGGCAGCTTCCATTTCTGTGCAGAATTTTGCTTACGGTCCTCTTGATATCGAGCTTTTTGTGTAAGCAGATTGTGTATATTGCTTGTTTCCTCACTCAATTCCGGATTAGCCTCTACCTCCAGGGCCATTTCCTAACCGAATGTAAAAGATTTAATAAAATTTAATCTAGAATAAAATATGAAAAGTCTGCCAAACCTCAATAAAATCACAGACACAAGGCTCATCCAATGCGGTATGTCGCGCGACCAGCACCCATTTATGCATGAACTGTATAACGCGCTTCTTGAAATTAATAATATATTCCCGGTCTTCGGGGGTTTGTGCCGCATCATTCACATCACAATGGAAAGTGCAGTGAAGTTAAGGAATTTAGCACACACACATATATATATACATACATATAGAAATCGAGGGAGTACAACCCTGAAGAGTAGTAATGGGTTACTGGGTTTTCGCGAGTGATTACTATATTCTACTTGAAGATTTGCTTTCAATCCCTTTCTTTCAGAAGATTGTTTCTCTAGTATTGAATGTTAGCCTAGACTGGAATCCTTAACTCACAGCATGGTGGTACGTACTGCCACCTACATGGCATTTCTAGAAAGTAAGTGCACTGGGGCTCTCACAGCCGAAGGGATTAACATGATATAAAACTCTTTATCTCGTGAGAGTACTCTAAAAATCCACATTTTCCAACAAATTGATATTTTTGAACATTTACAGCTATATTTTTCCTCAACAAAATTAATTAATACTTTTTCTTAATTTAAAAGTACAAATTTGCTGTGCTTAATAAAAATTTATTGATGAGAAAAATTGCTTTTTTGATGAAAAAAACTGGTACTTAGGCTTCTTCATTTGGCCTTGTTACTAACCCAGAAAAAATAATCGCGGAACGCATTTATCTGCAATCTATGAGAGTTTCGCATCATGTTGTCGTTTCGTAAAGAATGTCAATCCAGTCTCCTGCCAAGTGCGAAATACGCGGAAACCCCCGTTTGAGATTTATAATGATTTGAAACTACATATGGTGAAGCTTTGAATCGTACGAGTGTGTATAAGTGGTTTCGATAGCTTAAAAAAGGTCAAACGTCTGTATCCAAGAAGGACGTCAAAAATGTAAACCCGGCTACATCCCCTTCATAGAGAGGAATAGCGACTATGTCGAAAATAAGTACATAAAAATTTTTTAGTTTGAAAAGGATATTAATTGGCTAATTCATCCACAAGTTGAATAACTGGCATGAAAACCATGTTGGTTAATAAGAAATCGTCCAAGAAGGGGTCCAAGCTGCTCACTTGGTTACCGAGGCGAGTCTCCAGCAAATGTTCCAATATCTTTGATGGTGTTCCTGACATGACCGTATATCTGTTTGGAAGAAAGGTATATTCATATGTAGCTTTAAATTTTATGGATTTTAAGATTTTATTGCGCTAAATTTTTTTTTTTTAAGAAAAAAATATTTCTGGGAGAAATTTGTGTATCCATTTAGAGACTATAAAGAGTTTACCTAAGAAGAAATACAAAGAATATTTTTTGGGAAGTTTTAACTTCTAACGAGCTTTTGAGTTTGTTTTTAGAAGGAATTCTTGAAACAGGTCAAATCAACTTATCGGGTTAAAATGTTCAACGAAAATTAATCGGCCCTAGAAAGATATCGGGCTCATCCTTACAGAGCATATTGTTTCAAGGTGGAAATCGTCGAACGAAATCGATTTTTGTATAAAAAATGGCTTTAATTTTTTTCCAGCTTGCCATGTTTTTAAATTTACGATACTCATAAAATCATAGAACATTTATTGAGGAATTGAAAAGTGATTATTTCAAAACAGTTCCAGACTGAAGAACGACGACGACGACAACAACACCAATATAGTAAGGGGTTATATACACGTATAATGATAATTATTTGATGTGAATATCGAATAACTAAACAAAAACTGGTACTGATTTCGGTTAATAAAATGATAAATTTGATATATAGTATATATTTATGTATATCCGTATCTCACTTAAATGCCGAATGTTGACCCCGTTGCTTAGCTACTCGCTCCAATACTAATACGTCCTTGCCGTGCTCCTGTAGTCTTAACGTGTTGGCTTCAACATCGCGTAAAATACGGTTGAAATGCTCCTTATCAACACGTAGAAGATGACAATTATTTTCTTTTAACACGATCGTAGCAGCTCTAAAATTGAAAAAAATATATACATATATAAAACATTCATTGTACATATTGTGCATGCAGAAAGCAACGTTTGTGCGCTTGAATTTGAACGCTTAAACACTTTTTTGTAAATGAAATCACGTCTCCTATTCTTCCGAGTATTTAACTGCAGAACTTATTGTATTTTTCCAAGCCCGTATTTTGTGGGCGAAAACATATTTCCGTCGACTTCCGAAGTAAAATATTTCTAAGAATTGTCCAAGTAATGGTAATTCTTTGTATGTATGTGTGTTGATATATAATTTTAATTTTTCAGAAGTAGCTTAGTGTTCAAATTCATGAATTGGTTAAAGAATTCGCGTTATTCATGTGCATGGCATAGTCTACTGTAAGGCATTTCTTTACCTGGGTGCGTCGTTAATTAATGCGAGTTTGCCGAAATCGTCTCCATTCTTCAGAGTAGCCACAGTGCCCTTGCCGTGTATCACAACATCCACGGAGCCCTTGAGTAAAATATACCATGACCGACCTTCATCACCCTGATTAAATACTACATTAATGAGAAAAGAAAATAAACAACAAGCAACGAGCTTTTTACAAAAACATATATGTATATAAGTATATAATGGTTATTGACTTACGAATAGTTCCAGCCTGGGCATGTGATTCAAAAACAATAATTGAGGAGAGCTCTCGCTTAATGCTTGTGGACAAATGCGAAAGAGCTGTGATGTGTAAGAGCTCTTCAAAAATTAATTCCAGTTCTTCAGGTGTACGTTCGTGTGATCTGAAAAAGAAGAAAAATCGGCTGGTAATTTTCAAGTTAATTCATGGAAGGTGTTAAAACAAATCTATTTGAAAAAATGCTATTTATGATTCGATAAATTTCAAATTTTGCACATACGAAGTAAGAGTACTAAGAATCTTACGACCGGAGGGATATAATTTTTGCCATGTTGACTGACCCAGTTGTGTAGAACACCTTCAATTGTGGCGGACGAAATGTGTGGAAAAATCGAAAATGAGGTCTATTTCGCTCGCAGATTGACTCTGAGTAAACCACACATCCCATGCGGTTAGCATCAAAAAATTTGGCGAAAATTTTAAACCTACAAAAATTCAGTACAGTGACCTTTTTCTTGTATTAACAAGACCATCTGGTTTTTCCGGTTTTAAGACCAGTGGTAAGGGTTCAGAAAAATCGCTAGTTTAACATGAACATTTGTTTGCTTCTCGGAAGAGTACTAAGCAATTCGAAAAAGTGGACCAGGGAGCGCCCTATTTGAAAGCACCGTATATAGAATAGCTTGAATATAACATTTTCTTCCGGGAAGGTTGCCAGGGTATCATACGTTGGAAACTTGTTAGAGTAATAATACAATAAAACAAATCTAAATTCTTGCTAAAAATATACGAGTACTTACGGTTTGCGCAAAATCATTCGTAGTGTGGCATCAGGTCCGCGTTGGAGAAGTGCGCTAATAGACTCACGAATATGCTCGTTAGCTGTATTAATATCCTCAGACGTTGAGTAGCTGCTAGTCGCACTATCCTCATCAACACGAAACCGATACAAGAAACATTTATCCTTGAAAGGTTGCTCTTTATTTACTGTAATCATATATAATGACATAAAAATAATATTAATGATTTCATATCACTTATTATGTAGTGACCGGCTTAACTTTCGCCATGTTTCTATACTAACCGTGTGAGAGTACGCCTTCTTCGAGCAGTGCTTGCCACATGCCAGCTGCCTGGGCTCGTGTGTGAACGATGGGTGACAAATTCAGCAGCCAATCCACTAACTCCGTACCTGGTGCACATTTCCGAATGAGTTTTCCAGCAACCTTCAAAATTTATAAAAATAGATAACCACTTATGAGATGGAATGCTGCACTTACCTTCCTATCTTTCAGGCAACTTGAACTGTCAGCAAGGAGAAGTGTACGTAAAGCCCTTCCCATGCGGTTCATAGCAGGACTCGGAGACTAAATGTTGGAAAAATTGAAATAGTTATCAGTTTTATGCGATATTAAATTTTGTGTTTAATAAAATAGTAGCAGACCCAGCGACACTTTCTTGTGACTTTCTAAAATTTTTATTTTATTATTGGTACATAGGTACTTATATTTAGCAAGAAGACTAATCCTTTCTACGACCTGTGCACCTGAGATCCACCTATTCGAAAAATCCACTTGGAAAAAATATACATATTCATTGTTCGATTTGGTTAAATATTTTGATGATATTCCCAAATGTTTCCTGAAAATGGACCGAATTTGATTTTCTCGAAACATATATAACTCTTTTCTACGGAGAAGCAACAATAACCCGACTCGAAGATCTTAGAAAACAAACAAACAAACCAAAGTTTTTATACATAAAAATAAGAAATGGTATCATAACATTGGACTAAGTAAACAAATGTGGACCAATGTGATCAAAATGAGGCGCTGACTTATTCTAACAGAGATTGCTTTTTTGCCTTTTTTTGCTTACTACTGTGGTAAATTTTGAGGGAGGTACATTCAAAAGTTTTAGTCCCAATTGTTACAGAAATTAACTGCTTTTACCATTTTTTTCTGAGATGCTTTCTCACCGTCGGTGACTAATTTTTTCGCTGATATTAGAAAAATTTTTAAGTGATGTCCTTTATGCTTTCTATTCCTATTCTATTCCCTAGTATTTTTGTACATTCTGCGTTTGTTTATTTGGAAGGGATACAGGAGGAAACACTGCAGTTGCTTAAATAAAACTCTCAACATTTTTAATATGTACACTTAAATCAAATACTCGATTCACAACTTCCTTTCAGTCGCAATGAATTAAAAGTTATATTTATAAAAAGAATGGCATACATATAAGTACACATATTTATTTTTAGGTAGATGATATGATTAGGCTTACCTCGGAAATTGGCAATGCGGGATTTGGATGATCTGGGCTTAAAGGGCGCTTAGTTGGTGACGATGCTACTGGAGAAACACCGGAGCCGAAACCTACGGAGTACAAAAACTGCAGTCTGTATGTGAGCGCTTACGGGTTTTTTTGTTTCTTAATTTATTTTAAATTTAATTAAAGTTAAGGTTTGTGTTCTAAAGGGGATTGGAATAAAAACCCTTAAGCTCTACACACCAGCGGCATACTCATACGAGTATACTTAGCCATCGACAAATCGTGGAAGTTTCCTCTTTCAAGGAAGTTGGCGAGAACGCAAGCCAGTAAAGTTAGGGGCTTTAAAATGATTCTATAACCAATCTAACAATTTAAATAATTATATATATTTGTATTTTATTTTTTTTTTTCGTCAAACTTACCATTTTTTAATTTACATGTGGTAATAATGTCATTTATCAATTCTTTATTCTTCTGCAAAAGAAAATATACAATTTAAGCTGTAGATATTAATTATTCAATTTTTTGTAGATTTTAGTATGGTTTATATTCAAAATTAAATTTAGTGTGAGTGTCTAAGCTTGGATGTAGGAGGGGGAGGAAAAGTTTTGTTACCATTGGGTAGATGGATGTTTATTTATTGATTGAGGTTTATGTCTATAATGTTTTTGTTGTAGGAATAAAGGTTGAGCTCCAAATGATGAGCTCACAATGGTGCTTGTGGCTTTCTAAATTTAGTGGGAAGAGAAAATGACCATCAAGAGGTTTTCTAAGCCCCGAGTAATTTGGCGTCGTTTAACCTCTTATCAGAGTTTGGACTTTCCATTTACGATTGCACTATAGTTATTGCAGAAAAAGCAATAGGTTTATTTGAAACAGTTATTTCAGAGATTTTTATGCAAATCAAGGCTGCATTGTACAGATTAATTTATCTCTAAGGGATTCTATTGAAGAAATTCCATCGCTTCGGTTGAAACGTTGGAAAATATTAGCGTTAACTAACACTTAAGGTCTGAAGTCAGGAATAGGAACGAGAATAGATGAAGAAATTGGTCAACGGGAAAGATACTTAGAAAACAGGCATTTTGTATGAACTAAACTTACCTCCCAGATCAGCCGAAAATCTTGTTGTTCTACACGAAGCAGCTCACAGGTTGTTTTCGTGACGACAGTGCTGTCTCGTGGTAGATCATGTAAAATGCTCTCACCAAATGTGGCTCCGACACCAAGGGTGCACAATGTTACTGGTGCCTGTGAAAATCATCGTTACTACTTTTACATCTATAAGTACATATGTATGGTGTATGCTATCTATGTAAATGTCAATTATTCGATAATCGTAACTCCAGACGAAGAATCTTCTACTGCTTACTAAAAAATGTCGAATCAAATTGACAATTTCCGTCCAGTCAAATGTCCATAAAAAGTCGAGAGGCTATACTCAATTCCTACTATTGCGAACACGTCGCGCACCGTGGAAACGTGAGCAACCCTTGTGCAAGATGCGGTAACCAACTCGTGTCACGGCCTTGGGTCATGGCTAATGAGAGAGGAAGCCTCAGTGGAGCCGCTCCTACTTATTCGGTTTAAGGGTCCGTTGAAGTCTAATCGAAGCGTCTGTTCACCAGAAGTGTGGCTGCAAGCGGGCGTTGGTTTTGAAGCAAGGACGAAAGCGAGTAGGTTCAGCGGCCATATAAAGGGGCGCAAATTTTGTGTCGAATTTGTGGTGGAGAGATTTACAGTCCTCTACGAGTTGGTAACAGTTAATATCACAGCCGATGGAATACGGCGACATCGGAATAGTTCAGCGAATCAAGAAACAGCGGCTACGCTGGCTAGGCCATGTGGTCCGCGTGAATACTCCAGCTTTTCACCCGTCGGTGAAAACAGAGAGAGAGAGGAAGACCTCCACTCCGTTCAAAAGACCAGGAAGAGAAGGACCTGGCTCTACTTTGTATCTCCAATTGGCGTCAAACAGCGAGAAAATGCAATGAATGGCGCAATGTTATAAATTCGACTGCAATCTCGTAAACGGTGTCGACGCTAGTAAAGTAAGTAAGTAATACAAGAAATTAAAAAAGTAGAGTTTTCGCGCTTTTCCTTCTATTGTCTTCATGAAATATAGACTGTAAAATAAAAGTGAATAAGAAAATTGTCTTGTTTTTTATCTTACGACTGCAGCTAATGATGATAAGCCTCCCGTGCCCCAAAATAAGTAAAACTGCTGCTCCCAATAAGTAGATGGAAATATCGGACCGCAACTTAACGAAGTCGTTTCCTCACTTTTTCTAATTTAAAAAAGCAAAAACTCAAAATCATTATGTGAATTAAAATGCATAACGGCATCTTTCGCTCAAGAATGGAGAAACGTTGCGTGTGCGGTCCTCTGCTTTTCGGTGATAACTTCAGCTTTTGAATTAAATTACTTCATTTATTTAGCGTCTGTCGTGCCGGAAGCTAGCAACCGTTGAATTAACTTCTCATAAAAACCTACTCATGATTACGTATGTATGTATATACATATTTTATGTACCTTGACAGCATACACAAGCATGATTGCGATATGCACTCGTACATACATATGTACAATATATAATACCTGTCGCATGCATTCAAGTGTGCATTAATTTTCAGCGAATCAGCACCGATTACCAGGTCACAGAACGCATTGCAGTTCGAGCAGCAACAATCGAGATCACGAAAGAGCAGCTAGATACATACATACATTTAAACGTATGTATAGAGAAGCACACGGGAATTATGATAGCAACAGTGTGACGTGCAACAACTGTTTACTGTTCGGGTGCAGTCAAGTGCCACTTGATGTCATGCAACCCCTCCACACACTGACCGACATTCAATCTCGTAGAGCTTATGTATTGTACATATCTCGCATGTGCGAAGGTGTACTCGTACAGATGCATACAACGGTTTGCTCCAGTTTGCTTGCAGCAGTTTATTTGCATAGCTGCGAGCATTGGAGGGTCTGAAGAACAATGTTCATTTAATCAAAGACGCAATTTTGTATCGAGGACCAACACATATTTCATACTAAATCGTCACATTTGAAGTGATGGCAATCCCCAAGGTATTATTGAGACGTCATTACATCCTCTAAAAGTCACTATTTGGTATGCTCTATCGGCTGGGGAATCATTGGCTATAGCGCCTAAATCAATTTTTAATAAAGTCACATACGTAAAAAGCACCCTTTATTATACCTTATCACATTTTATTATAAGAAAGTTTGGTTTTATTTTTTTAGATTCACAAATGAATTGAAGTTTAATTTGGCAGATGGACTTATTGAGATGATACAATGCAAATGCCTGCTGTGTCCTTTACCGTTTTCCGCAAAACTCTCTCGAATACCCGGCGCAAAAACAATTTATTTATATTCAAAACACAAGAAACTTCAGTCATAAGCTCAGCCGTTAATAAGAGCACCATGTACAATGACAAAAAATAAGTAAATGAGTACACAAATTTGTGCACTTACGACTCACTTATGAACCGTGCTGCTTCGAGTCGCAACACTCAATGCGTCTTAATTCATAATTGTGTGAGATGAGAATACGTACTCCGAAAGTTTCAAACCGTTCAAGCCTTAGATTCACACACTGAACTCGCGCGTGCAGACGCCAACCAACAACGAAAGAAATAATCAGCATTACAATCGAGTGGATGGGATAACATCGGTGCAACTCACACTTCAGTTCAACACTAAATACAACATGGGAAACTGATGTAATACGATTCAGTTGGTGTAAAAAAGCTAGTCCTCAAGTGTTCACGATATGGTCCATTAGAAACCTACTAGATCACTCCGATGTAGTGCGATGTTGGACCCCTCTCGTCCACTACCAGCTTACTAGACGAAGTTGCAAGTGCACCATATGTTACAAACAAACATACAGAAAATATGTAAAACTGAAGTTGAATACGTTTCGTTTGCCTGGTGAGCTCAGCTGATACACGGAACTCATGCAGAAGAGTGAGTTGATATTCACTTGTATTCCAAGAGCAAATAGAACAAATGCACAAATTGTAATATGATATTAATTTAACTATTTATATGTATGTGTATACGTAGGCAATCGATAAGAAATGATTTTCCAGAAAGTGGACCTGGGACCTACCAATGTTAATGGTTCGACTTGTTTGAAATTCGGGTTAAAAACTGTTATATTTTATAAGTATTCAAACATTTTACCATAATTATTTATGTATCATAATAAAATACAAAAACCTAAAAACCCATTTAAATTGTTTATGATAACCATTTTTGAACTCCATGCGGACGAAATTGTCGGCAAAATCTAGAGGAGTTTATGGTCCAGCTCTAGCACATCGCAATGTTTAGTAGATCATATATTTTGTATGGATTGCGGTTAGCTTTGGAGTACTATATTATCCTCCTGTAACTATATTCATAACCAGGGCTGCTTCAAAGTCGATGACTACACCTCTGTATTGCGAGCAGAGACTGTGGGCATTACTGAAGGTGCCAGATGAGCAACTGCTTTAATAGGAAAACGTTTCAAGTATGCCGGAGAGACCTAGTGAAGGCTGCCTCAGACACTTCAGCACCTTCAAATGTTGTTTAAAACAGTGGAACATAGAGAAACACTTAAGGTCTGGGAACTAGCCAACGATGGATGCTCCTAGCTTCGAAATCACGGAGATGGGTACGAATAGCTGGAAGAAACTGAAACCATTGATCAAAAGTAGCGAACTTTTTACAAACGCTTAGTTGGGATAAACGGGGGACCACAATGAGCCTGCACGATGACCTCTTTCATCTAAACAACCAGCCAACTATTCTACCAAATTACAAGCGCTATCAGCTGATTTTCAACGGAATATGTTTTATACATATGTAGGTATATATGTACTATACAGAAATACATATAGCATATGTATGTGTATTCTTTAATACGAGGTGTGTTCAAAACTTCATGGGTTATAAGTGACCTGGCTGTACTGTAATGCTCCGAATGACGAATTTGTTTATTGCTTCGTACATCCGATCAAGCTTAAAAATAGCAAAAGTTGCGAAAAAAACTGAGCTCACAATCAGGTAGGAGAGAGCGTTTTAATTTTCGCGGGGAATAAGGTGTGGAAATGTGAAAACCAGATTATTTCAATGCAGCCATTTTTCAACTCTTTCAATTCATTATTTACACCCTCATAAAAAAATGTTTTCTCTTATAAATTTTAAGCCCTTCTCACTTTTTTCATTTTTGGTGATTTTCCTTCCGAGTCCCAAAAGACTGTTGCCATGAACCTTGAAATCCTTTGGAAGTATTTGGTCCGTCTTATGAAACTACATGGACTCTGTTTCACCTTAGATTCGTAAAGATGATTTGCGTCTGCAGTAACAACTCGACTCAATTTCCCTCATTACAAATGTCCAAAAATGTACTTGAACACTCTGCGCGCTGTTAGCGATGGCACAATGAAACCTCGTATTTATTCTATTGTATTTATGAGCCACTGAGTGCGCCACGATCCTAAGGAGCCTAATCACCGAACACAAAAATCCGATGTACTTCGGTAATGCGAGTATTTGGAAAAATAATATTTTTTCTAGGAGGCTCTGTATCAGACTAATCTTCCATTTGTGAATCTTCGTATCTGGATATGGCGTACTCGTACATTTCATTTCATTTACTTACTTTGGCATCGGCATCGGAAGCATGGTAACGAACTTCAAGCGAACCTCCAAGAACCGCGTACCAAAAGCGACCTTGTTCACCGGCACGAAATACTGCAAAATAAAAATAATGCAAACTTATAAGCGATTTATATGCATTAATGGGTGTGTGAGCAGATAAATTAACTAAAAGAAAGTGAAACTCCTTTGTGTAATAGATATGAACAAGCTGCACAAATTTATTATATGAGGTCCATGATTGAAGACTGTCTATTTCAAAAGTTTGCACTTTTATTTTTTATTAATGTGTGCAAACAAAGATCCGATACCACTAAGAGTATATTACAATACCAAGCTAACGGTTATGTTAAGAGATATGTTGAATGAGTACCACTATAAATTAATCTCACTTCTCCCGAAGGCGGTATTTATTATTTATTTATTTATTTGTTATTAAATATATATCCGCGAACAATAAAACAAAAAACAATGAAAGCCTTATTAAATTTTAAAACACAAAAAATTCGGTATACTCAAGAAGGGCAGCAGCTCTTTCTTGGTTTATTCTATATTTAATTCAAACAATCTTTAAAAATGTGCATATGTATGTGTGTATTACTTAAATAACGATTTTCGTGATGTCATGAAGCAAATGGCGAAATCAAGATTTTGTCAAATTTAGTTTGAAATATCGAAATAAATAACCTCTCAACTTACAAGTCACTCCTTTCTCCAAGTCTTCATAGAAGCCGCACATGGCCAATTGCTGTAATGCCGAGCTGGGCAGGCGGCACAATGGCTCCACACGTCGCAGACGGCAGGATATCAATTCAACATCCCGTAAATTCCGATCACAAGGACTGAAAGTTATAAAACCATTTCATTTTGTAAACTTACATATAGATGTGTACATGCTTGCATACGGATTTAACGATTGGCAATCAAGAAAATTTTCATAGTAATCAATAACAGTTATAAAAGAGAAAATTAAACGAAAAGTCTTAAAGCTCGAGAGCATAACGGCAACACATACAATAAATATATGTGTTTATCCCCAAGAGCAAATATAATATGTATATAATTGTCGCTTTGTAAGCGCTGAAGGGATTTTTCCTGCCGGCCTCCCCCCAAATTTGTAGTTTTGCGTCTTGATATTTTCCCAACAAAATTGAGGCCGCCTCCGAACGGCTGATGGTTTTTTTTAATGAGGAGCTTTATTTTATATCCGAACTCGGAGGGGTGAACAGTCTCTGCCGAGGGGCGACCGCAATTAGAAAATTTAACTTAATTTTTAATTTAATTAATTTTCCATCACTTATGGATATTGGCGGCACCGGGATATGAACCCGAGCCTTCCGAATGTTGACACGACGACGATTGCGGCAATTTAGTACGGTACGGCGTGTGTGCGAGCATATAAGTCGGCCAATAAAAATCTTTCACGTGAAACTTCTGGGTACTTGGTCACACGGATTTAGAATGTAACGAAAATACGGAAGAATAGACTTTATAGCGCCTTCAAATCCTGGCTGAAGCAGTGGACCCTTGAGGAACGCTTAAGGTCCTGGTGCACTTTCAACATATGTCGAACCACAAAGCGTGTGTGGGTAGCGTGGATTACAGACAGACCAAACTTTTTACTCGCACTAAGCCCAAGGGAACTTAGTATTCTTGTAGGCGTATTGCCGCGGCATCTACTTGGCAGATATGATCTACAAAAATTAGCTAGGTTAGAACAACTACTGAGCAAAATGAGCATACTCAAGGGGTTCAGTGCGGCCGCTTACAGTCGAGTCCTTAACCTACCAAATTAAATGGGAAAATTTTATTATTTTCTGGAGAGTTAAAAAATATTTAATTTATTTAACAAAACTCAATAAACATTAAGCAATCAGTTAATATCTCTATAAATGTTACAAATAACGGACAGCCTGATGTGAATACACCGTTCACTTACCGTTTGTCCATCGCTGTTATCCATTCCATCGCCATTTTATTTTGTGTATATGCCAATTTTGATGTTTTAAACTTGTTTTAAATCTAATAGCAAACACCGAGATCAATTTCAAATATTTTAAAATGAATACCACTGAAATCTTTCGGTTTGCTGAATATTTATTGTGATGCCTCCTGTTGGTCCCATTAGCCGGTCGCCACGTCGAGCACTGTTAATTATTTTTCCACTTTCGATTCACTTCGAAATCCAATCTAACGGTTTTTGTACATATATACATATATGCGATTAATGGATTTTAAAAGATTCATTCATTCGCTTCCATCGTTGCCGATAAGCCGCACAAGAATAGCTTATTCTACTATAAGTAATACTGACCAACATACACGTTGATGGGCACTCTTGGCTCATGCAGGACACAACGTAATTTATCAAAGGCTTAGTTGTGTATTGTTCTCAACTCAGCTTCTTTGCTTGTCTGTTTCGCTTTTATTTGTATTTGGATTTGCATTTATAAAATGTACGTGTATGTGCATACAAATGTATGTGTCTAAGTGTATGTTTGTGTGGTTCGTTGGAGTTTAAACGGCTCGGTCAAAAGCTGCTTCAAATTAATGTATGGGAAGCCCAGGTGTTGGTTTACATGGGTTGAGCCTCTTCACTGCGTTTGACAGGCTCATCACTGGCTAAGCGTTCTGGTGCGCTCGAATAAGTTGTGCGCTCGGCATGTAATTGATATCACTGTTTGCAAATGTGGGCGATAATTCGCTGACTGTAACCATATGAGGAAATTCCTTCTTTAGCTTTATATATATATATATATATATATATATATGCAAGTGAAAATTGAAAACTGTTCCCCCAAATGTTGTCGTAAAGTGATTTTCGAAAGAAGAAACAAATAAAGTAAAACGTACAAAATGCTTCTAAAATATTTAATATGAGCAAGTTCTGAGCACTCATAAATTCTATTAAGGTGTGACTTAAGGAGTAAAGTTGAAAACAGTATGAACACCCCGGCATTGGGCTATTGGCAGTCAAAATTAATACGCATACCCAAGTTCTTAGGGGAAAGAACGAAACGACTACACGGCTACACGACCACACAGTCACCGAAGAAGCTTTGGTCCACGGTTAGAATCTTAATGCTATCAGCATCCAAAAGTTGTAGAAAATTAATTTAAATAAAAATTATTGGATGTATGCATTAATTTGTGCGGTTTTTTTTCTAAAATTAAGACTTTATTGTGAAAAAATGATTTTAATCGTCTGGAACCGGTTGTTTGATCAACTCCTAATACTTTTGCATCTGCGTCGAGCAATGCCTCCAACTCTTCGTCCTGAAATTTTTTTTGGTTGTCCGTCGCATAAGTCGAAATTGCCACTTTTAAACTTTACGATGGCTTTCGGTAGCACTTGTCTTCATGTTAAAGTAATGAAGAAGAACTCCCCCCAAAAAATTTTATCTGGTACCAATTTCGACATTTTCAAATGAGTGAAACAAATTGTTGTTCGCGCTAAAACAAATGACATCTACTGAAAACGACGCGAAATGACAGTACCGTTGCAATGAATATAGCCACAGATGAACACGACGCGAAATAACACTAGTAGAGCCCTCTCTTAGAAAACCGCACGAATTAATGCAAACACCAATAATTTAAATTTTTAAGCTAAATTTTCTAGTTGCGGTCGCCCCTCGGCAGGGAATGTCAAACCCCCCGAGTGAATTTCAGATATGAAATAGAGGATCCCATTCGGAGGCAGCTTAGTATAAACTACAGCTCCCTTCGTTTGTTGGAAAAACATCATGACGAAAACAAACAAATTTTAGGAGGAGCTCGGCCGAAAATCTCTACAGCACTTACAAAGCGCCAATTATATATATATACATATGTAAATACATATATAATATATATATTTCATGAATATCGATTTCAGTACAATCATGTAATTATGTGGCCACCATTGTAGCCAACGGTATTTTGACAGCCCGTTGCCTGTAGCCCGTGGCATTCATTCTGTTTTCAGCTTAAGAGCGATTGAGGCATCTAAACTTCGTCATCACATCGTAGCTGACACAATTTTTTAACCAACAATGGTGCTGTGCTGAATGGTTTTGCGTGCGGCGCTGTAAAAGCTGTCAAAAATTAATTGAAATGTACCAAATGTCTTGACAAATTTTCTACTTGACTGCTTTGTTTGCTTGTTAAATTATTTACATCAATCAGCTATTTAATTCCATTACTACTCATTACGTGGCAGCGGTGATAAGTTGCCATTTCCTGTCTATTTGTCGGTCCGCCCATTTGCGTAAACGATAACTCAAGTAAGCAGTGAGATATTTTGCTGAAACTTTGTTCACACATTCCTTGGATCAGAGGTACGGATCCTATTGTAAATGGGAGAATCCACATCAAGTTAACGCTCACCTCCCATATAAGGAGAATTTTCAAGTAGAAAGTATTTCTCAGAAGCCACTGGACAGAATTAGATAAACTTATACGCTGACGATTCCAAAAGCAAACGGGAATCAACTATTTTGTTCCCATATAACGGACTTTTTACTTTCCACCTACCCACTTGTTTTGTTTCTCTTTATTTGGCTACTAGTCGGAATTCATATTGAAAAGACTGATAAAAAAGCGCCATATATTTAAATTAGTAATCTACTATACCCAGTTATTTGTATGTGTGAGTTATTCGCTGCCCCAAGTCTTTCACGTAAATCTCAATCTCTTGTAGCAGCAGAATAATATCATAACGCGCGAATATACATACATACCCACGCACGATCTACGGTTAAATTCAAATCATACTAGTTTTGGACAATCTGTCGGTGATCTCCTTCCTCGCTCCTTTTCGTGCTACTGCTAATCTAAGCAGAAGACTGCCCATGCAAAAAAAAAAAATCAAGTCTAACAATAAATACTTTTTTTTTTCAAAAACTCGGTTCTCAGACCTCTTAAGAATCGGTCAAACCATTTCGGAGCAGTTTAATTACAAGTACTGTGACACGAGAATTTTATATAAACAGTTAACTTCTGTTTCCTTTTTCGCGTCATTCACTCGAGCTGTCGAGCTGGTGATATTGGCATAGCTCTGCGATAAAGAGACAGCAGCTAGGCCGCAAAATCTTTCTCTCAAAACCTGCCTGGGCCACATGTTATCATCGTCCTTAACTTGCAGAATTTGGTTTTTGTGTGAATGAAAGGATTTTACTTTTCAATTGCCTACTCAGTTCAAAGTAGCATCAGTTGGCAATAGCGACTCTACGTTGGATTTCAAGGCTGACTTTGTTGTTAGTGTTAGATTATAGGCGAAATTATCTAACAAAGTTCATTCTGTCAACAGCGATATGGAAGCCGAGTCGTGAACCTGATGACTAGTTCACTACCGAACCCATACACTTCGGATCCTAATCCAGTCTGGAGTAACCAAAACTCACGGAGCCCAATGATGTATATATCATCGGCTGTACACTTTCAAAGATGATTACACCTTTCCTATTTCTACTTTTCTTTCTTTTTTTGTCTGCAAAAAAGCAATACGCTTTCCTTTCAATTCTTAGTATCTATCTCACCCCGCACTTGTGGTGGTCAATCGCTTGATGAAATTTAATTACAAACAATGTCATTTGAATTATAGAATATTTTTTCGTGAAATTTCATTCTAAAAATTGTAGCTTCGTCTTTCTATGAAGTTTAAGAGTATTTTGAGCTCTTACACATTTCCATCCGCTCCATAGCACCGTTAGCTCAATAAAACCTATTGTATATCCTCTTTATATGCGCACAAATGTAATTAATATCAAGAATTTAATTGCATTGTCCTTGGACCGGCTTCAAATGGAACAATCTCACATTTTTCCTCAGCTGTAAGCAACTCTTCACTTCGGATGATTATAACAAATAATCACATGTCAGATGTACTTATAGGGAATTTGAGGAATATTTTCACCGTTCACTTAGTTGTTCTGAGTAAAATAAATATTTCAATTAAATTTTACTGAAACCAGATATCCTGCTAAACACGCACACCAGCCACACGTCGAGTATAATTGCAGTGTTGAATTTTTTATAAGTTCTATGCAATTTCATTTCGTAAAAATATATTAGTCAAAACCAAATAATATTAATATGTGTATGTACCAATGTGTACACAATTATCTGGATATCATTTATATCATTGTTGTATACATATGTATGTATCAAATTGCTCCTTGAAAATGGATTCCTGTCGAAAGTACAAATTAACGCCTTTAAAATTTCGAGATCCATTAGATTTTTGTGTGGTTCTGGGATTCTCGCACTGTTCGAGTTGCTTGCAAAAAACAGATAAAGGGACGCATTAAAATTTAAAAAAATAAATCTGACTTTCGCACAATTTTATGTATGTATGTATTTAAAGGAATGGAAGTATTTTTACTTATTAAAATTTCTTGTGGAAAACGTATTTAATATTTTAGTATTCACTGTAGAGTGAGTTGAGCTTCACTTCATTTATTATTATATTTGTATATGTACATATGTATGTAAATATAAATATATTCTTTTCATATTTTAAATTTTAGGTTGTTAAATATTTTTTGCACCTTCAACGCCAGAAAGTTCGCCACCAACTGAATTCAGAGCATCCTTCACTCAACGTTTTCACTCTGCTCTGGCTCAATACATTAGCGAAAATGTAGAGAAATTCAACAGAGCTGCGTTTAAATACGTATATATGAGCATAAGTACACACGAGTAAGTGCCTGAGTATGTGGTTTTGAAATCACCGAATTTAATTTGACACATAAAAATTGCACTTAAACATAAATCCATTGTAGTCCGTTTGGAAGTTTACTAACACTCAAACGGTCCCAAAGAAAATAAATTTTTTTTGTACATATATAAATACAGAAACATTTGTTGTTATATTTTAAATATAATTTCATACAATTCAATGTATAAGTGTGTATAGTAGTAGTAAGTTAATTGCTGTTTGGCACTTTTTATTGCTATCACTATTTAATCACTTGTCTTTTTCCCGTCCAGATCGTCCAACTTGATTGTCGGTAGGTGCACAACTGTCTGGGCCATTTCTCTTCACCACTCGCTAAACGAAATTTTCGCCAACGTTTTTCACAGAGAGAATCGATTTGGTACCACCAAAAATTGTTTGAACTCTTTCTCCCCACACGAACTGTTGATAGGAGTTACTCAGACAGTCCTCGTGTCTTTGCCAAACACTTACGAAAATGAAAGGAGGAAAATACATGTAAACTAAGAAACTGCAAGAGAAATCAACTAAAGGAATCATATTTGACTTCATGACTTCATTCAAAGATAAAATCTAAAGCAAAATAGATGAAAAGAAGGAAGAAGAGCTGTCTTCATGCCATGCCGAAGTCTTTATACCTTTCATCGCTATTGGAAATTTTCGGTATTTCATTTTGATATTAAATATTAATTCTCATATCCGAATAATTAGGTTGCATGGTGACTATATGATATAATCATCTGATTTCAATGATTTTCGGTAGTAATATTTATATGTAGATACCAAAGTAAAATACCGAATTTCCTGGACATGGCTAAATCAGCTCAACTCGTCATTCTGACCCTGTCGGTATAAATTTTGATGGGTATACCTTTTCTCCTTTTGGTACTTACATATTCCGAATCAAAGTTAATATTCATTTCATGTAAAAGAGAGGTATAAAAAGCTAGAGGAATATTTTCATTCAATTTAGCTTTCATACTCAGCAACTGGACAGCTGTAAACAAAACACCAATGCAATCACAGCAATAATAAATATGTCCTCGTCGATTCACAAAAATTCATGAGGCTTTTGAGACTTATAAATTTGACTCTCACATACCAATGGAGTTTGTCAAAATGAGTCACAACTGTGGAGTTGAGGTGAGCATGCGCGCTACAGCTGCAACAATGGTTTCTGAGGACAATATATAGGTGTATAATTGACCACTTAACTGACTTTCGGCCGAACTTCTTCGCCCGCTGGTGTTGTGCGCCTAGATTTTTTCCCACAGAGTGAGGAATATTTTATTTCCAGCCGACGTTAAAGGGCTAGTGAATATTCATGGGAAGCTCCAATTTAAACGTACTTGGCGGCACTGAAATGTCTTACTGTGCTCCGACCGCTTCTAAACATAGTGTTCGATCCCATAGCCTCGCCGGGTAGTAGCAGCTCGTACGGCAGTCCTTTCGACTACTGCAACAGCCGTTGACTTTATATTCAAAATACACGTATATAATGCAAATAAGCGTATTTGCCTACATTCGTTTAGACCAAATTGCTTGAAAATACTTATGACGAATAAAGAATCCTGATATAAATGTACATGCATGTGTTCATGCATACTTATGTTAATGGACACGTAAATTAAATATGAATGTGTGAAAATTCGAGTACAAAACTGAAGCATAAGATCTGCGTAGAAACTTCCAACCAATTCAAGGTATTATCATCTGTGATTCTTATACAACAGAGTGAAATAATAATTATTGTACAGGAATCCGCAACCAGTAGCTTTGTCTGTCGACCGAGCAATGAAACGTTTCAGTAAAGCTTACCTTTATAATCTTCCCATTGTTACCTCGTCCACTTTGGCTGCAAATTTATATCTTGTCGTCGTCGAAATTTGGTACACAGACTTCATTTGGCTTGCTGTATTCTTGTAGATAAGCAGATCAAAAGCTTGGCGGACAGTCTCGGTCTTTTGGACACAACGTTTAGGTCTGTGATGAAAAATACTTGACATACCCAGTTTAGTGCAAGCGACATAATCAAATGTTACCCATAAGATTGACCTGGAAGAGCTATATTTCTGCTAAAATATAGCACCTCAAAGTTGAAACTGCCATTCATAGTTGGTTGTGGGTAGAAATTCAGGTTTGCACTCGGGTCATTTGGTACTGCCTGCGTAGCTATTATCCATAAAATTCAGCGATTGCAATTGAAACGCTACAATAGCTGACAGGTGCATCTTGGTATTTTGAAATACCAATGCTCAAAACAGAACTATTAAATACCTGCCGAAAAACCTGTCGACACTGCAAAGCCATCCGAATCCTCTAGCAAACGTTTTATCCTGCCCAGCAAGCAGAGCAAACCTTGAAAAGAATCTGCCAGACTTTTGAAGAAAAAAATTTTACCCGACATCCGTTACTATTGATATAGTAATGCAGTAATTCATTAGTTACTAAGCTTCTTAAACTTATTCTAAGCCTTCAATTAAGCTGATCCAATAAATAAATTTCTTTGGTGTAAAGAAACTTTCGGTCAAACTGTAGTCCATGCAGTTCTTCGTACATATACGCATGTATGTATAGGGTTCTGTAGACTTATCAATGATATAGTCGAATCAGCACAAGCGCGCTATTCTTTGCTTTCTCTCGTTCGTTCAGGTTTTTTCCCAGCTGAGTAGAGGTGTTCCAGGGTATTGCGTCGAAAACTTACAGAGTCGATATGCTTTCATCCATTCGTACGGCATGACCTGGCCAGCGTAGCATTTAAATATAAACGAGATATTAGAGTTTAAAGCATCCGCTGACGTACTTTTGCACATTTATCTCGACACCTGCTGATATGTTTGTACATACATACTGCATTTATGGCATACCATGTAATAGTACTAATATTTAGTATATTAAACGCCTACGCAGCTTCTACAGACGATTGCGTCTCTAGGTGGAAATTATTTAGGTATACAGTTCAGATTTTATTTGTGTGTATGTTGGAATGCACATCGAAATAAAATAATAAATTCAATGCTGTACATACATACATACAAACTCTTAGTTATGGTGTAATTCCAGAGTGAGATGTCATGACCAGATAAAGGGAATATTAACGAAATATATACATAAGTATTAGAGTACATATATTTACATTTAAGCATGAATATAAATACATATATATATATGTATGGAAAAAACAAACGAGTCATATCTTTAAATGTGTTGGTTGTGATTATCTGTGCTCAAGTCACGGTAACAACAAAATCTTAGTCGTTTGTTAGGCGTTTGCCAGCAGAGAAAGTTCCTCATACGCCATGCAGGCCTGCTTCTGAGTTAAAAAGAAATTAACGTTGAGCATTTTGTGCAAACGTTAAGCCAATTTAATGCATGTTTTATTAGAACTTTATTGCTCCACCACCTGTTGTTTCTCAAAGAGAACAAACTTCGGATAGGCGAGTGAATGACGCTAAAATCATTTTGCTTATCACTTTTTGCAATATACAGCATATACCTAAGTACATGTGTATGCATACAGTGGACTCTCGACAACCCGAATTATTTCAATTGTTTATTTAAATTGTTCTTTACTTGATGACCCAGCAAGCAAGCAGGTGCCTCTTGGCTTTTGGAAAGAAGGAATACTTCAACAGTAATTCCCCTTCTCTTAAGTTCTCTGAAATATTTGTCCACCGCTCTACCTCCCAACTCGGCTGCAGTAGGCAGCAACAAGTTTTGTTTACGATTCTCCGCTACATACGAAGTAGGGCTGTCGGTATTGGGTGCCACTTTTCTTCACTGTTAGGGGCCAATTGGAAATACCAAGTGAAAAAAGATTGCTCTCCGTGCCATTTCGTGAAAAAACAAAATATCGAAAAAAACCTTAGAACGTATCTTACTATTGCTATGTAGGAACTAAAAAATTTGTTTTTTTTTTCATTGAACCGATTTCACAGATTTTCGATTGATTCTTTGTTGAGTGAAAATAAATTCAGAAAATATGCCAGCTTCCCCCTCTAAGACTTTATAAAGCATCAATTGTGTATAACATTAGTGAACGTTAATCAGAAAAAAGAAGAAGAAGAAAGATTTGAACAAGTGTTTTACAGCCCTACCGAAGAACTAAAAATGAAAATGTCACTCTGAGAAAAACTTTTTTCGTTGGACTCATGTATTTGTGTTGAGCTTTGCTTTGTAAATCATCATCCTACAGTGCAAATTTTTAACATAAACAAACACACACACATATGTATGTATAAAACTTGTATGAGTAGTGCCTTATGTTGTTCATAATGCCAGTCACATATTTTGACGCTTGAGCAGAGAACTTAGAATAGTTATTCTAAGTATCATTCAACATGTTTAGCGCTGTCACTTGTTGTCAACATTGTAGCAGACTGTTGTGGTCTCCTTGTACAGGCTTTCGTCTCGCAAACATGGCATCCACATCTCTTCATATCAAGAGGAGAGAATAACAAATGAAAGTTTTATTTTTATTCTCAGTTTGTTAAAAGGCTGACATTTAAGTGATATGTTAAATATTTTAGTCATGTGAAATATAAATATGTATTGCCACATGAAGAACAAGAAGGCCAAATCGTTTTTATGTACTATGGTTAATTTAACTTTAGATCCAACAATAAGCACTTCTCTTAATTAACTTATGCTGTCACTACCCAGATCACGCACCAGCCGCCCATAGCAACCTATCTCGTGAGAGCGCCAGGTTAACACAAAGTTGTCACCGCTTGCCCATGCCGTGAGTGACGGTTATCCCGCAGAAACCAACGGAGATTTCCGTAAAACCAGCTGCGCTGATTTCTCGTTGCTATACAAGGTTGCCAGGTTAGTCTTTCTAAAAATAATATTATATAATTGAAGATAATGCGTAATTTTTTTTTTAAAATAAATGAAAACTGAAAGTGGAACTAATTATTTGTTACCATAATGATCATGTATATTTGATTTCCGCTTGTATTCGAACACATAATTTATGACATTCGTTGACGAAAATTAAATATTTGTTAAGAAGTGTACAAACTGGCAGCTGGCAACATTTCGCCGCTCTCAACAATTGTGTATGTATCTCGCCTTGACGTCGCCTGTTATGGACGGTTGGTAAGTAAAATGGGTGGTTGCAGCATTAGGGTTAAGTTGTGTGTGTGTTCTTAGTGTGCAGTCACTCACAGACGTAAGCTTATGATAAAGTGATTAAACAAAAATTGTAGCAAATGGCAAACAAAGAGTTTCTACTTCAATTTGTGGTGTGCTCCTATGGTCTTCCAGCCAATAAAAAACCCACAGTTTATGAAGCCACCTACATTTAAAACATACACTCAAAGGTGTTAACATTCGCTGCTGAGGGGCCAACACACCTAATTTTTTTTTTTTTAATTTGAATGTTGGACTGGCCAGTACTCAACACCCGTGACCCTTTGTGTTGTAGCACTCACTGCTAACTACTCGACCACTGGTGTACTAATGTATATTTGATTGATTTGCTTTCTGACAAACGAATAGCAAACAAATTCACGGGAGTCACTGGAGTCACCAACCCCAACTGTGTACAGCGGATAAGTTTGTCGAAAACTTTTTCGAAACCGTAATTCAGTTTCTGTAATTCCTCTTTGCAATCGCATTAATCGGTTAATCGTTGCAGCGACAATCCGCTTTGCCAAATAAATTTTTTATTTCGATGGATTTGGCTGCACTGATTCGTGTTGACGATTCGCAAGGCAATCATCTGTTTTTGTGAACACCGCCAACAGTGCAGCACCTTTGTCAAAATATACAGCTAATGCTGGGAAAGTGTTTTGCAAACAAGTACATATATAATCATAAATATATAATTACAAGTGCCCCGATATTTTGAAAGTCTCAAATATAATCGAATCCACTGAAAATTATGGCTCTGGTAAACGAAGCTCGTATCGCCTTGAATCGGATTGGAGTGATTTCTGTGCGTCAGCAGGTAATATCATTATAACGCACCTGAAGGGATAGAAATTCCGTTTCCATTAATCGCATCTGAAATTCTACATATTACATAATGCATAATTGAATTTTTGCACGTAAAATAATCTTTAATTGCATTTGTACATATACATACATGCACATACTTTAATTTGGCTTATATGATGTCTCTATGAGGCAATTACATAAAACCATAATCCAATTGAAAATTGACATTTTCTGCCGCAAGTGTACGATATCTATGTATGTGTGTATACATATATTAGATTTATTTATACATAAACACTATGTCAAAAATACGAATTTTCGACTCGATTAAGTAAATTTAATAACTACGTTTTAAATTAAAAAATACATTATCATTTTATGCCAATAGTTGCGCTCACTAACTTCGGGTAAACACTTGGACCAACAAGCACAACCACAAGAAGTAAAGGCTCCTCAAATCAAGACCTTTCAAATTTACCGCTGGAATCCTGACAATGCTGGAGAGAAACCTTACATGCAGACTTATGAAGTGAACTTACGCGAATGCGGTCCCATGGTCTTAGATGCTTTAATTAAAATTAAAAATGAGGTCGATCCAACTTTAACTTTTCGTCGTTCATGCCGCGAGGGAATTTGCGGTTCCTGCGCCATGAATATCGGTGGTACGAATACTCTGGCATGTATTAGGTAAATGATCAATACAGAATAGTTCACTTGATTTCTTATTATATGGGATATGTATATGTATATTTACAGCAAAATTGATACTAATCTTTCAAAACCGCTTAAGGTTTATCCACTTCCTCACATGTATGTAGTTCGAGATTTAGTACCTGACTTGAACAATTTCTATGAACAGTACCGTTCAATTCAACCATGGTTACAACGAAAGTAAGTATTTTTAAATGAATTTAAACAAACATCTTTTAAATACAATATCAATACAGGAATGAAGTGAGCGAGTCAAAGGGTAAAGCGCAATATTTGCAATCTGTTGAAGATCGTTCAAAGCTGGATGGTTTGTATGAATGTATTCTTTGTGCTTGCTGTTCGACATCGTGTCCATCCTACTGGTGGAACGGAGACAAATATTTAGGACCAGCCGTTCTGATGCAGGCCTACCGCTGGATAATTGATTCCCGTGATGAAAGCACCACTGAACGTTTGAGCAAGTTAAAGGATCCCTTCAGTGTGTACAGATGTCACACAATAATGAATTGCACACGAACTTGTCCCAAAAACTTGAACCCCGGACGTGCCATTGCAGAAATCAAAAAATTACTGTCTGGAATGGCAAGCAAGCCAGCTCCAAAACTGGATACAGCCGCTTTGCATAAGTAAAATGTACGTAATTAGACACCAACCAAAAGCTGTTATACGAAATTTAATTTCATATGAGCTATTCTTTAATCTTTGAATGTAACTTTATTTATTTTTCGTTTTTTCGCCAATGCACAAATTAATTCAAAACATCTTGTACTTAAACTCCAATTGTGTGGTAAAGGATTTACTTGTTTTTAGGAATAAAGGCTATATATCCGCTTTAGTGATACATATATGCAGTTCTAACGAAAGTATATGGAAATAAATAATATCGATTGAATACAAAATACCCTTCTCTGTATTATTTAAAAGTAAAAGTACAATTTTTTCGTTAAAAGTAAAAAGTATACGCCGATTTGATTATAGAGCTCATATAATTATTGAATCATAATAGCATATACAGTTTGATTAATTCATTAACAGCTCTTTATTGTTTTCCATTTACATAAACGAATAAAAGATCATTTAAACCGACTAAAAATAGTCAAATTGGTATTTTTAAGCTTAGCAAGGCTCTGTTTGATTATACGAAGTTTTAAGTTCAGTGTAAGTTTTCTAAGTCGACATAATTAAGACCTGATGTTCAATTTTCATAAACTTGACATCACCGATAAATTTGAATTGTTTGGTTGCACTGTTAATTTGTAGTGCCAATTTGCGAAATCTAACCAGAAAATAGCTGGTGCTGCTATAACTGTTAAACATTTTTCTAATAAGTTTTGTAGAGACAAAAACATACTTTGATTTGTTAGGAGGTGATTTAGTTGGCAACATTATTTTACATTATTAAAATCTTCATCAAGTAAGATGTTGTCAATTGCTGAATTAATAGAATTGTTAAACAATATTCCCTTTGGCTACAAATCACCGGACGATATTTGCTTTTCTGCAGCTAATGAAATGTATATACCAAAATACAAAAAACTTGGTGTTATAGCGGTCGCAAATGAACCGCAAGAAGAACCTGTGGCAACAAACCCGATTAGTTTCTTTTGTAATATTCCTGGTTGTACTCTTGATTTTGAGGATATCTCTAGTTATCAAGCACATTTCAAAATCGTTCATCGATTCATATGTTCTATTTGCCGGCGATATTTGCCAACTGCTTATTTGCTTGAGTTACATATTTCGGAGCGTCACGATTCTTATTTCGCCATTCGTGTAGAACGTGGTGAAGCGATGTATTCATGTTTCCTGCAGGAGTGTAAACAAAAAATGCTCACGCCACAGGCACGTAAAGAGCACTGTATTAATGCACACAAATTTCTAGCGAACTACAGGTTTGAGCAGTTGTGCGGAAGATCATCTAAAACTTCTTCCGAGATGAGTGAAGCAATGGATATTCCTCTAGATAGCCCTAACGTAAATATGGAATTCTCATTTGGTCATGCTAAAGGATCAGACCAAACACCGTGAATTAATTTATATTTAAGTATATAATAATAGAATAGTTGGTAATTGAAAAATATTTATTTTGTCTTTGTTATACTTCTGAAAAAATAAAGAATAATTATACAATATCAATTTAACCGGAATAAGTAAAAAATTTACTTTGTTGTGTTGGCCGTAATGTAATGATAAGCCACAACCAGTAGAAATAGGAAAACGCCCAAAATATTAGAGAAGATCGCTAACTGCATATCTGTAATCATCTTGGATTGCTTGCTTTTCCAGAATCTGTAAACAAAAAAATCGTTTTAGATAGAACATGACTGACACGTCATAACATAAACCAGGAACATTAATTAAAGACAGAACAATCACCAATTTTTTTTTTCAAAGATACTTCAAAGACACAAAGTGAAGATTGTATTAATAAAATATTTACTTATTTTAAAGAGGATACTCCAAAAAAAGTTAGAAAAACCGACGTATAAAACAGCACAAAATACAACTCGAAATATAAAAGAAAATCAATGTCAAACTAGTGATGTACCGATAGCCATACACCAAAGAGATTACTCGAGCCCTTAACCCAGAACCGAATGTTTTTTTATCGAGTTTATTTACAAGTACTTACTCCACTCCTAGCGACAAAAATTGTAGTGTAAGCCCAGGCTTACATACTCTGAAATTTTTTTAAGTTTAGGTAGCCGACGACTTGCAAGTGTTTCTGATCGGTATAAAATCGTTTCGCCATACACAACAGACCAATTCATTTTACGTTCATTCACATGGATTCGTGTGCGCACAAGCCCATACACGAGAAAGTCGCACTAGCACACATACCGATCGTGTATTTATATCTTTATATTTCAAAATATTTTATAAGCTTGTGCATATTTGTTAAATTAAATTTGTATGACCCTACAGTGAACATAAACCATGCGCTAGATCATACTCAGCTATGTGGCGTTAGCATTAATTAATAAAATTCTGCCTGAAATTTCAGGAAAGTAGAAGCAAATGGAAAACAGTTTGCGTGTTGAAAAGCAACTGCATAATTCTTGGTTTTGATTTGGCATTTTGGAGCACATCGCGGAAATAGACGTAAAAACATATAAATATAACTGGATTGAGTAATAGATGAATATACGGGCGTGTCTCATTGCTTACGTGAACTCGCCTTAAAGTGCAACTAAAAACTTTTGATGCGATTAATCGATAGTGGTATTGTATGTTTGCCGGGTTCTACCTTTCAGCTGTTTGTTATTTATTAATTTTTTTTTGACACAACGTGGTTTGAATTTTGTTTTTATCTTTTCCATAGTTGAATGCATTTTTAAATTATGCTTTTATTTTGTCCGACTTGTGGTAATATACTAATGGTCGAACAGGATACAACAGGACACCGATTTTCTTGTAATACGTGCCCATATATTTGCAATATAAAACGCAAGACAACAACACGAACATTTCCACGTCTGAAAGTAATATAGTAATGTAATAATTACAAATTGTAAATGCTTCTAAACTTTCTTTTAAAAATATAGGAAGTGGATCATGTTATGGGTGGAGCCGCTGCTTGGGAGAATGTAGATTCTACTGACGCTGAATGTCCAGCTTGTTCTCATAAAAAAGCCTACTTCATGCAAATGCAAACTCGATCTGCAGATGAGCCTATGACCACTTTTTACAAGTGTTGTAATCAACTTTGTGGACACAACTGGAGGGATTAGTTTGGCTATATATCCGTAAAAGTAAAAGTCATAAAATACTTTTTTACATTCAAATGATTATGAAGTTACCTGCGTTATTGTGTGTTCCTCGTCATCTACTCTACAGAAATAACTATACCACTTTCTCCAAAATGCTGAGAGTTTCACAAGAAAAAATATACAAAGTGCTCGAGCCAAAAGCAATTGACATCGCTCGCCAAAGTCTCTTGGATGGGGAGGTCATTGCCTTGCCCACAGATACTGTGTATGGATTTGCATGCGATGCAAATAATGAGGATGCCATAAAAAAATTGTATGATATAAAAGGTCGTGAGAGCTATAAGCCGGTGGCAATATGTGTAAAAAATTTAGAGTCGTTTCGACGATACGGTGTGTCGGAACATTTAAACGATACGCTTTTAAACCGTCTCCTTCCCGGCCCGGTTACCATAGTTATCGAACGTTCAATACATCTAAGTAATCGATTTTTAAATCCAGGTACTACAAAAATAGGCATACGTATTCCAATGTTTTCTTTTATAAAAAATTTATGTTCTGTTTTGGATGACAAGCCGCTTGCCTTAACTAGTGCAAATCGATCTGCCGAGCGAAGTAGTCTAAATATAAATGAATTTGAGCCCTTATGGCCTAAACTCGGCGGTATTTTCGATGCGGGACAGATAGGTTTAAGTGAAGACCGACGTTCTGGATCTACCGTGATTGATTTATCACAACCAGGAGTTTATAAAATAGTAAGAGAAGGTGTAGCTCTTAAGGTAACTTTAGATCTATTGAAAGAGTTTAATATAAGACTAATTGATGATAATTTTTAAATTGGTTACAAATAAAAGGAGAAAAATTATAAAATTGTCAAGTATTTTAATTTCCGTACATTTATGACTTCCGAGATAAGCTTAACGGCAAGGTGGTTTATTAATATTTAAATCTAATTTCATGTTCCTTTATAATTAACTTAAAATTTTTTAATATATATACATACATAGAAACAAGGTAGACCGCACGAATTTGTAACATGTAAAATGTAAACATTAAACACTTTAAGGATTCTTAAATAAATCTTGCATAACGTTTCCTACACTACGGAAACAATAGCGCACATCCGAGTATATAAAATGATTTTACTATTGACTATAGTAACTCGCTGACTTCGCTATTTGAATTGGTCTACGCCGTCGAGGCAGCTCTGTTTGTAGTCGACGCCAACGTTCTGGAGGCCACACAATATATGTCGCTCTAGCCGTCAAGAGGCCTTGTGCTACAGGGCCAAAAGTGTTGCTATCCAGCGAATGTCCCGTATGATCCCCTTCCACCCAACAATGACCTTCTGGAATTCGCACTATTTCGTGTCTGTACCCAAGTGTAGATACGACATCTCCCTGCAGTCCTACGATGCGTTTGATAATCTTTTGTGAAGGATCTTTAGGAGAAATAAGAGAAACGATATCTCCTCGATCGACATTGCTTGTACGTACAGCCCAACGAGAGAGAAACACGTAATCCGTTTGACTGGCATCTGGATTAAGAGCTGGTTGCATGGAAATACCTATAAAATTACGAAATGCTATTTACAATCGAGTTTTACGATTCACTGAATCTCTCCTCTTATTTTGGTTTTAACCACAGGAGCGACGTTAGATAATACATAACATAATTACCATCCACTCGTGCAACGTATCCAACACAATCAAGAAACGTTATACCGATTGGAATCCCTAGTAGTACAGATTTTACAAATTTCCGAAATGCCATTAAACTAAATCTGGGAAAAAGAAGATGATGTTTTCCACGCTTATTGAATTGATTCTGTTTTTTTTTTTTATAAAATATATAAAGGATTTTTAATTGTTTTCTTTTTGATTTGATGTTAATTTTAAAGTGGAGCACATCGCTCCATTTATTCCTTGACTGAAATATGGAAAGAAATTCTTATCTAAGAAAAGTTCTGTTTGTTTCATTCATATGCATACATATGTATGCGGCGTAAAATGCCAAGTGTTGAAATAAAAGCTGTGTTCGTTGAGAAATATCAGTAAAAACCAGCAAGTAACGAAATTGGGAGAGTAAGATGTTTTACTCTACGAAAGAAAGAAATTTAGTGAGTTTTCAACGAACACAATACAGTTGCAATATCAAAATAAGTTTGTAATACTTTTTACGTGTAAACACATTATTATAGAGTTTATTATATTCTGTTTAAATAAAAACCAAGCCAGAGCTTTATTTTTGCTTCCAAATGCTGCTAATATTTCATTTTGTTGTTGCAAAATATTCCCCAAAATACTTTTTGGCGAAAGTCCTGGTCGTTCCGGTATAAAGAGCCGACTGTCGCGGGAACTATTAGATTTTAGTCGCCTCTTACGACAGGCATACCTTACTGCGGGCAAATTCTTGAACCTCTAACCGGCAGGGGTTAGTGCATCGTCATCGCTTCCGGAAGATTAATAATGCATTATCCTCATTGTGGCCGTTGCAGCAACTTTGCTTCGAATTTGTTATCCTTTGGTCGCCACTGCTTTTTGGTAAATTATAGAAATGCAAAATCAGAAATAATAATATATTCTATTCAATGCCTTCCTAACTTTTAATTTCTCAACGGAAGCTGGGTGGTGTGCGGGCGATGATTTCACTCCATTGCCACCACATTTTCGTTCAACGAAAACATTTACTATTATTGGAATCATTGATATTGTTCGGTTAAATTAAACAACATTGCATTTAACCACTTTTTTTGTTTTTAAATAAATTTTATCTTGTTGATAAAAATTCAATCATATGATCACAAGTCAGTTCAAATTTTCCAGCACGAATTTGTAGCTTTTTCTCCAACTGAACGTCAAAATTGCGCTCTCTTGTTATCAATTTTTTTCTGGGTGTTTGGATCAACGAACATGATCCAGCAAGTCAACGAACAAAGCTAAAGACTATAGCTAATATCTAGAAATCAATTGATCTATGCTAACACATTTTTAATTTTTGTTTTAATTCGTTACGATGAAAATGTATTAATGTTTGCTATACACTGTACAGAATTTGTATTAAAGATTTAGCTGACGTGTTGTATTATACATTTTATTTATTTATTTACTATTTCTAACCGGGTCACCCTATTCGTTCGTTTCATATTCATAAGAGTCCGATTAGGAAACAAAAGTACGTAACCTTTCGTTATAACTACACGTAAATTGAATATATTTTGTATCGTGGAAATAACTTGTGTGAGCAAAAAAATTCCCCAATTCTAATTTATTAAGAAAAATAGTGAATTCATATTGATTACTAAAGTTTTAAATCTATTTTTTGTGTACTTTACACAAGGAGGAAAATAGTATCTGCAATGCGGAGGCAGCGGTAAGCTCGCAAAATATTTGTTTAATCACCCATCAAAAATTACTATTTTACAGAAGAGTTAATATATCTGGAGATATTGATACTGATTCTTATGAAGTTGCCAGCATGCCATATACTCCATTCAATAGAAAATTGGAAGATGGCAAAGATTTTATGGAACTAGAAAGGTTGTCAGCATCACATCGTTTTGAAAGTACCATTGAAGCCAAGGTGGACGAAGGGGATACTTTGCAAGCACTAGCGTTAAGATTTCATTGTACAGTGAGTAATTGTTTTGGAAGTTTTTTCTAAATTATTTGTATGATATATTTATATCCTCAGGTAACCGATATAAAGCGGCTTAATAAGATTGACAAAGATAACGAAATTTATGCCAGAAAAATCATAAAAATTCCTGTTACTCCTCATTCTGTATTATTAGAAACCCTACCGATTGTGCATAGAAGTGGTAGCAATAGTCCAGCCCAAAGTGAACATAATTCTCTGGAAACAAATATAATGCGCAATCCATTAGAAGATGCGAAAGTTATGCTGGGAGAGAAACTTATTGTAGCTTCGGTAAATTCATCTGGAAAGAGCAATGCAGATTCAACTAACGCAAACAGTTCACTTTGGAATTCAAAATTGTCAAGCAAAAATAAAATTTACACAGATCAAGGTAAGAACCCTTAATAGAAATTGTATTTAGTAATCCTTACTATCTTGACTCCTGCACTGTTTTTGCAAATATATTTGCAATACAAAAAGACAAAGTGAAGAAGTTTATACTCTCATGAATTTATAATTTTGCTAGTGTAAATATGTGTATATAAATTTTTGTTGGTCTCCGGTATGGAATCCTAATGGTTCAAAGATACCATCGAAGATGGATTGATACAAGAAACCCTGTTTTTATTGTTTTTGTTTTTAAATACTTTTTTACTTCAAAAATTACCTTTTGACACCTCACCGACAAAACAAACTCAAAATATGTATACCACATACTTACATACATGAATATACATAGTTTCTTAATCAGCTGATCAAAGAAAACTGATAATTTCTGAAAAGTTTTAAAAGTGAAATAAAAAAGTTTATATTGGTGAAATAAGCAACATACATATCTAAGTTTGTATGAATTAAGTTAGTCATAAACTACTCTGAGCAAAAATTCAATTTCTACTAAAAAACCGATGTTTTAAAACTACAGGGTCGGGCAGTATTCCAAGTGGTCAAAGCTGTGTAAATTACTTGCTATTATTATTATTATTATTATATTTTTTGATAATTGTTGTGGAATATATCTATATTTTAACATAAATTATTTTTACTAGATTAATTACTTGGCAGTGTATGACCAGTGCAAATCCTTGGAAGAAATTTTTGTATAACAAGAAATAAGTTGCTAGCTCATAAAGTTGTCTCGGTAACTCTCTTTTTATAAGAAATTCCATAACTACTTTATCGCCACCCTGTGTTTCATTTCCGTTTGAACGTCAAAATAAGTGATTCGGCCGCTCCATCACGTATATTGACAGCACCAATTTCCAATTTGTATAGTCATTGTTGAGAATAAAAAGAAGTTTTAGTAATTTTCTTAATTTAATTTAAAAAACAATTAAGTAAAAATGCCGGACTATTTGGGTGACGATCAACGCAAAATAAAATCAGACGAGACTGAGGAGAAAGAAATAAAATCGTTGGATGAAGGCGATATTGAATTGTTGAAGACTTACGGACAAAGTCAATACCATAAAGCCATTAAAACTATCGAAGAAGACATACAGAAGGCTGTAAAGCAAGTAAATGAGCTCACCGGAATTAAAGAAAGCGATACTGGTCTAGCACCACCCGCTTTATGGGATTTAGCAGCCGATAAACAGATACTACAAAACGAGCAGCCTCTTCAGGTAGCGCGTTGCACCAAAATAATAAATGCTGATTCCGATGATCCTAAATATATTATAAACGTGAAACAATTTGCGAAGTTTGTCGTCGATCTAGCCGATTCTGTAGCACCAACAGATATTGAGGAGGGTATGCGTGTTGGCGTTGATCGCAACAAGTACCAGATTCATATTCCCTTACCTCCAAAAATTGATCCCACTGTTACAATGATGCAAGTAGAAGATAAGCCTGATGTAACATATAGTGACGTTGGAGGTTGCAAAGAACAGATAGAAAAGTTGCGAGAAGTGGTGGAAACTCCATTATTACATCCTGAAAAATTTGTGAATTTAGGTATTGAGCCACCAAAGGGGGTTTTGCTTTTTGGTCCTCCTGGAACTGGTAAAACATTATGTGCTCGCGCTGTAGCTAATCGTACCGATGCTTGTTTCATTCGTGTCATTGGATCTGAGCTGGTACAAAAATATGTAGGAGAAGGCGCCCGAATGGTACGCGAGCTTTTTGAAATGGCGAGATCAAAGAAAGCTTGTTTGATATTCTTTGATGAAATAGATGCGATTGGTGGTGCTCGTTTTGATGATGGCGCTGGTGGCGACAATGAAGTGCAACGTACTATGCTGGAATTAATCAATCAACTGGATGGATTTGATCCTCGTGGAAACATTAAAGTTCTCATGGCTACCAACAGGCCAGACACTCTTGATCCGGCACTGATGCGTCCGGGCCGTTTAGATCGTAAAGTTGAATTCGGTCTTCCCGATTTAGAAGGACGTACACATATTTTCAAAATTCACGCCCGTTCGATGTCAGTAGAGAGAGACATACGTTTCGAATTGCTTGCACGACTGTGCCCAAATTCCACTGGCGCTGAAATTCGCTCCGTGTGCACTGAGGCAGGAATGTTCGCCATACGTGCTCGCCGTAAAGTTGCAACAGAAAAGGATTTTTTGGAGGCAGTTAACAAAGTCATTAAGAGCTATGCTAAATTCAGCGCTACTCCACGCTATATGACATACAATTAAACATAAGTTAAGATTTACTATATCATTGAGTGAGTAGAAATTGCAATGAAAATTTGTAATAAAATAAATAAACAAAAATTTGAAAGTGTTTGTGCTACATAGCATTTGGAGGGAAAATTTTCATTTATGGTTCCAAGCTTTGGGAAAAAAGAAATATAAGGGGTGGTAGGGGGCTCCACCCTCTCTTAGAAACCGAAAACCAAACCTACCGGAGACCTATTGTTTTCGAGATATTTGCATTTGAAATAGCAAAAAAATTGAATTTTTACCCTATTATTTTGTACAAAGTGTCATTACTGTGAATTTTGTTGTTGCCACATATAAGAAAGAAATTCTAAAATAAAACAACTAGAATACAATTTTTAAACTTTATATGTATATTTGACGGCTTCTATAATTTTTAAGAACGGGTCTTCCCTGTTTTTTTTTTTACAGATTTTCGCCATAGGTATTCAATAATCATATCGGCGAAATTAGCCGGATTATTGTAGTTATCTTTTTAAGGAAACCGTTTGATAACTTTCCACTGTGACTCAATACGTTGAGTATGTGTGCCATCCTGTGCCACAAACGGGTTATCCGGGTCACTGTGGTTAACCTTATGGTGCTCGTACCCGTAGCTGGAGAGACAATCATACGCTTTCCAGCAATCGGTATGTATGATTGTCCCTTCAGCTACGTGTTTTTGGATGAGTGGTACGAGCACCTCTGCCGATCGCACGTTGCCCGGGCACACCTCCAAACGTAGATCCTCCGAGCCGTCCTCAATCATTCCCAGAACCCAATGGCCTTCGACCCTCCTCCCTAAAAAAAAAAAGTAAATACAATGTTTAGACCTATATAATAACAAAATATATAACTATTACCTTTATTGTATTTCCGTTTCCCAAATTTGCTCTCATGAATTTGAACAACCTTGCCCGGACCACCTATTTTTCCCCCAGTAATTTTTCCGCCAACGTAATCGTCGAGCGTTACGTCGAATTGTCATTTCTTATGCGCAAAGCAAAACAATACATAAAAAATGTGTGGGAAGGATATCCGAACCTCCTCAAACCAGGTGCCTTCTGCCCTTGACACACTTTATTTCTCCCTACATTTTCGCTTGCGGCACCAAAAACTGCTGAGAACGTCATTACCCTTTCTCATTAATGACATGGGCGTCCTATGAGAAGAACACAATTTGTTTCTCAGCATTAGCTCATGCTCCTCTGCAAGTGATATGCATTGCTCAACAGTTCCTAAATTGTCCCGCATTCTATGGATGCTCCACATGTTGCGAAAATCCTCCGCAGTAAGTCGCACCGGTTTTGCTGCCGCTGCGCTGGTAGAAGGAACATCAGATTCTGTAAAGAATTATGCTCAGCACATATATTCATAAAAGTTTAAACGCAATTAGACTTACCATACTCGGTGTCACTCCTTTTAATAAAATTTGAATTAATTTTAGAGAATTGTTATGAAAAAATAAAAATGTAAATTATATTTCACTGATTCGATACTTTTGATATACGCAAATAAAAATAACGGTAGTTAATTTTTCACACGAAAAAAGAAAAACGAAATTTTACAGTTATTTTGCTTTGCTCTTATTTCTTTAATTTTTCATTAATTTTAAAATATGCCACACCTTTAAAAAATAACGCCGGCTTTGCCTTGCATAGTATTTTTAGGCGAAACTCCTTCGTAAGTTGGCGGCCTTCGGTTTTTAAATTATAATTGTGTTAATACAGTATTGCATTTTTATTTTTATTCCGTATAGCAACACCCACTTATTGTTATTGTCGGACATTTATATTGAAAAACAATATCGAAATAATATACAAAAATAAAATAATATTTTACTGCTAACCAAATAAAATAAAAATACAACAAATAAAATAAAAATACAACAATTTTTAGTAATCGCATGTGAACAGATTAAAGTTAGTATTTCGCATCATGTACGATATGTTAAATAAGTGCACGTGCTAAGTAAAAATTTGTGATGAAAGTGTAAATTTATTAACAACAAATTATATATAATTTATAAACATTTATGTGCTAATTTTGATAAATAAAAATAGATTAGATCAACAGCAACAACTCCTGCAAATTTCATTAGATTGGTCAATTAGTTTGACTGAAGCAAGCATTGGAGCAATAATGGAAAGCACAGCCGTCGATTTACGCCAGGGTATCCGTAATAAGCGAATTCAACATTTGAATATTGAATTTAAAACGCGGACAAAAGTATATTGACAACGCAATGCATTATCAAAAACCTTTTCTAACTTCAAACTGAGAGGAGAACGGTAACCAATTTAATTTTAGGAGAGAGACAAAAACAAAGGCATTAAGAGAGCAAAAGCTTGAATTTTTACACCAGCCTTTGATTTTTTGGCTGGACAATGTATTTTTGCAAATGCAAAATTCTTGAAAAATTGTAGAATTGTTGACAGCAATGACGTTTCGCAGGCCTCCAGGAATATGATTTACCAAATTTATTAATGTTTCAAATGAGATATCCAACCAAAGTCCTTGTACACACGCTCTCTATAATATTAAGATCGGGGCTTTGATGCGGCCAATCTAATAAATTAACCTCGACATCTCTCATTAACGCAGTAAACGTATTGGCCTTGTGACATGGAGCGTTGACCAAAAGCGGCAGTACAAATGATTGTCCAGTGAGCCGGTCACTAGAACTAAATGCGTGGTTATTTAAGAAACGTAAACATTTATCCTTGTCCATTGAGCCATCAATTGGTATCAAATCACCCAAGCCATTGAAGCACACGTAACCCTAGAATGATGCTGTTCAAGCTCAGTTGACACTGCTTTAGTTGTAATCAGAACATTTTCTTAATATTATGCTGTCTTCGATAGGCGTGGTTTTGCGTGGTCTTCCCGATCGGGCCATACTTTTTTTTGATAATAATATGTTAGTCTTGGTACCTTGTATAATTTGCTTAGGTATTCTACATAAATACCTGCATTATACTTAGTGACCATTTCACTATTTATAACTTCACTAAGTCCGTGTGTTTTGCCCATATTTTACAAAACCTGATTTTATATAGTTGTTAATTTTAATAAAGACAAGAAAAGTAACTTAAGAAACCAAAGCACGTGTTTGCACCGCAAGCGAATCAATGAAAATGGATATGAAAGGCAATGTCAAAATACTTTTGTCCAGCCAAAAAATCAAAGGCTGGCGTGCAAACAATAATAGAAAATTATTATACGTTCCGTTATCAACGCAAGCTTTTGCTCCCTTAATGCCTTTGTTGTTGTCTCTCTCCTAAAATTAAAATGGTTACCGTTACTCCTCTCAGTTTAAAGTTAGAATGCAAGCTTTTGCTCTCTTAATGCTTTTGTTGTTGTCTCTCTCCTAAAAATAAATTGGTTACCGTTACTCCTTTCTGTTTGAAGTTAGAAGTGGTTTTTGATATTGCCTTGCGTTGTCAAAATACTTTTGTCCACGTTTGGACATTTAATATTATTCTCCTATTTAGTTTTCTGTACAAAACACCGACGGACCAGCTTTCATTGATAAAAAAAGTATGCTTGTGGTCCTCAGACTGTAACCTCTATTTCGCTATCTAACTATTACTAAGTGATCTGTGTATAAGAGCAGTTTGGGTTTTTACATATTAATCAGTATTTTAGTTTATTTGGATTTTATTCATTGTTTTCATAATCGATTACATCAGTAGATTGCAATACTGAAGCAGTTAGTTTGTGCTTAGAAAGAATAAGAAATCAATGCATATTAGAAGGAAGTTATTTACAAAATTATTCCATACTTTTCGGCGTATATCTTTCCTCTCAACTCATTTTGAACACTAGCACAAATTTCATCTTCTCACTATGCTAAGACTGCTGCGTTTAAAAATATAAGTAAAATATATGTATGTATCTCCCTTCTCATCTTCCCATCTCCTCGTCCGATCACTTTTACTAACGACTAAGTAACACATTCACCATATTTCTCCTCAAGCCTAGGGACTGTAAAGAAAAAAACTTTTCCTTAACGTAAAGGTAAATAACTTCAATCAATTGTAACGATCTACTTCATTATCCAAATACGAATATGTCACTCGCGTGAGCTCACTCGATCTCTTAGTAATGGTGAAACCTTCTCTTTTTTACTTTTAGAACCAAATTCATCTACTGACTCTACAGCACTATTGGACGATTTACTCGATGATGACTTCGCTGATCCTCAGGTGCGGCCTATACGAGGGCCAGCATTAAGTGCTCTTCACTGGTCTGGTTCCGATGGCGATATGACCTGGGTGTGCTTGTTTATTGTAATCTTGGCATTGTGCTTTGCCATACCGTTGATTATCGTGATATTTTGGGCTCATCCCCATACCAGCGGCAATAACAATATGACATCAACAGCAAACTGACCAAATCGGTTGACACGTATATGACAAATCTCTCTTATGCAATTATTCAATTACACGTACATATACACAAATACATATGTATGTGTATAGAATTTTTAAACTTAAATCGTTATATTTTCGGAAGAGTATGGACCTCATGTCCAAACATTTGTATATGCCGTAAACAAAAACTATGAAAATAGTCGAGTTGTAAAATTATTAAGTGCCTTCATCTTTTTTAATATCGGAGAACTCTAAAGGTATCTTGCTTGTTTTGAAAAATGTTCGTTCATAAAGATTTAATATGTATAATATATTGTAACAAATGTAGTTAGTAATTTTGTACTAAATATTTACATGTAAAGATATATGATGTATAATATAGAAGTATGTATATCCATGTATGTATTGTATCACTGCAATTTTTTTTTACAGATTTTATAGGGCTATTAAATAAATATATATATAGCAATATGACATCAACATATAATATATATATGCATATATATTATATATATATATAATAAAAATTAACTCAAATAAATAGACATAGTTTTCAAATAAGTGATTTATGGCTGAATTACATAGTTCTGTTCGGTGAGTCGATGGGCAGTAACAATGTAACAAATTTTTATTCGGTGTGTCAAAGAGCCAGTAAAATTTCGCCGACCATAACCTCGTGAACACTACTTATTTTCAAACAAAGAGCCGAGTCTCCGGCCTGCATTATGCTTCACTCAAATAAATTGCGGACTCAAAATGACTTCCCTATACTTACGATAGTTTTTCCCGCGACTTCGAGCGAATCCAATTTTAAAATGGTTCTAGCAAGATTTTAAATTGTCTTATGTTCGGTTGCAAAGATCTCGAATGATTACCGAACGATTGACCTGAAATTGTGTCAGATTGTATCTATGCTTCCTGGAGAGGTTTTTAAGGGAACTGGACCAGGGACCGCATTATTCGAAAAAATTGTTTTTACTACAAATGTGGTACATAGGTGGGTCTTAGATTAACATTAAGACTACTCTTTCTATTTCGGCAAAAATCTACATTTTTGCGAATAAATCGTATATTTAGCTCTTCGTACTATTGAAAGAGGAAGGATTAATATAATTAGAATACTTTTATTTCCTGGAAATGGACGAGAGACGTAGAACCAAGTTCGATTGCTCGAAATATAAATAATATTATACTTCCTTGGATGGATTGACAAAAATTAGTATGATTTAGACATAAGCCTGGATCCGTGAGTACGTATGTTCGCTTCACATTTTTCTTATTCTGCGTCTGCGGGTTACAACTTAAGCTGTTGGGCTTACTTCCATGCATTCATATTGAATACACGCTTATTTGACGTATTTCTTACCCAAAATCTAAAAGGGTGGAGAGCGGTTATATATCTTATAGTGGTCCGTTTTGGCAGGTTCCGACAAATGATCAACACATTATAAAAAACATCTGAGTGGTTGAAATACCTCAGAAACTAATTAACTAATTTCCGTCAAAACAGGGCCGGACGGCATAAATTTTGATGTGTGTTCTCTTCTCTTTCTTAAAATAAAAAGCATTTAGAAAACAATGAGAATTCGCATTCCTTTTTATATAGTGTTTCAAAGAAAAATGTTCTATACAATAAAAACAAGTTAAGGACTTTGAAATTCCGTATCAGTTGGAAACTTTTTGATATTTGTATTTTCTTATGAATAAGAAGATGTTTAAGAAATCTTAATTTGCGACTGTAGGGTGCCGGTATCTGAACAACTTTAAATAAAACGACGAATTTTTAAGGAATTATCAAGAATTATGAAGATATTGAGTATAAAATGAGCTATGCGCATGCTTCAACAGTTTTCCCATTGTGCGATATACAATACATATGTAGTTGCGTTACAACGATTGAGTAGAAGATGAAGGGTTAATGCATGGGGCATGTTACTCACTCTTTGCTTTGTAAACTCCCTCCATTTTCGGTGCATGAACCTTTATATTTCTGTTTTGTATTGATAACCCTGGACCGGCTTTATCGAAAATTTTAGTCAGTAAACAAATAATACCGACACTTTCAGTATTTTGCGACATTTTAGAAAGTGGTAGCCCGATGACCAACGATAATTTGGGAAATATATTTGTATCTATATTCGAGTGGATAGCATTGCGTTCTGTGCCAGGCTTCAAGCCTCGTTTCACCAACATATAAAATTATAGAAAATTAATTTTGCTAATTCGGCCGTCGTGCCGCCATTCGGAAGACTCAGCTTCAAATCCCCGTGGGACCAATATCCAAATGTTATAGAAAATTAATTTAAATAAAAAATTAAGCTGAATTTTCTAATTGCGGTCGCCCCTGGGCAGGGAATGTCAACCCCTCCGAGTGTATTTCTGACATGAAATAAAGCTTCTCATAAAAAAACCATTAGCCATTCGAAGGCGGCTTAGTATAAACTGTAGGTCCCTCCATTTGTTGGGAAAACATCAAGACGCAAAACCACAAATTGCCGGAGGAGATCGGCCGAAAATCGCTTAAGCGGGTATAAAGCGCCAATTATATATATATATATATCCCTCGTTAAGGAATTTCAAGCCCTGTGAGTGTATTCCTGATGTGAAGATACTTATCCAATCTCGATAAAGGGACCAATTGTATTAAAACCATATGCTTTTATTTCAAATTAATTAAATATTGTGAATAATCAGTTAACTTCAATAAATAAGAGGGCCAAAGAACAAACCTATTTTAAAATTCTTAATTTATATAAATAAAATAAACGAGACTGTTGTTTATAACGTTATTATTAACTAAGCAACACTTAAAACTAAAAACAAAACTCCAGTGTCCTTTGTTGAAATCGTTTAAACGCTTTAACACGTCCACTTCGTGTGAATACCAAGTACAAATGGCACGTTTAAAAAGTACAAATCTATAAATATATCTATATATATATATGTGTGGAACAACACTGTGAATCCACGCCTGCCATCAATACAATCGGCAATTCACCGATTGACAAACATATTTAGCCTTGTCGAAATTGTTTTCAATCAGCATCTCTTCCGTCCATATTTAAGGGTAATGTTCACTTAAACTTTAAATTCTCAAAGAAAGCAATATTACTTTTCAGCATACTGACACGCCTTAACATATGTGTACTGCTACTTTTGCTGCTCTCGGTATTTGAAGTGCGATCTGGTGAGGTGTGGATAACTGGTGGCACGATGGATAGATCCGTATTTGCTGGAGGATCGCTAAAAGAGAAGGCGAGGTCAATCACCTGCATAAAGACTTTTTTGGTAATCTACTTACGTCTCCAATGAGGACAAATCCGATGCAATAGTGGCATCCTCACCCACTTCAGTCACCGATAAAGAAGCTTCGTTCTTCATTGACTCAAGTTTTCGTTTTTGTTCAACTGGCGCAGTTGGTATACTTTGAATCTGAATTAAAAAATAAATATGTCTATGTCATATGCGAGTTATTACTATACATTTAACGTTATAAAGCATATGTATGCAGGAGCGTACACAAATTTATTACTAACAGCATTTATATTTCCACCCGAACTATTCTTGTTGGCTTAAGTTTTGTAGATGGAGCAAAAATTTACTTAAAATTTGATCTGAGAGTATGGCTAAAATACTAAAATATTAGCTTTGTTCGGTAAAAAAATAGGTCTGTTCGGTGAGAAATGCCAGTAAAAATTGCTTGCCAAAATTTGGGTCTTTCTGTGCAAATTCGCCTTACCGAACGGGGTACAGTAAAAATTGGTAACAATTGTTACCGCCCATCAGCTTACCGAACACATATAATTGTCTTATAAAATTATATAAATTTGATCAGTTGTTGTTTTTGTTTTTAGTTAGTTGCTACATCATATAGACAATCATATAGACAATCGTTAGTTTTGTTCGTTGATCAGATGGGCAGCAACAATTTATACCAAACTGCACTGGATCGTGTTCGTTGAGCCAAAAATTCAGAAGAAGAGAAAGAGAAAGTTGCAAATTCGTGCTGGGAAAATTAAGCATAGAATATTTTATTATTTTTTGTACAGCGCAAGCTCAATTTGGATTTTTACAATTTATTAAAAACCAGTGTCGACCAAATGAGCCGCATAAGCAAAGCAAAGTTGTTGCAACGGTCACAGTGACGACGAGTCGCATAATGAAATGCGATGTATTAGTAGCATTTAGAAGGAAAATTAAAGGTCTTACTTGGTTTTTATTTAAACAGAATCGAATAAATAATTAATAAATTAAAAATAATATATATGTATAACGGATTCAAATTTAACCGTCAAAACAAACCGCTGCAGAACTTGCTTGTTAATTATTTAACTGATACCTGTTCGGCGAAAACTCAGTAAATTTCTTTCTTTGGGAGAGTAAGACCTCCGACTCTCTTAATTACGTTACTTGCTGTTTTTTACTGACAAAATGAGAAAATGAATGTGGTAGCGCTTACCCCCCTCTTCCAACGCTTTTCCGCTGGTGTAAACTTATTTGAGGTTAAAAGGAACGCTTGTGCTAACGCTTTTACAGATGGCATGACTTGAGCCACTTCTTCCTCCACGACCGCTCGTTCGCCAGGTGGTGATGTTGGGGCCTACAGACAGATGTTAACAGAGTATTTCGGAAAAGTTTCAAATTCCAAATTATTACCTCACACGCTTCCTCGTCCAAACTCAATACTTGACTAGGATCGATTAGTCTTCGTTTAGGTTGTAGAAATTTAAATGCTCTTGGTGTAGAACCTTTGATTGCCGCGATTGGTACACGAGTTGCTGCCATATGCATTTCCACTGGCAATTCCTTAGGGCGTTCGCTTGATTTTGGGGAAGCCGGCAGAGAGTCTTCTGTCGATTTAACGTCCTTACGAACGATAGTTGTTTGCTGTTTTTTAAAATCATAAATACACACTGTATCGGAGTCGTCACTGGTGGTGGTGTTCACCGATTGCATGGACTGATTGGAGAGTGTTTCAAATGATGTATTTTCCTCTACCACACGCGCGGGAAGCGCCTGATATACCACGGGATGGGATACAGGAGGTTTTTCGATATCATGGGTCTCACTCACACCCTTTGACATTTTTTGATGTGTATGTATGTACGTATGCGTGTTTTCAATGTTAGTGTGTGTTCGATTTAGATATTTAACCGAATGTTTCAACAAATATTTGACGGTATTTTGGTATGATTATTTTGTATATCGTATTTTGTATTATTTTTATGAAAAGAAAGTACATAGAAAAAATACGGAAGCCCAAAAATGTTAGTGAACACAGTTTGACGTAATTATTGTTAAATATATATATGTACGTATATATGTATGTTTGCATGTATGCCTTTATGTATATGGAGATGTGGCGCCCGCAATAATAAAGCTTTACACGAGTTAAATACGCATTTACCATGTATGTGTATATGTAAATTAATGTATGTATGTATATGCAAATGAATTAAGTTCCCACAATCAAGAGTCATAGGGTGTTATAAAAACTATTTGATTTGATCAAACTTCTACAACTTTTCCCAAACTCAACATATACCACATAACAGTTTAAATTTGCCATTTTTACTTTGAATCAACGACAGAACTCAGCTCAGTTAACAACACGAAGGTAGCACACGCAGCACCTCCCTGAGTTGATTACCAATATGAAAATGTGTATAAACATACCGTAAGTTTTCTTCTAATATTCGTAAGATATGAACATAGATCGACACAAAAGTTTCGTCTGAAGGTCTTAGACCCATTCCAAATCAATGCAGGTTCTACGTCAGGCAGTCCGCTATTCTATTCTAATACTACGGTATCCATGCAAAGAGGTAAAGTGTCCCATGACGTATAAACTTATTATATCTAGCAGCTGATTAAATAAATGGTGCGACTCCCTCATGAGCTCAGCAATGCCGCGTCAAAACATGCACATCCGCTCCCACTAAGATTAATTTTAGTCAGCGCAAAAAAAGTGAGTTACCACATGATTCCATAGTTTCCAACAACTTCAATGGAGTTCTCTTATGTGTACGAATGTATTATGTATGTATATATTTACGTTATATAAATGTGTTGTTTAAGTCGACTCTTGTCCGGAAGAAACCTTAAAGTATAAGTGGCACATTTTGTTTAAATAATGAAGGAAATCCCTAGCTCCAGTTGGAGGCAGCGAGGTTGTCACGTCAGAATTTATCCATAAAGTTGACCAAATAATGATGATGGCAGACTAAGAAGAAACCGTTTGCAGAAATGATTGGAGTCTAAAATCCTGCAGGATCGTATTGGCATAACTTAGTAAGGTCATCGCTAGATAGATGCCAAAATTGTCTACCCTGCAAAAGAAGGCTTTATTTTGAATCAACCACCTCGCAGCCCAGACCTGACCCCGAGATCACCAATGATGAAGTCAATAAGGCAGTTTTGATGTATTTTGAAGATTAAAAAAAAGAGATTTTTTAATGTGAGCATAAATAAATTAATTTGAAATTTAGTTAAATCAATTTAACGAAAAATATTCTTTTGTTTTACAAAATATTCCACGCAATGTTGATGGTAGATACATACATGTATATATTTCTTTTTTACACTGTGATAAGAGGAAATGCTAGAATCAATTATTTGTAGGTCTTTTGAAAAGGAATGATACTTTATTTTGGAGTCTTCGGCCAAAAGTGTCTGAATGAAAATTTTCAGCAATTTAATGTTCATCCATTCTTGAGTGCTTATAATAATAAAGTGTGCCAGAAAACCAAAATGAATAGACGGTTAATGAGAATTTTAAAGAATTGTGAACTTAAAGAACCTACATAGTGGGCGAGAAAAGCTACTATCCTATAGCTATTCTTTCTAGGCAGGAGGAAGGTGAGGCATAAAGAAGTTTCATAAAGCTGACTTTAGACAAAAGCAAGTGAAAATAAATGATGAAAATATTAAAAACAAAATTTTCCGTTAGATTTAGTTTGTTAGTACAGAAGTATGTATGTACGTGCGTTTTAAGAAAACCCTTCACAGAAGTAGAATTTTAATATCAGAATGGGGCTTCAATACCTCGTAAACTGCATTAATCCGTTATAATATGAAAGCTTGTGTATGGAATGGCGTGAATTTTGCGAAACAAATGTTGTTAGTAGAATGGCAGACTCTGCCATATATAAATAAATATACTACATGTATACTTAATAATAATGTGTGTATTATTCATGGAGCTGAAAAATAATTATGTACGAGCCCGGAAATTCAAATATACATATGTACATATATTATGTGATACAATACACATCAGTCCAATTAAATACTTACCCGGCTGTCATTTTTTAAAATTTGCGGTTTTTTCTTACTCATTTCATTAAAAACATTTGTTTCTGTGATTAGTTACAGTTTTTTTTGGATTTCTATGTTGTGGCAGAACTAATAATAGTAGCATGGAGGCCTACATAGTTTGGTATCATACATATGCGGAATTAAGTGTGCTGAATTTTTGTGGGTTTTAAAATTATTTGCCTAAACAAAAATATTAAGTAATACTTAAGGCCACAGTGTAAACTATTTTTCGACATGGTAGCCATTCCTTCGTCCACTTCTCCACCTCGATTGAAAATCCTTTTTCACTCATGTGCAGCTTCAGGGAGTTCATCAAGAGTCCATCTATGATCTTCACGGAGCGCATTTTCGATTTATTCAGACATTTTGTCAGTCACAATTGAACGTCTTCCGTACGTGTGCTTCCCATGCAAAGGCGTAGGACCGTTTTAAAACTCGCGATACCACTCATCCGATTCATAGCTTCTTCACCATATGCCGTTTTCACTTCATTATAAATCTCAAGCAGAGGTTTCTCCTTTCCAAACGGGATACTGGCAGATGCCTCCTATTTTGCACTTGGCGGTAAACTGCGTAGACAATTCTCAACATATTGGCCTTGAACCGCTCTCGTTACAAAGGGGAAAAGTCTGGCAACACTACTGTGTTGCCAACATGTCGAGAATAAAATCCTCCCAACCATGAGAGTCTCAATACAAATGCTTTCTGGGTAAGCCTCGTAAATACAAGGCTATCCATTTTGCGGTTGTGAAAATAAACGTAAATAAAATGAATTTAAAATATTTCTTCCTGGAATTCCTTTTCGATTATAAATATTGAACCCCTGTATTATATGTTAAACACTACATCATTACAATGACTGCCTCGCGACGTCAGTTGTGGACGTCGTCATCGTTTTCAAAGAAGGTCCAATCATACTTCCGGATCATAGAGCATACCGGAGAGTAATTTTTTTTTGTTTTTTTTTTGTGTAAAGGCCGCCTTTAATTATTTGAGAATTTTCGGAGCCCCAAGTGTGCCAATTTTGCTTATATACGTATCCACCGAGTGAGAAATGTGTCTTGTCGCTTAAATTTTTTTTTTGAAAATTCGTTTTCCACTGTTTGTTGTTCAAAACTTCTGAACGGCCGGCTTCAGTTCTTATGTGAGCTGGACTTCATATCGATGTAGGTGTATGTCCAAGTGCAAAATACGCCTAAATGCGAAATAGACACACTCGCCCTTTCGGCTAAACTTTCATTTGCCGTAGCGATACTTGAGATGAAACGAACTAAACGATGATGCGAAGGCCTTACAATGTCTGAAACCGACTCAGTCTCTTAAAATTTTACATTTACTGGAGTAGTTAGACCGTAATATGCTCTAAAGTCCGAAACGTAGACTCGCCAATTCTGTAGTAGGTTTTAAGAATTTTAACCCATTGTGCAGTTGTAAAGTGATTAATTTTCTTAAATGTCTGGCAAAAAATGTTTGATTTGACAGAAATGGAATTAACAATTTACTATATGCATGTATGTAGAAAGGACATACTTCATTTACTCTGCGCTTAATGGGTAACTATTAATTGTAGTTGATGCAGATATTTAACGTTAGTTCAAAACTCACAGCAGAGCGTTGTTTTTGGTTAATTTTCAAAGGAATGTTTTAGACAGGGATATTAAATATTAAGACACACCAACACGCCTACATTTCTCCCTTTTTTACTTTTTTCCTCCAAATTAATAACGACTAATAATCGCACCGTAACTTTTAATGTGAGTCAACATTGAAAATCTTAAATATCAAAAAGATATATTATTACACTAGCAAATAGGAGCGCAATCGGCCAAATGCTTGAAACACTGGATTTTTTGGGTTTAGGGGCAACTGGGTACTTTACCGTATACTATATATGTTCTATTTATGTATGTACGTGTATATTTATATGTAAATATATTGATAGCAATATTTTTATACAACAAATTTATTAGCAAAATAATTTTAAAAGCAAACGTAATTCAATGCGATTAAATACATAATAAAACTAAATTTTCTACCAAACTCAACTGAAACAAGTGTTGAGAATAACTGTTATCATAGAGCAAAACATTATTTCGGAGTTGCTTAGTATAAATATGTATGTATGTGTTGCTAATAATAAATTCATTTTCCAAAGATAATTAAAACTATACGTATGACCAGCTTCTATTCGTCCCTCTGGGGGTTTCTACTTTGTGCAATTCTTACCAATTTTGTGTATATATTTTAAATAAAAGGAATATTCTGTATCTGCTTATCTCGGCCGCAAATACACTGAGATTAATTTTAGTATGAAAATAATAATCTTCAACTTTATGCAAATGTGTGTGTGAGGGCATTTAGCTCGTTCTTTATATGCTTTCATTTATAGTATTTAGTTTTGTGTGGTTTATACATACATACATACATATGTACATATGCAAACATATTTATGTATGTTACATATGTATGATATAAATATTATATTTGTTTACTTAAAAAAGAAATGGATTTTATTCGTTGGACAATTCCATAAATATACATACGTGTAAGTATGTAAGTATGCACACATATTAAAATTACTACACGTGGATAAATTCATTAGTACTGACGTGTTGTTGTAAATACAATATTTTAATTTTACCAATGCCCTTATGACACATTCATATTTCATATAAATTTATAATATAATATGTACGAGTATGTAGATATTTGTATGCATGTATGTTTCATTACTGACTAGTTGCGTTTGACTTGTAAAAGTCCTATCCGGCATATGGCCCTAAATCAATAAACACAAAAAAGAGAAAAAAGAATAGTAACTGGCCCTAAATGGGTAAATTTGTGGTTGTGTCGTTGACTTTTACTTCGATTTCATTGAAACCATTCAGAAAACTGTCAACTCCAGAGTCAATTTGTTCGTCTCTGCTGTGCTTATTCGTACGCTTGGTTTTACCTTGGCTATTAGTATTTTCGCTGCCATCACTGGTGCCATTGATATTTTCAAGCTCATAAAGTGGATTCATTACGAACTCTTTGGATGTAGCCGAAATGGCACGAAAACTGTTTCTTTTCAGATCTTTGTGCAGTAATTGTTTTTCAAATTGTGAGAGGGTGTTTATATTATGCGACGAGGAATGTTTTGACTTTGACGATCTTACCGAAGTACCGCTAGCACTACTGTTAAAACTCAGGGAGGATGGCGTGTGGCGTGCGGGTAGAGTCGTTGGATAATACGAGTTGGCGCTCGCGCTTCGCCAAGCACGTTCCGAGTGTCTATGGTCACTGTAGTCATTGAGGTCATTGTATATGTCCAGGTCGACGTTGCCGGTGTTGCCGTCAATGTTAACAATAAGACCGTCCTCACATGCACCACACTTTTTATTGCCGCGATAGCAGTCTGAATGTCTGGCAATGGCATTACGTTGGTTGTCCTGTAAATGTATGCGGTCCAAGTTGTCGTAATGAGACATTGAGCTATATGAGCGTTGTGGTAGGTAGTGTTTTTGGTAATATTTTGGGGAAGTGGGGGTTGCATTTGCTCTGAAGTTGGAATATGATTTTGGTGGTGAACGGCGGTTAATGATTTTTAGCGAACTGCTACGGCGCACAGGTGTGGAAAGGATCCAATGGCAATCGTTATGATCACTAAACGGGATACCTTTATTTGTGTTTTTGCCATTGTAATTTACCTCATTCGTGACGTCAACTGTTGCGAGCTTATCAGTGATACCTTCATCACCTGCGGCGATTTGGTGCTTCGGGCTGGTTTTGGCAACATTGTCGTCGTTTATATAATAATCGCGGCTATATCTGAAATAAGAATACGAATTTGCTCGCATAAATCTAGTTATTCGTTCTTTTTTTAGCCAACCGTTACCTTTTATAGTCAATATCATTTCGAATTTCATTTCCGGTAACGGCTTCGGGTTCTTTGGTTGCTATTGATATGGGATTTCTTTCAGTAGTCCCACTTATATTTGGTAAATCGATGATGCGCTCTTGACTGCCACTGATCCGACGCTGCAGCGCCTCTGTTGTGTAGGGGTTATTTGGCATTTCCACTGCATTATTCCATTTCTTGTGTTCACGCTCTGCTATAGAGCCTAAAAGGTGGAGAGATGCAGAGTTTCACGAAGATTTATTGAAATGAAATGCAAAAACAAAATACAATAACAGCTAAGGTATATGTATGTATATTATATAGACAACAATTAGCTTAAAAAGATGAAGTGTAAATTATAAAACACGGAACAAATGAAATACAGCACAGCATAACGGAGTACAACACAATAGAACACAACACCGAGCGATGTTGGAGTCGTTTTGTGTTACCTGGGACGAAATGTCTCTTATGGACAACATCTTCTTCACCACTATTATCTTGTTGAGAGTTATTATCGTATATAAAATGTTGCTCTTGCTCGAACCGCAGGTCTGATCTAGTATGTGATGATGTTAGATGATGATTTTTAGACCCATTTGTTAGTTTGCTAGTATTGGCGAGTGTGTTATTACAAGTGTTAGGATGTGGAGTGGTGAATTCATTGTTACAGTCTGCTAGGTATGATTCAATTGTTGTTGGCGTACTTTCGTCAGTGCGGTTTGAATCGGTGCTCAGTTGATCTGAGAATAGAATATCATTAAGGAAATTAAATTTACTATCTTTGAGACTCTCTGAGCGGTAACTAATAGCATCAACTGTATTTTCACTTATTGTGGGTGGTGGGGGTGGTGTGTTTAGTATGAATGTTTGCTCATAGAGTAAGCATTGGCTATGATGCTCATAATCAATTTCAGCATCAAATGAGTCTATGGAGCGTAGAAACTTTTGCATGATCTCTGTTTGACGTCTTTGTTTTTCGAGTGCAGCCAATAGTCGTTTATCTTGAATGAATCTTTTGCATATTGTGGCCAGATGCGAGGCAGTCCGCGGTAAACATTCTTCATCGCTCGATGTTGTGTCCACTATATGAGACTGTCTGCAAAGCCTTCGATTTACTGTCTTAAGATTTGTCATGGACTTTACAAAGGCCATAGCACTGTCCTCAGAATTAATGTCGGCTTGCCTAGCTTTTAATAAGCTTTTATCTGTAGTCTCACCCGAAGTCACATTTCCAACTAACGTTTCACATGTTTCAGAAGGTAAAACCATCCCTTGGGAGTAAGAGCTAAGTTGCTTATTTTTGACGATGTCATTAAATTCTAAGGGTGACTTTATCTCGATTGTAGGTTCTTCTTCCGGTTCACAAGCTGCATTCTGTTTTTCGTTTTTAAGGCTTATAGGGGATTCTGCGGGCGATGCTACTTCCGTTGTAGTGGGGTGGTTTTCTTGATCAATTTTGGAAACTATTGAATTTGCCTCCTGAACTCGTGGTTTGGGCTGTACGTGTGTTTCGAGCTGAACTGTTTCTTCTGGTTTAATGATAAATCCTGCTGCTGTACTGCTGCATGAGTTTTCACCTTCGGACAAGTGAGCTGAGTTCTCAGAAACTGGCGGATAAGTCTTAATATTTTCTATATCCTTGTCCTCAGCAGGAAGTGACCATTGCTGTTTTTCAATCGTCTGTATTGTGTCCTTAGTCAGTTGTGATTCTGTTTTTATAACAGCTTCTAATTCACAAGCCGGTTGCTGATGCTCATTTCCAACAGTACTATGATCTATTTCGCAGACTAAATTATTTGCCTGGTGACCTGGTGTTTCTATCTGAACTGTTTCTCCTGATCCAGTGACAGATCCTTCTTGTGTCATGCTGCAAGAGTTTTCGTTTTCAACAAGCTGCTCTGTGTTCTCCGACACTGGTGACACAGATTCCGCTCTAGAGACAACTTCGGCAGATGTGTCACCATCATGTTCTTGTTGCCCATTTTCTATATTAGCATGCGATTCAGTGGTCGATTCTTGTTTCGTTTCAATGATTTCTTTTTCTTGCTCTATTTTGGACACTAGTAGATTTTCCTGGTGAACTTGAGCTGTGAGCGGAACGGATTCCTCTAATTCAATAGCAGAACCTTCTTGTTCCTTACTGCAGGAGCTTTCACCTTCTGGCAGCTGTTCTGTATTCTCAGGTAGTGGTAGCGCAGTCTCATTACTATCTACTTCGTTGACTTTAGCAGGGCTGGGAGAGAGCTCGGTTTGATTCGTTGGTAGTGCCTCTGGTCTCTCGTCTGATTCCGCCTTAACGACAACTAGGGCTTCACTACCCTGTTTCTTTTGCTCATCTCCTACAGTAGGTTGTGGCTCTGTGGTCGATTCTTGTTTCGTTTCATTTTGTTGTTTTTCTTGCTCTATTTCGGAGACTATTAGCTTTTCCTGGTGAACTTCTATTGGGAGCTTAACAGATTCCTCTAATTTAATAGTAGACTCTTCTTGTTCCTTGTTGCAGGAGTTTTCACCTTCCGACAGCTGTTCCGTATTCTCAGGTAGTGGTGACGCAGTCTCATTACTTTCTACTTCGTTGCCTTCAGCAGGGCTGGGAGAGAGCTCGGTTTGATTCGTTTGTAGTGCCTCTGGTCTCACGTCTGATTCCGCCTTAACGACAACTACAGCTTCACTACCCTGTTTCTCTTGCTCATCTCCTACAGTAGCTTGTGGCTCTGTGGTCGATTCTTGGTTCGTTTCATTTTGTTGTTTTTCTTGCTCTATTTCGGAGACTATAAGATTTTCCTGGTGAACTTGTGCTGTGAGCTGAACGGACTCCTCTAATTCAAGAGCAGACTCTTCTTGTTCCTTACTGCAGGAGTTTTCACCTTCCGGCAGCTGTTCTGTATTCTCAGGTAGTGGTGACGCAGTCTCATTACTATCTACTTCGTTGCCTTCAGCAGGGCTGGGAGAGAGCCCGGTTTGATTCGTTTGTAGTGCCTCTGGTCTCACGTCTGAATCCGCCTTAACGACAACTACAGCTTCACTAACCTGTTTCTCTTGATCATCTTCTACAGTAGCTTGTGGCTCTGTGGTCGACTCTTCGTTCGTTTCGTTTTGTTGTTTTTCTTGCCCTATTTCGGAGACTATTAGATTTTCCTGGTGAACTTGTGCTGGGAGCGGAACGGATTCCTCTAATTCAAGAGCAGACTTTTCTTGTTCCTTGCTGCAGGAGTTTTCACCTTCCGACAGCTGTTCTGTATTCTCAGGTAGTGGTAGCGCAGTCTCATTACTTTCTACTTCGTTGCCTTCAGCAGGGCTGGGAGAGAGCTCGGTTTGATTCGTTTGTAGTGCCTCTGGTCTCAAGTCTGAATCCGCCTTAAAGACAACTACAGCTTCACTACCCTGTTTCTCTTGATCATCTTCTACAGTAGCTTGTGGCTCTGTGGTCGACTCTTCGTTCGTTTCGTTTTGTTGTTTTTCTTGCCCTATTTCGGAGACTATTAGATTTTCCTGGTGAACTTGTGCTTGGAGCGGAACGGATTCCTCTAATTCAAGAGCAGACTTTTCTTGTTCCTTGCTGCAGGAGTTTTCACCTTCCGACAGCTGTTCTGTATTCTCAGGTAGTGGTAGCGAAGTCTCATTACTTTCTACTTCGTTGACTTCAGCAGGGTTGAGAGAGAGCTTGGTTTGATGCGTTGGTAGTGCCTCTGGTCTCAAGTCTGATTCCGCCTTAACGACAACTACAGCTTCACTACCCTGTTTCTCTTGCTCATCTTCTACAGCAACTTGTGGCTCTGTGGTCGATTTTTGTTTCGTTTCAATGAGTTGTTTTTCTTGCTCGTTTTCGGAGACTAAAAGATTTTCCTGATGAACCTGAGCTGCGAGCTGAACGGAATCCTTTAATTCAATAGCTGCTCCTTTTTCTCCCTTGCTGCAGGAGTTTTCAATTTTGGACAGCTCCGACTTTTCTATTTCTTTGCCATAATGTGGGGATGGCAGTTGCTCTGTTTCATTTGTTTGCAGTGTTTCCTGTGTTAGCTGGGATTCCGATCTAATGGCAGGTTCCTCGTCTGCATCTCTGTTCGCTTTCTGTTGCTCATTTTCAGTAGTTGGCTGTGGTATCGTTTCAACGGTTAGCTCTTTTTCATTAATCTGTAGAGACTCTTCTTTCAACTTCGAAGCTATTATCTCAATAACCGGTTTATCTTCTGCTGGTTCTTTCGATTCAATGGCAGCTCCTTCTTTTGGCTTGTTGGGAGAGTTTTCGCTTTCGGAAAGCGGCGGTTTGTTGTTAGATGTCTCTGTACCAGCCTGACTGAGACCAATTTCATGATTCTCAGCACTTGGTGGTTGTTCCTTTTGTGTCAGTTCCTGAGCTGGCTTTATGTTTGCCTCTGCCTTATTGAGATTTTCTTCTTCTAGTGGGTTTGGTCTCTGTTGTACGTTTTCAGGTATTTGTGGTATTTCATGACGCCCTTGTGCTTTATTTACAATACCATGTTCTTCCTTCTGTTGGTCGTTCTCAGAGGACAGCGATTTTCCCTGATGTCTTAACGAAATTTCGTCTCTGCTAGGCTGGGTTATTTTTGTGTTTTCTTGTTTTTGAATATCATCTGCTGTCTGTGCTGTAATTATTGATTCTGTGATATCCGCTAGTTCGTCGGTTGCTGACAGCAAACATTGGTTTTCAGGATTATGAATTATTTCCATCAAATTTTCCATTTTAGCTTCTTCTTCCTCGTCAATGACATCGAGCGAACGGTGCTCCAAGTCCGAAGTGCGTGACTTTATTTCTATCAAAGCTAATTCACTTAATTCTCTAAGTGAATTCAATTCAGCGGACGTCAAAATAGAACGCTGGTCTGTGGCTGTGGCAGGCACAGCCAACATTGGCCCCAAAGCTACAGCAGCAAGAATTTCAATAACTGATGGTCCCTGACTAATTGATCTAGTTTCGTGACCGGAAGGGTTTAGCTCAAACATTTCCACTGAACTAATACCCAAACAGTCTGATTCGTCTTCAATTTCATCATTAGATTGCATAGGAGCTGTAAACACAAACGACAAACTGGTGTCGTCAGACCAAGATCATGCAAAGTTTTTAAGAAACACACCTCTAGAAAGTGTATTTGATGTAATGGTACCAATTGCTACACCTCACATTGGCTTCGCTAGCATTAATTGGCTTCTAGCAAGGTTTACATATGCATATAGGACATGAGTAATCTTTACACTCAATACTCGTTTCATGTAATTAGAGGGGTTATGTGTTTGGATAAAAGCGATATGGTTGCGTGTTACAAAGCTTGTGAAAAGGAACTGTTTTGGTCTCACCTGATAAGGAATCACATACGGGCTCAGGTTTCGGATCATTATACTTCGCGTCTGCCTTTGTATCAACGGATTCATATTTAAGTGCTATATTTATAATGCGCTCGTTCGTAGCTTCCGTGAACTTGGGCTCATCTTGTGAATGAGAAGTAGTTGAAATTAAGCTCGCTGTTTCCATCAATTCATCCAAGATAACACCCGTATTTTGACCACCAATTAGATGCTTATTCAAAATACGATCATTAAGCGGATTTAAATCTTCATCGGGTTTTGCTGAAGAATCATCTGTATCGGAACCCATTTCCGAGAGGTCACTAATTTCATCAGCAGTCTTATCCCCTATTTGGGCACGCACATCGTCTTTTGGTGCAGGAACTAGCATGCCCACACTGCCAGTCATGGAGGTGGTTAAGGAAGAACTTTTTTTCTTAAAAAGCCAGTTGTCTTCCCAATTACCATCGGCCATAACACTTGAAGATATCGAATCGTGATCTAAGTCAATAGAAAAGTGTATTGATTCTTCCCGATATTCATTAATATATGCGAACACTTACCATCCTCCTCCGACTCTGTCACAGCTGTTGAAAAATCAGGCAACGGCACTGTATGAGAGGCGATGTATTCGTTTAGGATTGACTCGCGGCCAGAAACTGAAATTTCAAATTCATCAAAACCTGAAACTCTTTTATATAAGACTCTATTCTATACCTTTGCTAATCTACAAAACAACGTAAAGAAAAGAGAAAAATAAATTAAATCAATTTCTGGTGCGCCAGCTGATGTAAACTTTTTACTCACTTTTGGTGATTGTTCAGTATCTGTGTAACTGAAATCGCTTCTCGGCTCTGCCGAACTAGTGGACGAAATGCTCCGGTCCTGCACATCAATGTTGCCATTAATGTTTGATAAACTTAGATCCGGTGTACTTTCCGAAAATTGCCGAAAGTTGCCTTCTTTATCCGCAATCTGCAAAACAAAAAAAAAAAAAAATAATAATAATAATATGATTGTTTCTTATGTAAGTTTGTAGCTCATTCTAAGTCATTTTGTGATAAAAAAAAGGTTCCTTTTTGCAGTTCAATTGCCCAATGTACACTCATGTGGGCTCTACGGAACTTTTGAGAGGCACTGTGTTTACGAAACAAAGTATTGATTTCTATGAGTATTTACGAAACCTGTATAATGCAATATTTCAAGCGTAAGAAAGATTTAGACGCGTGATAAACGTATCTTGCAGTAATCAGAGATTCAGCTTAAAACTAAGGAATTTCAGATGAGATCGAGTGTTATTTAAATATTTTACAATTACAGTGTGCGCATACAGTGTAAAAGCGTTATGCAAGTATGAGCACTAATATATTTACATTTGATTCCTCCACATTTGAATTCGTATCCATTTCCATTAATTCGCCCAGTAAATAAACCGTTAAGTTACACCAGTTTCCAGACTTCAATTCCAAACCTAGAATTTTGTCAGAAATTAATATTTTCCGCTGCTTTATCTAATTAGTGCTAAGTTGCAGATACTGTTGTGTCTCATTTGACGTCTGCACTGTTGGGAAATTGTCACTAGACTGAACTAAATTTTAGTCCTCATTGGTTATCTTCTAAATTGAATGGAATACGTAGTTAACGGGTATTTTTGCAATTATTCTATTCTATTTTAAGCTGCAGGGAAGGAAGTCTTACAAGTGCACTATGAAAGGTGAAAAGTATTAGGGAAGATCTAAGATCGAACGGCACCGGACACTATGTATCCGGCTATTACAATGAAAATGCAGATGGTTGCGTTGTTGATGTTGTTGTTGTTCTTGACATCCGCAAGGCGAACAAAGTTAGTTACACCTATTTAACCATTCAGTGCCCATAAGTATCTCTAAGTCGGGTGGCGCCTCAAAAACTACCAATCATTCTGCTTGCAGTTGCTGTAGTCTTTTATGGTTGGTATACATTTCCTCTTTTCTTAATTTAAATTGGGTTTGAAAAATAGGGTACTTCAGACTGGTTTTCAAGATATAGATATGGTTTACATATCTCGGTGTTACTTTTGTAAATAATGCAGTGTACAATACTTACCCTATTCAGCACTGCTGTGGCAAGCAACTCTTGATAGATCCGTGGTTCAAAATAACGCTCGGTGGTGCCGCTTTGGCGAACATCTCCATTTCTACTACTCTTAGACACCGTTTGCGAGAGCTCATTACTAGAGGCATGCGTATTGAGTGCTATTTCTGGAGAGCGCAAAGTTTCTGCAATTATTAGCTCAATCATTTGACGTAGACGTGTTTGGGAGATTTCCGGAACTTCTGGTGATACATTTTCATTTGATTGGTTACTATTACGCCCAGCCAAAGCTTGAGGGGCGCCCGCATGACTATTTATTATACCAGGTAGATCTGGAAGAGGAAAGCAGGAGAGAAATGAAACGCTGATTGCCAAAGGCTTTCTTCTTTTCTTAACAATATGTGTTGTAGGCGAACACATTTTGACATGCAAATATATATAATATTAAGTGTTGGATGAGTGCATGCAACGACATGCATGGCGTATGAGTGACAATATTTAGCGACTGCACCTTGTGAAATAGATAACTATGAGTATGTATGCAAACACATTAAGCGTGTGGCTTGTCGTTCTTACTTTACCTAATTTCACTTCAATAATGTAGACAATGTAAAAAACAATCAATGCAAAGGCCGCATAGGCGCCCGTTATAAGGCCAAATGTAAAGTCCATTTTGCTGCCGCCTCCCACGCATGAATTGCCATACATTTGTACCGTTATTGCTTTTGTTTGAACTTAGTTGCGCGATTTCACGTGTATTAATATTCGATGTGACTTTAGTTGTGGTAAATTTTTAACTGAAAACTCTGAGTGCAGTAATGAAAATTTCTTAGTCTGCGCGCAAACTCCTCACACAATTTCATTCCACACACACAAGGAAACACAAAATGTTACAACTTTGCACGTGCATAAGTAGGCATATACAGATCAGGTGCTATTTTGGTATTAATTACAAAAAAAAAAAAATATTTATTTAATATTTCTCCCAGCGCAGTCTCACTGTGGCTAGCGCCTTTTCCTTTCGTTTTGAAACAATTTCAAACGTTTTTCCATATCATGTGTATATGTATGTATGTACATATCGTAAATATGTACACACACATATATGTCCATATTTATTTAAGTCTGGTTACTGCATAATCAATATTAATTCGTATGTTGTAATATTTTGAGTTGGCAATAATCATGCAAAACTACTGCCCAGTTCAAGTACACAAACAAAAACGGAAAAGATGGCTATCACTAAAGTATCTAACAAATGTGTAGTTTATTTTGGTATCTCACGCCTCACGCCTCACGCGATCGATACTTGCAACGAGATGGCGCATGCGCTTGCTGGCGGGCGGGCTGCTTTCAAAACCCGACTGCGTGTTTGCGTGTAGCAATGAATGATGCTTTTGTAAAAAAATAATAAAAAAGTAATGATCAAACATAAAAACAGTTAGCTCATTAAATCTTTAGTATGTGTTTAAAGATGGAGTTGTACGTATTTATTGTTGTATAAAAAAGTAGAAAACTCTTTATGAACTTGCACCAACAAGTCTACATGTTAACGCGTCTTGTTTAAAAATTCCAAGACCAGAAGATATTCCTTTGGATCTCATTAAAATCCTCAGAACTGGAAAAAGTTTCACAGAATTCAACTAAAGTTTTGCTGCATATTATGGTCATCATGGAAATGGTTTATAAGAAGTTTTCCCGAATTCTGAAAAGCAGTACTGGCACCTCTTATCCTCTACATAATATAAGTGTGTTAGCTTCTTGAACAAATCCAACCAAATTTACACGGTATATATGGGCTATTATGGAGAATCGGGCATTGAACCTCTATATCCTTACCATATAACTAGAGACAAAATATACGCGGATGCTTTATATTGTCTCAAAAATACAAAAGTGAACTTGTTACCTATATTTTTCATACATTCATATAGGGAAAGTAGCCAGTTGAGGGTCCCACTTCCATTTTGGCTCTTAATATTGTACTAATATCTTATTATACGATCATATATGTATATGTATGTTAATCGAAAGTTGGAGAAAGCTGCAAAGATTCAGTAAAGTAACGTAGCTGATTCCAAAAAAAAAAAAAAAAAAATATGTGCTCGGTTATCGGCACACTGGGAAATGTTTCTATAAATGGGAAATTTATTTGTCAAAATGTAACGTTTTTATATTACTTATCGCTCTCTTCATTTGGGATTAGAAAGCATAATGTTTGCATAAGCACGCATGACATCGCACTTCAAATGCATTGCATTCGATGGCGTTCGAGGCTGTTCAGACGGAAGTCCTATTATCGTCAGATGGTATACTCCTTAGTCTTGACGCGCTTAGGTAAACACACTTGGTTGGTGTTTCTGAGAGCTTTAGGAGGACATTGGACCAATTAATGCCCGTTTTTAATATCGGTTTATCTTTCAGGGCTTGACAATAAGCCTAACATGGATAAAAATAGTGATAAAAGCAGAGCTGCTCAACTAACGTAAATGGTTGCCGGCTATGCTATTAACAGCACACTTTAATTGCAACGTTTAACATTATCTGTTAATGATTTCACATTAACAGCATTTCGTTTCGTGTAAAATCCAAATAAAATAGATTTTGATAACTGCTTGAATGATAGCAAGGTGAACTTTATCGATACGATGCACCCTTGAATAAAATACTTTACGTCAATGTAAGCAATATCAAAGCAGCTCTCACTATGTAATGGAAGATTAAGGGGTCCATAACCGGGAATGGCAATTAGCTTTGAAAAAAAGTTAAAAATTTACTTTTTGCTAATGATTTATTTTTATGGTTACAGCTACAATGCAAACGGGTGAATTCGTTTCCGTATAAACATAAGGCCAGCGCAATATTCAGATCAGTTCATCCGTTTGTTATTCAACAAAACTAACTATGAGGTCAAGAGAGTTGCCACCCGTCTTCTGTAAGTGTGCCGACGACTGAACTAATCTAATTGGCTCAACCTACTACCTGCACAGAAATTTGTATTTGATAAAAAAAAAGTGATAGAACAAATTGAAATTAAAGATGGTTATCAAACTGAAGAGATTAAAGAAAGGCTTAAAAGAAAAACATTTTGGTGCGGCGTTACCACCTGTTAAAAAGCTTTAAATGATTACATTGGAAAAAAATATATTATTCGTTATGCATACTTAATGGCGCAGAAAGTTTTTATGAGAGCTGCTGCTTGCTGTTTGGAAATTTCAATACAATTCAACCGACAAGTTAAAAGAAAAGTATGGAGAGTATTAAACTAAGAGAATTTGGAGATTTATAGTGGAAAATGTTTGAAGTGATGTCATCTTTCTGTCTAGAATTTTCAAAAAGGATTTGCGGACCGTTGCAGTCGAGGAGTTTGTCAGGTAAAAAGTTGCTTGCCACATGTTTGGAACGTTAATTGGCGGCTTGGTGGAATAACTGCAAAATGGATGCCAAAAATTCAAAAAACGAGACTAATTGCTTCAGTAAGGCATAATGGAGTACAAGAAACGCTCGAAACGAAACTTATTAAGTGAAAAATTGACCGAAATCTTATATACAAAATATCGAACTTTTCTTTTTTCGAATATTTCTTTGAAACACAATTTTGGATGTTGGCCTTTTTCCATCAATGCATTCAGCTGTTCAAATATGTTATAAAAAGGAACATTTTTTTATGGCGTTATATTGGTACTCATGTCTGTCACTTATGCCGACAAGCTTGGCCATTTTGAATGTTCACTTAATTGTTGGCAGCTGCTTTGCTTGCACGTGTTTTGGATGGTCTTCGATTTTTACCTATTCAAAAAAATGGATCAAAGAACCTGTATGAAATTTTGTGTGAAAAACGAAATTATGTGCGCGGATGCATTCCGAATGCTGACTGTGGCATACGGAGAAGCTACCTTGGACCGAAGCAATGTTTATCGGTGGTACAAAATGTTCTCAGAAGGCCGAGAAGATGTGAACGACTAAGAGCGTGCCGAACGCCCGAGCACTTCACCAACAGACGAAAAGATTAATTGATTTTTTAAAGTGCTTCGGAGATTCATGGGGATTACTTTGAAGGGGACAAAACAGATATTCATGAATAAATAAATAATTTTGAAAAAAACACAAAATTCGCGATATTTTTTGAACACACCTCGTATATGTTCGAATATGTGTGTGTATGTACGAATGTCTTTAATACTTTTTAATACTTTGTACTAGCAATCTCATTGCTAACTTTAACAATTATATTTAATTAAATTGACTGTGTATGCTTGTGTGTATGTCTATACATATTGGGTGGTTTTTTCCACCATCCGTTCGCTTAGGGTTTAAAGTACACGCTGACTTTTGACTGCACCATGCCCGGTTGAAAATAATTTGTTATCAGAGTGACAGATTGAACTCTATACTGTAAAATTTCTTTGAATTGAAAGTAATTAAGTAAAACCATGTTTTCTCATGTTAAGCTGATGATTAAACACTTGAGTAAATAGAAGACCAAAAATGGCGGTAATATTCATACGTACTTATGCTGGTAAATATACCCGTATACATGAATTTCGGTAAAAGAAAAAATGTAAATCTTCTGATTCTGCTATCGGTAGCGAACAATTTGAAGAGTCACGCATCTAATTTCGGATAAGAATTTTGCCCATTATCAGCAAAATTTAGTCGTTGTCGCGTTTTTTGTAATTAATGACTTAGGTGTCACGCACGCACACACTAATATGTACACACGTACATATGTACACATACACACAATTCCAAAGTTCACAAACTCATGTTTAATAGCGTTATTTGAAATAATAATAATAAATAGAGAAATTCCAAGGCATCATAAATATCGTGCGAACAATTTCTCGGATTGTTTTTTTGCCTACAATCCTATGTTAATTCGTATTAAGTGGTTAAACTCCGTACCAAAGAGCGTGAGGACTTTTTTTTGCTATGCAACATACTTCAAAAATCTAAACAGCTTTTATCATTGTCATAATCATCCAACAATATGTATATACACGTATGTATGGGCAGACATAGTATGTACATATGTTTGTATTAATTCGACGTTTAGTAAACGATAACAACCAAAGTGGTAAGTTCAGCGGCGGCAAGGTAACGTATACGCCTTGTGCGGCATTATGTGATATTTACCGTTATCTCTAATAGATAAACAAGTACATTTTAGCGCAAGAACCTGTTTTAACATGCTCTAGCATTCTCGAAACAATATTTTTGTTTCACGCTCCACAATTCACAGTTTTGTATCTACATATATACGCACATATGTATATAAATTTGTACATGTCTACGAGTATACATATGTATTTATTGTAAATAAATAAGTTTTTTCACATTTCATTTTAAACGCGATGATTCAACATATTTTTAGTAGAATACAGTCAAATAAAATTAGTCAAATTAGTCATATCGAACTGTGGTTTGTACGTTTTTAATTAATTCTACCGTGAAAGATTTCATCGAGCCACGTCTGTTTCGAATTGTGTTTCAAGCACTCCGGCGCGCGCAACTCGTCTGAAATCAAGCAAAACTTCGCACAGACTTTACCAACGATTTCAGTCAATAGTTTTGTGTTGAGTAATCGGTATTCACCACACCGAGTTGAATTGCACGCAGAGCAATATGCTGATTGTGCTGATAGCAATATTGCTATTTTTAAACGAGTGAGTATGTGCTCCTATATGTGAACATATTCGTACACACACAACTCCGATACGAATGATTCGGCGGTTTCCTATAAGCGTGCAATCGGTTATGCCGTTTCACGTATTATTTTCCTGCGTTTTGGCTGTGATTGACGGCGTTGTTATTTTGAATGAAACATGAATCTGCTAAATAAATTTATCTCGCTGAACAAGTTACAACCGGTTCCACCTTTAACGACTAAAGATTTAGGTTCGAATTCTTAATTATTCTTCAGAAGAAACTATAAATTGAAATACACATATGTACATGTTAATGATTTATTGTATATTATTGCAAAAAAAAACATCCAAATCTATTTTTATACCCTTAACCGGTGCAACTCTTTTTGCTCATGAATTATTCGAGCAGTTTGAAGCTTTTACTGATTTTGAAAATAGTAAAGTTTGCAAACAAAAAGTAAATGAAGTAGAAGAGAAGACGGCACCCTGTAAAAAATATAATTCAAAGAAGAGGTGCGTGAAATGTGTACTGCGATGGTTTCTGTCAGAACCACAAAGAGACAATTTCTGCTCTAACGCAACCTGGTTATGTGTGCAAACAAAGGCTCGGTTTCCCAGAAATACTGCGACGAATGAACGTCGAAACGCCTTTGATGCTTGCTTCCGCATGGTAATTTTGCGCGTACGAAAAAAAACTTTGAAACCTATAGGCTCTTATGGCATATATTAAGTAGGCATACATGTAAAGGAGCGTGTTGGATTTGTGGTAGCTTAGAGACCCTGCATACTCACATTCATGAAGAAAGTTGAGCGAAAAAACCGACTTTAAGAACTCCTTGTAGTATCCATTGTTGGAAGCAGGGAAAGTCCTGGGCTTTGAAGATAAGACCAAATGACTTTACTCGGTGCCAAACAGCGGAAAAGGGGAAGATTCGACCTATATTTTACCCGACTACAAGGCATATCCAGGAAGTAAAGGACTGAATTTACAAAAAAATCGTAATTCTTTAGTACTTAATGGAAGCTATTTTGCGACATAGTCGCCATTTCTCCCTATCCATGGGATGAAAGGAGGTATTAATTTTTTAATGTCTTCCTCAAAGTAGTTTTCCGTCAACCTCTTTCGCCCCATTATCCACCTCCTCCTGTGCCTCCTCGCCAGTTGAACTCCTTTCCTTAAGGAGATAGTAGTCTGTAGGCGGTAGAATACGGAAATGTGCAGTATGGTTCAGGACTTTCCAGGGCTGGCTGTGGTTGCATTGTCGTGTAGAAGGCAGTCTCCTGCCGTTTTGCATACGTCTATTAAGATGAAGAACGTACGTTAGTCAAACAAAATTTCTTGCTAAAGGGTTGATAACATGTAAGTGTAAGTGTGTCCTTACACAAATCTGCATTTATTTTGTAGGTTAAAAAGTTAAAAACAATCAAAACTTATTTACAAGAAATTAATAACGTCCAATATATAAGTTGCGCATGCAGCATAAGCCCCTTCCTAAAGACTTAGTAGTCTTTGCTTGCGAACTCACCTCCATTCAGAGCTCGTTCGGTTATTTCACTTTCCCATTCAATAAAAATGCTGCTCAATTTCGAGTGATATTTCTCAAATAAATGTAAATCTGTATACATATATGTAAACATATGTAAGCACATGTATATATTTATTTATGAATATATATGTAAGTGAAAATATGGAACCAAAACTTGAAGCGATGTTTTACGGCTCATAAGCGGACTGGTATGTGCACAGCTGTGAGAGCTAAAAGGCTAAATACTGTTCTTCATAAAAATAGTTTGTACTCACAGTTCTCACTCTTTGACAGTTGGCCGACTCGTATTTGATCTAGCGAGCCACCCAGCAATTTCTCAACCACTTCCTCAACATACTCCCGTATTTTAAGTTTTTGCTCCGAAGTAATGGCAGCTGAACTTAATCCCACTTGACTCACGCTTTCAAACTCTATAGGAGCAGAAATGAAATGAATGAAATTGAAATTAATTAATATTGAAACAAGCGTTACCGTGAAATATTAGCTATGTTTACTTACGCATAGAGCTTTCATTGTAGTCGCCAATTGGAATGAAAATCTCACTTCGCGCACGCATAGGATTGGTATTTCGAAATATTTGGCGATTGAAGGACATTTGTTCTGCTATCCATGATTGAGTGTGAGTTAGCGTGTCCTTTGATATTTGACATAATTGGCATTCCCAACGATCAGATCGCGGCAACCAATTCGAGCATTTGGTAGCTCGGCATACTCTTTTGTTACATATATAACAGGTGACAAAGCTGAAAGAATGGCGAAAAGAGAATAGACGACAGCAAAGAGCTTGTGTTATTGGTACGAATTGCAACTATATACCTCATGACTTACTTTTTAGACTCGTTGAGATCAATCTGGCAGGAGCAAACATTACAAATGTCCTCATTAGAGGATTCCTTTTTGGAAACACGTCCTTCACAGATTTTACTGAAAAACAATGATATAAATGTTAGATATTTATTTGACATAAAAGTATAATAAAAAAGTATAATATTAAAGTCTTTCATTACAATTGTAAGCTACTTTTCTTGTCATACGCATATACTAGCATCCCCGCCCTCCAAAAACTTATTTTGTTCTTCTCAAAAAACTTATTCTAAATTTTTCCATAACAACTGCGATATACAATCCTTAACCCTCTGTTTTTACATGTGGGTAATGTTTTGAAAACTCCAGTTCTCTTGGTCATGCCAGTTCCGGCTCGCCACTGGTTAGATGTATTTTATATTCTGATCTTTTGTCCCTAATATGGAAAGCGGGTGTCAGTTGATAGGTTGATATTTTCCATTCCCGGTATTTATTGGTCTAGTTAAAAAATAATTCATCCTTTTTGCATTAATGTCAAATATGCACCGTTTTGCTAAATAACTTTTTGCCTCTGTCAGAGGAACACTTGCCCCTTTGTCCAAAATACCCCCAACCAAGCCCTCGGAGCTTTTGGCGATACATAATCGATGTAAGTGGTCTGGAGTGTTCTGACGACTACTTCTCTTATACGGTCCAATTTCTGACAATGCTGGTCCGAATTCAGAGCTTGGTAGTAGAGGAGCATCTCATAGTGGATGATATCTTGCCACCAAACACCTGACAAAACCCGCCTGCCCGTTTATACCTGCTCACTGCCCTTTGACCACGACCGCTTTTATTTGACGCTTCATTATCAGTCACTATTCGCTTAAGAGTGGGTAGAATTTGTTAGGATTCGGCGACGTTTCGCAGATAGAAATGCGGTCCATAAGATTTTTTCTCCTTATAACTTTCTGTATTGAGAATTTTTTAAGTGGTTTTTCGTAAATTCGATGAGCTCGTTTTTATGTCCGAGAACAACTCCATTGCACTGGTTTTATTCACTTAATCCTTACAACGGATGTCTGTAACAACACCTCTGTTTTCAGATACGTTGATTGGATATCAGTGAAATCTAAGAACCATACCAACCGCTGCCGAGTTTCAAAACGTCAAAAAGAAATATTTTATTTTCAAAAATGAGAACTGGGGTCTGTCAAAGTTTCCAAAATTGCCAAGTAGTACTTTGCCTGCATGAACTTACACAGGAAATTGAATTATCTGCTTAACTCTTAGCGATTTGTATTTTCAATTGAAATATGTAAAGAGAAAAATTATGTAAATTTATTACCAAAATAATGGTTCAGTTCGCACGACGCATAGTGCGCTCCATCCCCAGAGACGCTGTACATTGCCCATCGAAGACACTATTGCTGTTTTGGAGAAGAATATCGAAGAAGACCCGAAAAGCTCCATCTGATATCGCACGCACCATCCACATTACTGACGATGTTGCAGAAGAATATTGGTTTGCCAATATCCGACTCGAGCGAGAATTGAATTAATCATACATCCTCAAAAGTGACTGTTTGGTGTGCGAACATTGGTCCTTTAGTCCAACCAACGAAACAATCAACTTATTGAAGGAAACTTTTGGCCTCCTAAATCGTGCGATTTTACACCGCTGTACTATTTTGAGAGGAGTTATGTGAAATCGCTTGCCTACGAAGATAAGTCCGAGACGATTGACGCCTTGGAAAATAATATTCTGTGCTTTATTGCTGAAATAAGGTCCCAAACTTCAAAACGTTTTCGAAAATTGTGCCTCTGGGCTGGAATTTTTTCGAGTCAGCCGCGACGCTGACCTGTCCGAAATCATTTTTAAATCATAATAGTAAACATAAGTTCTTGGGAATACAATTAAATTATATACTTTTATTCCTTTTTGAAATTCACATGCCTAAAAAACACCCTTTATTTAGAAACAAAAAATAAGACAACAAATTTCTATTAAATAAAGCAATCATCTCCAAAACACAAAAGCATTCAAAAGCAAAGGTTCATGAACGCTGTGAAGGCCGAGCTTGCAATAATCTCGACATTATGTTGATAAATATATTCAAAAACACTAATTAACGGTATACGGGTTGTTTCAAACAGGGAAATACAAGTTGACTCTGGGACTACATTCATCCACACATACATATGTATTTAACAAAGCCAAATTTACTCCGCACTCAGGTGCAAATGTTCAGCTCTAAATTTTTAATTGAGCAGAGAAGTTATTGTACTACGTGTAAAGGAGCATGCACATACATACATATATATTTATGTTCGTTTGCAGTTTTAACGTTAATATATTTTTATTTGTAACATTTGAATTGCAACTTATTGAGACAAATTTAAAATATTCATTTCCCGCTTATCACATAGTTTTTCTATTATATTTTAAAATTACATACATACTCGCATTTATGTATATTTCAATCGAGCTTTTTTCCTTTTATTGCTTTCTTTTCATTAACTTTGTTTTCCTATTAATATTATTTCATTTAAGCATAAAGTAAAAAACAGTTATTTTAAAATTAAATTTACTTCAACGGTCATTTCCGACTTACAAAACACATACAATTTGGCACGCTTAATCTATTAAATTTCCATTTATATGGACCGCAATACCCAAATGGGTATTAGTGCCACAAGCCACACAAGCACTGGTTCGAGTCCAAGACGAACATCTAGAAAGTGCTGCTGAACATCTGTAGGAGATAGCTTCTCATAAGATTCCATTTCCGTGCGGAGACTATTTACAACGCGCCACAAATTAGAATGTGCAGATCGGCCAAAAAACGCAACGATTATCATAAATATATATATATATACATAAATATATATATTTTTACATATTTAATACTTCACAAATTCTTTTTTAAGTCTTCCGAAAAATGTTGTTTCGTTTATTAATTAATACTTCGAAATTAAATGCCACTACCCACGAACTACAAAATTTTATAACAAAAACATTCAAATTCAGCTAACAGGTGTTAACCACTTGTTGCTGTTGTGGTTGGCTACGAAAATGACTAAGCATTTCCTGCTCCTGCCTCTGACTTTGCTGTCGATAGCGCATTTGCCTTCGCGTCCATTGTTCGTAATTATTGCGCAGATCTTCATAGTAAATGCTTTCCTCAAATTCACTGGAATCATCATCATCTCCAGCGTCGCCGCGCTCAAATATGATGGCGGTGCTGGTGTCGGCGGTAGTCAATTTTAACAGTATCACCTCGAGTGCGCAAATCATGAAGAGCAACATAAATATCCCTAAATTTATATTGTTGCTTATGGTGAGCTTCTCCCAATTGGCATTAAGCATTGTAATAAGCATCATATTGATGTTGAATATTTTCGTTGTTTGAGTGGAATGATTGCTACTTTTGTTTGTTGCTGAGGTTGTGTGTTGTTTAATTCGGATTTACGTGATTTCATTTCCGTTTAACATATTTATGCCATGCTTATAACGGTTCAGTTCGATTTTATTTAGGATTTACAATAGTTTTTCCTGTGATTTCACTGCATTTCGCTTATTTCCGCACTTTCTTAGTAGGTAGTCTTTGCCGTCAAAATGTTACTTTAGTTGTGATTCACTCGCTTTTTCTGAGCTTACTATGAGCAGCAGCTAGTAACGATTGTTTGGGCAGGCAAGTGGTATCTGCCAAGCGGCAAACTTGTTTTGTGTTACGATGTTTATGTTTCGGCTACTTTGCAGGGATGCCAACTTACGGCCGACCGCATTTAATTTTCGCGAAAAAGTAAATTGAAAATATTTCCATTTGACATTTTGGTGTTTTTATTCAACAAAACTCATTCCAATTTCTTTTTGCTTTTGAGCATGAAATTTCCATGTTCTGAAAACTGGAAACGGTTTTCATGTGATTACCACTTGAAAACTCATAGTCTTCCATAATGCTGGCTCTCATGCATATTCACATAGATTTGGCAAAGGTCTTCAGAAGCAATGATGACGATGACAAGCGGAAGAACAAATGAGCTTGCCGATAATGTCCTTCGTCTAATGTGCCCAATCCAAATGTCATATAAGCACTTCAAGTTCCCGCTCGACAATACCTCTTTGTCGCATTTAACCAACTCCTTTACTTCGGAAGAGCCGGGTTCAACCAACAACCAAAAGTTATAGGAAATTTTTTGCGGTAGCCCCTTGGCAGTGAACGTCAACCCCTTCCGAGTAAAGTAGTTTTGTAAAATGAAGGTGAACATATTTTTATTAAAAGCTGGCAACACAACCAAATTTGCAATTCACGCTAGCTTTGGATCTCTTTTAAACGTTTCACACGATATGGGAAAAGTTACAGACGAAAAGTGTTTGGATAACTATGGCAATCTTACATAGAAGCAAATAAATACGTATCCATATGTATGTCGGGATTAAATAATTTTATTTACGCTTTTTTTTTTAAACTGAATATTTTTGTATTGAAATATAATATAAGACATGGTATTCATGTTTGGGTTTATTTTTAACATTTGTTAGTGTAGCTTGTAAATCCAGTCGAATGAAATTTACTTCCTCATTTCTTTAGCAAATTTTTAAGTTGCCGAACTTGTTAAGCTGGCAGTGGATTCCCCTATAAGACACAACGATCCATATACATGTATGTGTGCATACAAGTATATTAATGCGTTTCTTAAGTTTTTTTTTATAATTTTTACATTGTAAAATGTTTTTTGCGAGAGTTGTTTTTATATAAAAACAAATGCTTACATACATATGTATGTACATATATGGTTACAGTAATCGTATAATTAACAATATAATTTCCACAACGAAAGCAAAATAAATTATACATACATATGTAAATAGGGTAGTGAGATTTTGTTCCTCTTCGTTCCAATCTTAGTTTATTTATTTATTTTTACAAAAGTTCTCCTCGTTGCTGAGACCTTTTGGCTCCTTGTTATAGAGAATTATGATGTGTTAGCGTGACATTTTACTGTCCTAACTTAGTGTAACTTAATTTTTTAAAAATTGCGCTACGAATAATCAAGGTATGGATTGATATAAAAAAGAAATACATGAATAATTGGCAGTAACATAGGCTACAAAAAAGATACTCCAAAGTTCGCTAAGGAGGAGTGAAGGACTCTTGAAAGAAGGCGATAATGTTATAAAAGCACTGGACTCCCATTACATCTCTTCGACTTTGGGAATCAAAACATTTATTGTAGTATTCAATTAAGTGTACTCCGCGTACATTCTCACTGTGCTTAATCGAATTTTTTCCGCTATCTTGGAAATGGCATGAAATCATGATCTTAATTTTAAAGTTTTTTTTATTCTAAATGAGTAAATTAATTGTAACGAATTTTTACTCCTTCAATCTAATTTTCTAACAAATTGTCGCCCGTCTGAATACATTTCGCTTGTCTCTCAAGCTCTTCTTTCAACTCTTCCCATAGAATTATCGGCTGCATTTCATATTCATTTAATTTTATGAATCTATCATTTCGGTTGATTCCCTTTCATTTTTACCCGAAACGAAAAGCTGTCGTAAGTATTAAATCGTTAACAGATAATGTGTGGGAGCTGTCAAATCATAGCCAAATAATGAGTTTGTGTGGTTTTAGCGTTAACGATTTAATTTCGTTTTGATAACATAGCGCCGAAACGAGAGGATTTAGTTTCGTTGAGTTAATTTTTCTTGTTTGCGAAGCGAAATATCATTGTGTTTGTTGAGCCTCTCTGACTCACATGCAATCAGTTCATTTTGAAACTGTCATTTCTCTTTCTCTTCTTCTTTGGATTCAATCTTAACTTAGAATACCTACGCGTGTGGCGGAGCGGAGAGCGGTAACGTAATCGTAGCCCAGAATAGACATGAAAGGGCTAGTTTTCGGAAAAACATCAAGATGTCGGAGATTGAGGTTGGCCTGAATTCCCTTCAATGGTTACAAGATTCATCCAAAATGCATTACAGCGGCAGAAGTATTTTTTCCAATACACTGGCAATTATAATATCGTGGAAATTATGATATCGTAAAGGCATAAAAGTGTGCATTAGACTTTGTGTACAAACACCTGGCAATTTAGTAGTAGTAGTTTAAGTGCGACTACTTGCGTTTATATGTCTGTGCGACTTCTCTATCCACGGTATGGTACCGATTTTTTAGCATTTTGCTATTCTACACACCTGTCTACAAATAAACATTGTCATCGAAAAATCAACGAAATCGGGCGGCTTTAGCATGAGACAACATCGATTTATTCACAAATATCCGTATCTTCAAATAAATATTTATACTGAAAATCACCGAAATCGGAAAACTTTTTCATATAGACCCTCCAATTTTTCATATACGATTAATTAATATTTATTAATATTTAATCCTAAAATGAAATACCATAAACTTGAATAATAACGAAAAATATAAAGACTTCGGCATTGCAGCATTTCTTTGATGTTACAACATGGATTTACTTTTTTGACTCTGTTTAGGATAGATTTAACACGTTTTAACCGAATAATGGCAGTCGACCTAATCCAATAATCGTACATTTCCGTCATTTATAAACGGTTTACCTGCTTAACTGAAACGAATCGGTTGTTGTGCCAGGATACGCGAAGAATTCAATCCGTACTGTCATTGTGTATCCAAATATTTAAATATTATTCGTATATTTAGAATTCATATGTGTATGTATACAATATATTATTTACAAAATGCACAAACAACCGCTTTCACGTTATTCTACTGATGTCTGAGCGTAGTTTCGAACTAAGTCTCACTTTGAATGCCAGTGACAGGGACAGGTGCGTTTTACAAGTGAGGTGCGTCAGCGAGCATTCACTACCGTCCCGCTCTTTTGAGAATTTAATACGCTGTCCACTGCGTTTTTAACACCGGAAGTTAGTAAAATGAGTGAGGAGAGTCACTAAGTGGAACGGTACCGTAAAAGGAGTGTTCGTGTTTTATACCTTTCATGAACACAAAACTTGAGTGCGATAGGGGGAAAAGAAATAAATAATGGGTATATATCTATTACAAGTTTGTATGTATGTATCGATATGTTCAGATCAACGGACTTAACTCAAGTCAGTCCTCTAATTCATATTTATAGAATGGTAAACTAGCGGGAACTTTCACAGACCCCGTTCTTTGATTCGAGTTAGGATAGGTTAAGTACATTACATACATAGATATCGGGTAGACTATATTGAAAATTAAGGTTAAATTTCTTTTTATATTCCTTAGATATGTTCAAAAGTAGAATATAAGAGCTATGTGGTTCATAAAAAAAGAGGTTTCTTACTTATTTAAAAAATAAACCTTAATATTTTCCACGATGATTGTATATTTAATTTTCGTATGCATACATATATTTTTTATATTGTACTTATGTACACATTAGCATGTTCATATATTGTGTGTGCTGATATTTATGAATTGTTCTTTGGCTTTAGCCAGTATTCATTCTTTTAATGTGTACTCATTTTCTACTTTCTTAAAAGGTAACTCTACTCGTATTCGACTAAGTTCAAGCAGGCGGGTATCTAATCTCCCAGAGGCGTATACACAAGTATTTATGGAGAGGAGGCACTTAACATAAATTTGTTAAAATTTCTCCTCACAAGTTCCCAAAGAATTTATTCAATGTTATTAATTAGAAATATTCCGAATTTGGAGGTGAAGAGCATGATTAGCCACCTCATTTCATTTTATCTACCCCTTTTCACCCTCTACAATTATACCGAGTATAGTTTAATATTATTTTGTGAATGCGAATACGTACAAATGCTGCATTGCCATTGTCGCTGCCGTTGTAGTGTTTGACATTTCACATGTTATGGGCTATTGTTCCAAACACTTCAACATACATACATTCATGCACAATAGCTATGTACGAGTACATGGGCTATATGGATATATGTATTTTCTTGGTTACCATAAGCGATATTTTTACGAGACATAGGTGGTGTAGGTAATGCTTAAATAAAACTAAAAAAAAAATAATGTACAGTGACCACGAATAGTAATCATTTAGAAGTAATCACTGCACGCTTTTAAAATTATAGTTAACTATCATCCGTACCATCACAACCGACAATCACAAATAATCACAACAGACTGCCAAACGATTTTCTACTCGACTTGCACTACTGCTCTCTGAGAGCACTCATCAGTAAATCGGTATACGGAACCTGCGGGACGGCATCGCAAACTCCCTACGCACAGCTGCAAACGAATGAATGCATGCCCGAAGATTGAAATTTAAGTGTGCTCTGCCCAATCTATAAAAAAAGGGGACCCCACAGTCTGCGCCAATTACAGTGGGATAAGCCTCCTTAATATCGCTTATAAGGTCCCTTTCGTGCGTATCGTGTGAAAGACTGAAGCCCACTGTCAAAAAACTGATTGGACCTTATCAGTGTGGCTTCAGACCTGGTAAGTCAACCATTGACCAGATATTCACCATGCGAGAAATCTGGGAAAAGACCCGTGAAAAGAGGATCGTCACCCGCCACCTCTTCGTTGATTTTAAAGCCGCCTTCGACAGCACAAAAAGGAGCTGCCTTTAAGCCGCTATGTATGAACTTGGTATCCCCGCAAAACTTATACGGCTTTGTAAACTGACCTTGAGCACCACTGAAAGCTCCGTCAGGATCAGTTAGGACCTCTTCGAGCC